TTCCTTTCTTTTCCTTCCTCTTTCCTTCACTTCCTTTCCTTCTTTCCTTCACTTCCTTTCTTTTCCTTTATCTTTCCTTTACTTCCTTTCTTTTCCTTCCTCTTTCCTTCTTTCTCTTGACAAGCTAAGGTATCAAATAGCTCAGTGATTAGAGTGCAAATCAATTACCGGAAAGTAAAGGTCTAGGGTTCAATCTCCTCTCCGGATATTCTACTTTTTCTTGTTGATTTTCTTGTTAACTTTCTTGTCCTCACTTTATTACTCCTGTAAATCAATCTTTAAAACTTTTAAATTTCAAAAATTTCCAGCCATTTCCCTATCCAACAAGTTCGCTAATTGATCAATCATAAATCTCAGGGTTGTAGGAATTTTGGGGAAAGGCCAGAGTGATAGATCTTGAGAGACAGACACATTTGATCGACACACTCACCGCCTCGCTCAACGAGTGCTACACTAAAAGGCATGAATTAGAGTGGGAAAGGCTTATAAATTGTTTTGTTGTTGATACATTGCAATACTATGCAAATTTCTAATACAGATAAGGCTTTTACCGATCTGTACTTTGTTTTACGACCAGGCCAAGTTAGGTCAAGCAACGGGAGAAACCAGTCTAAGCTGTACATAGTACTGGTAAGTGTTGACGTACTGTAAATAGTACTGTAGATAGTGCTGTAGATAGTACTGTAGATAGTGATGTACATAGTACTGTAGATAGTGCTGTACATAGTACTGTAGATAGTGCTGTACATAGTACTGCACATAGTACTGCACATAGTACTAGTACGTATTGTACATAGTACTTATACAAAGTGGATCTTCAGTAGAAAAGCGCCCAAGGTTGCTTTTTGAGAGTTTTCTTCAGACTTTATCAATCCAATGGGGCTTTAAAACAATCTTGAAGTCTTCAATGTTGACTGTTGAACTGTTAAACAAACTTTTGAAGATCTTAGTCCACAATTAGACTTCAATTTCCTAAACCATGTTATCCCTTTTTGCACATCTGTTCCCCCAGGAATATTGTGGTAGTACACTAAGCGGGAAAAGGGGCATGGATCACCGCTTTAGTGAGATGTTGTAGTAAAAGAGAAATGCCCGAGTCAGCCATCACTCTTTCCTCTTTCTCTACTCCGAAAATCTCTCGAAATCAGCGATCCTTTTGAACACTTGTTCACTATTCCGTTTTCTTCGCAACTTATATGACTTTTCAACGCTTTCACGACTTTGATAGAGTTCAAGAATCGAAATTTAGCTTTTCTAGCTCAACTTTTGACTTGAAACTTTTGATTTTTAATGATTTTTACTGATTTTTACTGGTTTTTACTGATTTTTACTGGTTTTTACTGATTTTTACTGGTTTTTACTGGTTTTTGTCAAAACCTTATTAAAATCTTATCAAAATCTTATTAGAAGCTTATTAGAAGCTTATTAAAATATTAAAATCTTATTAAAATCTTATTAAAATCTTATTAGAAGCTTATTAAAATATTAAAATCTTATCAAAAGCTTACTAAAATATTCAAATCTTATTCAAATCTTATTAGAAGCTTATTAAAATATGCAAATCTTATCAAAATCTTATCAAAATCGATTTTGATTGATTCATTGATCTGTTTATGACAAAAAATTGATTTTTTTTTTCTTTGTTTATTTGTCTAATCGTTTTCTTTTCTTTGTTTCAATCCCCTTTCTCAAAAGATTCCCCGTGAATTCGATTGTCTTCGGATTGAAGAGAAATTTCCTTTACGAAAAGAGAAAACCGTTTCCGCTGAGCCGCTCTTTTTATGCCACTTCTCGAAAGCAAATACGGAAATCAAGCTAGAATCAAGCAAGAATTAAAGAAATCAATTCTTATTAGTGCTTAATTTCAATAAAAACGACAATATTGTTTACAATACTTTTCTCGGACCCTGTACACGGATATCGTATTTTCTCTAATAGTTGTGCACCCCGGCGAGCCGAGTTGATCACTATTTTACAGTTTCCAAGCTTTCACAGAAGCTCAACACCCTAATCCCCTACAAGATCTCATCGTTAGCTACATTTTCCGACCACACATCGATAGGTTCTGATAAGCGGTTCTCGAGATTTCAAGGAGTTTAGGCAAAGCTTAGAAAATACGATTACCGCTAGGCATTTCACTCACCCGCATCCCCTGCTCATAAACCGAATAACCCCCATTGACCACTTCAACCATCCGAATATCTCTATATCAATTCTTATTATATTCCGTTCTTTCCAAGCAACGATCCTGAAACTTAGTGGAAAGTGATGCTGAGTTTCTTATGCTATGAATCTTTCTTATGGAAAGTGATGCTGAACACCCGGGGGAGCCGAGTTGGTGTCGATTTTACAGTTTCCAAGCTTTCACAGAAGCTCAACGTTCAAATCCTCCACTAGATCTCATCGTCAGCTACATTTTCCGACCCCACATCGATAGGTTCTGATAAGCGGTTCTCGAGATTTCAAGGAATTTAGGCGAAGCTCCGCGGGAATACTTTGCACAAGAAGATTGCGTTCCGCGGGAATACTTTTACGGGAAAATTGGGAATACCCTGTCAACGAATTCCCGGGAATTTTCTGGGAATAGAGCCTGGAGAACTAGCGCTGTTTCAGCACCATTTTACTGTTTCCAAATTTTCCCCAGAAGCTCAACACTCGATTCCCCTGAAAGATCTCATCATCAGCTACATATTCCGACCCCACATCGATAGGTTCTGATAAGCGGTTCTCGAGATTTCAAGGAATTTAGAGTGAGCTCAGGGTGCACTACTATTAGAGAGAATACAGTATATAGGAATCGTTATATAGAAAAACGTTTTAGCGAATTTCGATTGTAATCTAAATTCTTTAAACATTCTTTAACCTAATAGAATATTATTGAAAAGAAAAATCCGTTGACTTTTCTTTCAAAATCATAAAGTAAAATTGATTCTAAAGCGCTTCATTTAAGCTTCATTTTCAGCGCTTTTTTTTGTTTTTTTTGTTTTAATGCTTTCCTATTAGACAAGCTATTAATTGAAAGATGATTTTTGTATTAATCATACATTTAATTGAATAGAAATTCTTTTTATAAACTAGAGAAAAAGTTGTGCACAAGTTTCGCCCACTTCTTTTCCCCTTCTTCCCCAATTCTCACCTGATAAGCATCCGCCGAAATAGTCCGAAATCTTCTTCTTTTTCTTCCATTTCCCTATTCTCACCTTTTTTCTCCTTCTTTCTCTCTTTCTATCTTTCTCTCTCTCTCTTTCTTTCTCTCTTTCTATCTTTCTCTCTTTCTCTCTTTCTTCCTCTCTTTCTTTCTTTCCAAAACAATGTTTGCCTTTTTTTTTTGAATGAGCTCTTCTTCTTGAAGCCTTTCCTTTTCACTCATTGATCACTCCAGATTCGGACGAAATTTTCTCGAAAATTAAAACTTTTCATGTTTTTCGTGTTTTTTTAAACTAATTTTAAAACAACAACTAACTTTTAATCAAATCAAATCAATTTTCTAATCTTTTTCATCATATTAACTCAGTTTTAGATTGAAATTCAACTTTTTTGAATTGTAAAACTATAGGAAAAGCTGAGTTTTGAAGCAAAATTCGAAGTTAATCTAGTCAAAAAAAAGTCAAAAGTCAAAAATCTAATTATAAAATTAGAAATCTTTCGATTAATTGAGGATATTCATAATTATAAAAGTTCTTTTTTTTTCAACTTACACAAGTTTTTTTTTTGACTCTTTTTATCCTTTTTTTACAACTCTAACACTTGCTTTTTGGCGTTTGGCTGAGAGAAAAAAATGGCTTAATTTTGTCGAAAACTGGGTAAACTGAGGCTTTAAAAAGGAAATGAGCAAAATTTTTGTTTCATTCGAAAATTGATTGGTCAAATTTGATTGTTAAAATTTTGATTTGATGCTGAGCTGGCTTTGTAAATGACCTTTTGGTCGTTTATCTGGGGGTTGGTATAGGATCTGTTCTTGGTTATTTGACCTTCATGAGTCGACTTTTATCACCGCCCCCAACTTCCTCGGTAGTATAGTGGTTAGTATCCGCGTCTGTCACATGCGAGACCCGGGTTCAATTCCCGGCCGGGGAGAATCATTTTTGCCTTTTTGCTTTTAACACGGTTTTGGTAAAACTTTCCAAATTACATAAGAAATTGGATAGTAAGCTCTATCCAAATTGTGCCGCACCAGGACTCGAACCCGGGACCGTGCTGACCATTACACCGCGACGCACCTGGTCACCGTTGACCTCAGAGGGATTAACTAGGGAGTAATTTGGTAAATCTAGCCTAGCTGACTTTCCTTTGAACTGAGTTTCATTCGAACCTTCATGAGTCGACTTCTATCACCCCTGCCAGCTTCCTCGGTAGTATAGTGGTTAGTATCCGCGTCTGTCACATGCGAGACCCGGGTTCAATTCCCTTTTTTTTCAAAGTTCAAAGGGGAGAATCGTTTTTGCATTCTGACTTCTTCTGCACTATTACTTGCTATTATTATTTCATTATTGCATCTTTACTTCAAGATGAATTCTAGCATGTTTTACTCCACTTTTTATCTTGTTTTTCAATAGATTTCAGCTAGAATGAGTGAATATAAAACTAATAAAGCTATTTAAACTATTTTCTCATATCTTTTCACAACTAGAGACAGACTGGGCGAAATTTACATCTGTCCTGCTTGGTTGGCCGATAAAGAAGCAAAAATAGGAGCTTTAGAACTTAACTTAATGAAATTAGATCAATTTGAACCACTTTTACTTTCCAAAGTCGTTTAAAGCAAAAATGAAAAATATTCTCCCCGGCCGGGAATTGAACCCGGGTCTCGCATGTGACAGACGCGGATACTAACCACTATACTACCGAGGAAGGTGGTTAGTAGTGATAGAAATCGACTCATAAATCCCCCCCCCAATTTTTTACTGTAAACATTTTTCTTGTTTGTTTTTCTTCTACTGTTTCATATGCAAATTGTAAAATGAAAATTTCCAGGTAATTCTTTATTCAATCAAGGGCCAATGGCCCTGGGTGCCCCACAATTCCCATCACTAAATGAAAAGACCGGATTGCCACAGTCGATCCTCCAAAATAGAGGATCTTCATATCAAAAAGGAAATAAGACAGCAAATCGTTGTCGCTGTTGTCCTTACGGATTTCATATTGATCTCGATTTCGTTTCTTATGCTGAAGACGTTGTGAGTTTGCAAGAGAATCTCAAAAAGAAGCTTTAAAGCTTTAAAGAAGCAAGGTTTAAAGAAGCAAGCTTTAAACATAGCAAGCTTTAAACATAGCAAGCTTTAAATAAGCAATCCTTAAAGAAGCAATCCTTAAAGAAGTCTCTCAAAGCTTTTGCAAAGATTTAAAGAATCTTCTAGCCTTCATCATGGACTTTGTAGTCAAAAACACATGCCTTTTGGTGCACTGATTTTCCGTCTATCTGCTCTTTATCAGCTGAAAAGTGCTTTTTTTTTGATAAAGGAGACTGAAGTGTGCTAGAAAGAGTGTGCTTGTACGTCTATGAGCGAAAGAAAATTGAAAATTTCAGGTAAAAGGCAATTCCCGATCACCGAGAACGTCAACGATCGGCCGAAAGAAGTACTCGGAGAATGGAAGAAATCTCACTTCTCCCCTCGATTCACTTTTCAGGTTTGATACGAATTATATCTAAATCTTGTAAATCTTGTAAACGAGCCTTAGAAAATGCGGTTACCGCTAGGCATTTCACTCACCCGCATCCCCTGCTCATAAACCGAATAACTCCCATTGATCACTTCAGCCATTCGAATATCTCTATATTGATTCTTATTATTTTCCGTTTTTACCAAGCAACGATCCTGAAACTTAGTGGAAAGTGATGCTGAGTTTTTTATGCTATGAATGCTTCTTATGGAAAGTGATGCTGAGCACCCGGGGGAGCTGAGTTGGTGTCTATTTTACGGTTTCCAAATTTTCCCCAGAAGCTCAACACTCGATTCCCCTGAAAGATCTCATCAACAGCTACATTTTCCGACCCCACATCGATAGGTTCTGATAAGCGGTTCTCGAGATTTCAAGGAATTTAGGCGACGCTCTGGGTGCACTACTATTAGAGAAAATACGGTATATAGAAATACTACAAACCATTTGATGTAAGGGTTAGCTTTAGCCTAGTTATTCTCAAAAATTTCAAAGAATATAATAATTGAAACTTTTAAATATGAATATTTATATATTTAGCGATTCTCTCGAGAATATTGTGTCCGATTTTGAAGAGATTTTGGATCAAAAAAAGCGTCTCGATGATGAAAATCGGCAACTTTTAGAAGCTGGATATCTCTCTGATTTCACTGGATATCGATCAAAGCCTGGTAAGGGAAAAGGAAATTTAAATTTTATCGATTTCTTTTCATATTATTCAATTTAACATTTTTATAGTTAAATAATTGAATTATCTTATTGAAAGTGGAAGTTTTGAAACGATTTTTGCACCGAAATTCTGTTGATTTTCACTTTTAAGCTTTTTTTCTGTCCAATCAATTGATTTCAAGTTATTTTTTTAGCTAAACTTATAATTAGATTCTAATTTTTGTTTATCTTTATTTCTTTTTTCTTGTTTCTTTTAGCTAATAGCTTAGGCTTAGGCTCTAGCTGCCTAAGCCTAGCTTATTCTTAGGCACTGTTCAATCAATAATGATTCAAAGTCATTTCAAGTCCAAGTCTAAACCAAACCAAACCAAGAAATCTAAAGAAAGAAAGAGAGGAAGAAAGAAGGAAAGAAAGACAGATAGAAAGAAGGAAAGAAGGAAAGAAAGACAGAAAAGAATGTTTTGGACAAGAATAAGAAAGAAAGAGAGGAAGAGAGAAGGAAAGAAAGAAAAAAGAGAGGAAGAAAGAGAGGAAGAAAGAAGGAAAGCAAGACAGAAAGACAGAAAGACAGAAAGAAAGAAAGTGATAGAGAAGTGAAAAGAGTCAGCTGTGTGATCGGGAAAAGGAGTGCGCGACTGATCGCTCCAATCGGTCCAATAGACTCACCCAATACGCTTTTTACCTTTTCTTTTACGGGTGTCTGTTGAGGTAAACAACAATTGGTACCCAAAACCCAAACCCTACCCCATAAACGAGCACATTAAAGGGAACCAAAACGAAATCAAATGAAAAGAAAGCTAATTCTTTAAGTAAAATGAAAATTTTAGAAATTTTTCTTTAAATAACAAGTGTTTATTGCTCAATTTTCATCTTTTAAAGTTAATTTTGGTTTAATTTTTGAAGAAAAATACGAAGAATAAGTTGGCTTTTCTAATGGAACAAGCAATAGTTCAATTCGTGCATTTTTTTTGATTTTATAGAGATTCAGAGTCAAGATTAAGGCCAAGGCCAGGGTCCTGTCGTAAAATCTTAGGACTAAACCAAAAGCTATTTTGTCAGTGGCCTAAAATCTTCACTTCCTTGGCCTTTGCTAGAGATTTGACTCTAGAATCTAGAATATAGAATCTAGAATATAGAATCTAGAATCTAGAATCTAGAATCTAGAATCTAGAATCTGAATGGCGATCTAGTAGATAGATAGATGGATCTAGCTAGAGGATGGTAATTATAACTAGAATCTAGTCTAGCTAGAATCTGATCTAGTCTACTGCTAGAATAGATCTAGAATCTAGAATCTAGTATCTAGAACCTAGAATCTAGAATATAGAATCTAGATCTAGGTGAATCTAGAATAGTATCTGAACTAGCTAGTATCTAGAACCTAGAATCTAGAATATAGAATCTAGAATCTAGAATATAGAATCTAGAATCTAGTACCTAGAATCTAGAATCTAGAAATGGGATTAGAAATGGAATGAAATCCAAGGTAAACCCAATTAACACCAATACTTTATTCATGATCTGAAATAAGGTGCGTTAGATTTATTTTATGGTCAATGGCTTCATAGGTGAATGGGAAAATTGACGTAAAAACTTCCTCTCAACGAACTCTTGACTTAGGCTCAGATTCCAGCTCGTTTTTGTCGCTTCTAAAGCTTGTAAAGCTTTATTTAAACATAGTAATTATCAAAAGCATATGTACTATTTTAAAATAATGATAAAAATCTATATTTTTATCTATATTTATCTATATTGAACTTTTCCAGATCCCTCCGCGGTTCCACACTATAAGCAGAATCGAGCGGACCCGCTCGGCCTCGAGAACAGTTTGTTTTTTACAAATCAATGCATAAATTCATAGATTTCTTATAAATCTATAGAATCTATAGATCTATAGAAATCTATAGAATATGATTGCCATCTCGTATTATCCTTTCAGCTCCTCGTCCTCGACCTTCACACAGCAATGGAGCCCGAGCACAGATCCAGAAGCAAGCCACTGGTAAAGATTTAGATTTGGATTTGAAAATGATATAAAATATATAAGTAAATATATAAGTAACTATAGTTTAGCTTGAAAGGTTTCCAAAAAGTGTTCCAAATCCGTTTGTGTACAAAAGTCATTAGCTTAGTGAAGCGGTAGGGAACAAAGAGACAAAGGATCAAAAGAAAAAAACACTTGTAGCTTTTCAAAGCTTCAAATAGCTTCACTTTTACTCTTTCTTAAGCAAATTACTAATGTTTTTATATAATATTTATTTTGTAGTTATTCAAATACTTGTTCTACTTGATTTTCAGCGTACACTGCTTTGGGTCGAACGCTCTCCGAGATGAAAGCTCGGCAAAGCATGGAAGCATTGGTGGAGAATCGGTGAGCTTTGTTTTAAAGATCTTTGGCTCATCTAGGTGTACCTTAGATTTGTAACTTAGTTTTTTAAAAGTCACTAAAACTATCGTAATCTATGGTAATATCAAACTACCGTAATTTGAATTTTTATTTAATATTTCGGTCAATTTTATTTGAAATCACCTAATTTTGATATAAGCTTTATCGAATTTGAGGAAAATTTAAAGATTGAATGAAAGCTGAGGGTTTAAATGATGCTTGAATGATAGCTGAGGGTTTAAATGATGATTGAATGAAGGCTGAGGGTTTAAATGATGCTTGAATGATAGCTGAGGCTTTAAATGATGATTTGATGAAAGCTGAGAAAGTCTATGTAAAGTTATTACTTTATTACTGTAGCAAGTCACTAAAAACTTGAGTACCTGTAAAAGTACCTGAAAAAATGGGTTTTCTAGCTTCGGTTGTAAGCTAAAAATTTCGTCTTGCCGTTTGAATCATCAATTTTGTAGTGAAACGGGTACTTTACAGTACTCTGATTACAGTACTCTGATTACAGTACTCTGATTACAGTACTCTGATTACAGTACTCTGATTACAGTACTCTGATTACAGTACTCTAGTTTCTTCATTTGTCTATTTATCTTACTATTCATCAATTCATGAATAGATGAATAGACAATTCATCTTTCTATTCATCTATCTATTCATCCGTCTTCTCAATTCATTTTCCAGTGTCTCAACCTCTCGTCCCTCATCAATCACTCCATTCGACCCATCGCTACTCACCTCAATCTCTCGTCTGTCAACCCGAAGCGAACACGATCTTCTACCACCGAAATCTCCAAGAAATGAGTGAGTTTTATGAGTGCTTTTACAAAATCAACTTTCAAATCTTCTCCTGGTAAACGTTCGATTTCTGAATCCGATTTTAGAAGCAGCAATTTATCGTGGCGACGCCCAGCCACAGCTCAATCAACAATTGAAGCCAGTGAAGAAAAGTGAGCCATTGAAAAAGATAGCTTTATAAAGATCTAGATAAGTATTAATAAGTTTAAAATTTGAACTTAAGAACAACAAATGGAAACAGAGATTTACGAGATTTTGCCTCACTTCGAAGAGGTCGAGAAAGCGGATTGCCAGCGGCTGAGGCGACTGGAGCCAGGATACGCTACTATTCAGCGTCTCCGAAATTGCCGAGGGTTTGTTTAATTCAAATTAAAAATTCAATTTCAAATTCATAAATTAAATGTCAACAATGTCAGCTTTCCGCAATAATCCAAGACGAAACTTTTGATGGACTTTGGTCTTACTTAGAACCGGTTAAAGCTCGAGATTGAATCTTGAATATAGCAAATCTTGTAGAGCTTGAAAAGACGAGTTGAATGATGTAAAAATTAGGTGCTTATAAGCTTTGTAAACGTACTAAAGCTGGCTTACAAATTTTTCCTATAGGCTTTTCCGATAGGCTTTTTGCTTATCAAAAACTGTTCAAGTTTTTTCTTAAGACTTTTTCAAAGACCCATCCAAGACGGTTGGGTGGTCTAGTGGTTAGTACAAGAGTTTACCAAGCGGAGGGTCGGGGTTCGTTTCTTGCTCGAGCTTTTCCATCTAGATTTCTTTTGGAGTTCCAATCCTTTTGGAGTCCAATGCCTTTTCGAGTTCAATTCCTTGTCTTTGTAGGAACACAGCGTTTCTAGTGCAATCAAACGCTCTCATTGAAGCTCGTTAAAGGATTGTACCCATTTCGATGACTGTTCCCAAAGGGAGCAGTCTCGTTAGTTGTTGTCACTACCTCCTCGAATTGAGAGTGGGCAATTTGCGCGCCTCCTGCCTTCCTTATATGTGGTTGCCGTTTCTCAGGCATCCTCTCCGGAGTCAAACTCTGATCCTCCGTTACCCGTTACGACCATGGTAGTCAACTAAACTAAGAAGAAAGAAGAGACGAAAGAAAACACTTTCTGTGCTTTAGCACAGAAAGTTGTTTTCTTTAGGGCCAAATTAAGGTGTAGCTTTGTAAACTGTAAGAGAAAGGGTAAATAACCTTCTTTTCATTTGCCCAATCGCTTTTGACACTGAAAAATCAAAAATTCAGCGTCTCACGGCCGCTCCCAATCTCGAGGAGTCAAATTTCGCGTACAGTCATCAAAATGGGCACACCGTTTTGTCAAGGCATCAAGCGACGAGCACATCACCGAGAGAACCAATTCAGGTACGGGAATTTGCGAGAGAGAGAGAGAGCTAAGGGTGCACTACTATTAGAGAAAATACGGTAATCTAAATCTAAATTAGATAGAGATTAGCTATCAGTTATCTATAATATAGATTTAAATATAAAAATAGATATTTAAAGGCTTGAAAGTCTAAATTTCTTTAAGCTACATGTAAAATTTTTTGAAAAATTAAATCAAAAAAAGTTTAGAACGGTCATTCGGTGCAGGCGCCAAAACCACCGCAAAGAGAGGTAAAAAAGATAAATAAAATCAAATTTACATATAAATTCTGAAGCTTAAATGTAAGCTTAAATATAAGCTTAAATATTTTATTTATAAGAAAACTATATAGAGTTTTTTTTTTACTGTTTAGAGTCGCTCAATTTCTGTTGGAACTGGCCCATTGCCACCGGCGAAACCTTGCAGCGAGTGTCCACAGTTAAAGACGAAATTGAAGGACTTGATTGAGAAGTTTGTTTTTAAATTTTTAAAAATAAAATATAAGAAAGAAGGGGTAGTTGTTGGGGTCAAGAAACAGCCGAGAAAACGACGGTGTAATTTGGTTCGGATTCGAATCTTCCTAGGTCTTGTACTCTTCCAATATTTTGATCTATCAGCTTTGCTGTACTTTTAGAGATCTATCAGCTTTGCTGTACTTCTATTAGCTTTGCTGTACTGTAAGTAAACTTATTGTAGTCTCATTGTAAAGTAATGTTCATGTTTTCTTCAGCTTTGCCATTAAATTTCTCTTTATCTTCTATCAATTTTGTTCGATCTGTTAAGCTAATCAACAACGATTTTATTCTACCAAGTAGACAACTTTCGTTTCTATTTTAAGCTGAAAGATCTGAAGCTGAAGATGAAGATGAAAGCTGAAGATGAAAGCTCTTTGAAATGAAAGTACTTGTTGGTTATACATCCATAGAGACTCAACTCGGTAAAGCAAGAAGCTGACAACTTTTGAGTGGTGATTAAGTGAAGTAGCTCGTCTGAAGTGATCAGTCGATCAGTCTCATTCAGACGCTGAAAGATCTGAAGCTGAAGATGAAGATGAAAGATCTGAAGCTGAAGCTGAAGCTGAAGATGAAGATGAAAGATCTGAAGCTGAAGCTGAAGATGAAGATGAAAGATCTGAAGCTGAAGCTGAAGATGAAGATGAAAGATCTGAAGCTGAAGCTGAAGCTGAAGGCTGAAGCTGAAGCTGAAGATGAAGATGAAAGATCTGAAGCTGAAGCTGAAGATGAAGCTGAAGATGAAGATGAAGCTGAAGCTGAAGATGAAGCTGAAGATGAAGCTGAAGATGAAGCTGAAGATGAAAGCTCTTTGTCAAAATGATGAAAGCTTTTTTATCTTTGGTACTTGTTGGTACTTGTTGACTATAAATCCATAGAGATTCAACTCGGTAAAGCAAGAAGCCGACGACTTTTGAGTGGTGATTATGTTCAGTGAGCCTCCCCATCCGAGTCTTCTCGCAAATCGATTTTCGTTCCACTGATCGACTGATCAAGCTGGCAACTTTTGAATGGTGATGTTCAGTGAAGTAGCTCGCGATCAGTCGATCATTTGAACGAAAATCGATAACCGAAAAAGACTCGGATGGGGATGCTTAAACGAGATGAGTCTTTGTGGATTTATAACCGGAAAAGTACCGAAAAATCGATGGTAATCTTTGATAGGGATTTGTTTTTCTCAAATTTGCATTTAAATTTGAATGGATTTTGCAATTTCAGCCCACCAATTCCGCCGAAACCGAAAATGCGCGAATCGGCCACATCGACGCCACAGATTCCGGTGAGAAATTCGAGATTTAACTTTAATTTTACTTTAAAAACGATAAGCCTATGTAAAATAGATTTCTAGTTATAGATATGAATGGATTTTGATTTCTATACATTTGTTTTGAAGACAATTACCCCCCTTGCACCAGACAAAGTGCGTTCATAAAGGAAATTCGTTCACTTAACTTTCTTTCTTTTTCTTTTAAGTTTCTTGTAAGTCTATTGTGTACTTTGTGCTTAAAAATTAGTAAACACACCCCTTCTGGTGCACTGATTTCTTCAGTTTCTTGAGGACGAGAAAAATCGAGAGAAAAAGGCTACAAGTGCGCCAAAGGATTTTTTAACTTGACAATTTGAAAGTTAACTCCTTCTCGAGCAAGGGAAGCCACATGCGTTGTGGTGAAATGGTTAGCACAGTTGTCCGGTAAGCGAAAGATCGCGGGTTCGAGTCCCGGTGGTGCAAAAATTTTTGATCTGCTACAAATGGCCCCGGAAATCCTTCCAGATCAAAAACCCGTGCACCAGCGGAACTCGAACCCGCGACCTTTCGCTTACCAAACAACTGTGCTAATCATTGCACCACAGGACTGTCCTCCGTCCTGTGGTGCAAAATGGGAAGGAGTGCTCGAGAAGGAGTTAACTTTGAAATTGTCAAGTTAACAAATCCTCTGGCGCACTTGGAGCCTTTTCGACTCCCTGCGGCGCATAAGCTTTTGATGTTTTCTAGTTCCAGCTTCAAGCACAAAGTACACAATGAGAGGCCTCCTATAAAGGTGTATTGTAGGTAAATATTTGTACTGTAGCTATAAATTTTCTGCCTAAACGTAAATTTCATTCTTTCATCATTGAACGGTTTAATCGTTTAATTACCCAATTTCTAATGCCGTTGATGATTTGATTTGATTCAAAGTTTCCTCTAATAAGTTTCCCCATTATCATCTCAAATCCTATTAATTCTGGAATGCTAAAAGTTATGTGTAAAGGAAAGTAAAGAAAAAAGGAATCGGGGATAATAAAAGTAGATAATGAGCTGAAAGGGAGATGAAAAGCCTTTTCAAGAATCGTTTACCCATTCCAGAGTTTTCCGGGTTTCATTTCTTTGTTTCCTTTCTAGCCAGAACTCTTCCTGTACAAGTTTTTCAATCTTTACAAATCTTAAAAACAAATCCAAACCTAAATCCAAATTCTTTTACTATTTTCGAGGCTTACTCTAGTCAAGCCCATTTCTTCAGAATTTCCCTAAGAAAAGTTTCTTTGAGGTAGGGGTATACACTATTGGACAATGAAATATCATATTTGACTTTTCTACCGTAATTTCTACTTTAGACTTTGCTACAGTAATCTGCGTAGGATTACTGTAGAAGTTTAGAGGTAAAGTTTAAGAATACCCATACCTCAGAGGTACACTACTGGACAATGAAATATGATATTTGAAAAAGATCGTCACTTTCGCGCGTCTATAACTCCCTTGTCTTTACCGTATTTCTAAATATTAATATTACCATTGTGTAGCCCTTGAAAAGAGCTTTCACAAAATGTATAACACTAATAGTTTAAACTTAAAGACAAGGGAGTTATAGAGGCGCGAAAGTGACGATCGTTTTTCAAATATCATATTTCATTGTCCAGTACTGTACCTCTGAGATATGGCTATTCTTAAACTTTACCTCTAAACTTCTACAGTAATCCTACGCAGATTACGGTAGAAAAGTAATCTGTAAAATTGTAGAAAAGTCATTTACGTACTTTTTTTTGATTTAAAAAGATCCTGCTAATGTTTTGAAGGGTTATTGTACCAAAAAAGCATTGAAATTTCTTTTTTGAAGTCTTTTTTGATTATTCTTCAACTTTTAAACAAAAAAAACACGCAAATATTGCCTGTCTTTTGTCTAATAATTGTCAAAAAATGATAGTTAATCAAGAAATAATAATAAAAACTCATTTTTATTCCTAGAGTTAGTTCCTAATGACTTTTCTACTCATGAGAAACTTGCAAAATCATCGTAATCTTTTCCGCAGACACGATTCTTTCACAATTTATTTTTCATTATGAGGAAATCGGTCAAAGATTCACTAATTTACCAAAGATTTGCCCATAAGAGCTCATTAAATGCTAAGTTTATCCTTTTCTTTTGTAGCTGAGTTTAAATAAAGCCATGCGCCTTTCCCTTCTCCAATCCCCTTTCATCAACCCCAATTAAAACAATATTTTGGTCAACCATAAATTCTAAATTCAACCGCTAAATTCTTTCGATTCGATGCCACTGAAATACGATGAAAATTTGAATCTAATCTGGTGGGATTGGCTAAAGGTTGAAGACTTTTTTTTCCTCGAAAGTATTCAGCTTTTCAGACGACAAATGATGCCTGCGTTGGGGCTGAGAAATTCACGCAAATCAATGTCGGGATTGGGACGGAAGCGGTCAAAGAGGAGAAGAAAGAGCTGGCGAATCAGGTGGGTGAAAATTGAGTTCAAAAATTGGGTGAAATAATTGGGTTCAAAAAATTGGGATTGTTTGTGCCCGGGTGTTTCATAATACGTTTTTGCGCCAGGAATCAGTCTTGGCTTACAGTTACTGGCCTTAAAAAATTATTCGGGTGAAGCCAAGAGTCTGGTGTGAGTGCCAGAGCTGGCTTGAGCCTGATGACTTGACAAAAGAACAGAATTTTGCACGGTTTATTGCTAGGCCAAGATTTGGTCTTAGATCTAAGCCCAACCCTGGAAAGGTTCCAGGCCTAAGCCTAACCCTGGAAAGGTTCCAGATCCAACCCTAACCCTGGAAAGGTTCCAGATCCAAGCCTAACCCTGACAAGGTTCCAGATCCAAGCCTAACCCTGGCAAGGTCCCAGCCTTGGAGCCTGGTATGGCTTTTTAAACAACTCCTTGGACATTTTAAAATTCACTAGTGTATCAATTGGTATCACAATCTACTTTTCAGGAATCGCAAACAATCCCATTGACAAGAGTTTCCATTGGAGTCGACGCTCAGCCGAAGACTCATTCGATCGATTTGGATACACGGGATTTGTTTGTCGAAGAGAAGCCACTTCTTGCGCACACCTCGTGCAATACTGAGGGAGATTTTGGTGGGTTTCCTTTAAGATAAAAATCTTTTTGAAACCTTTGAAACTTTTGAAGCTTTTGGGAAAAACTTTGGTGTACTTTGGATTCAAAAATCAGCAATGACAGCCTTTCTGGCGCACTTGGTTGACACGAATTTCTGTAAGCACTGAAAATTGCTTTCAGAAATGATTTTGGTGTTAAAGAAAGTGCACTAGAAAGGGTGTGTTTCGATTTTTTTTTTGAGCAAAAAGTACATAGTGAAAGTTTTTCGAAAAATTTCCCTTTAAAATCACTTTTGCATCGATTTCAGCGAAAAAAAAATCGTAAATCGAAGATTTTGGTCGTAAAATTCGTGCGAAAAAGGTTTCTTTTCGTCATTTTTTTTCGAAAAAAAACCATTTTTCACAATATTTTTTTTTTCAATTTTGACCCTTCAATAATTTATTTTTCCCTTTCTTTTTGAACCAATAAACTGTGAAAATCCCACTGATAAGCGATTTTCGCGGGCGAATTTTCAAGGCGTATTCAATTTTTGACCAAATGCGACTACGATTTGGGAAAATATTTCGACCAGCATGCTTGAAAAGTAAATTTTCTTTAATTTCATAAGTTTGAACACTTTATTCTTTGCTTTCTCATAATCACGTGGCTTTTGGCTTGCGTAATTAAACCGACCGAAGAGCTTTTCCGTTTGGCTTTACCCGGACGGCAATGTGCCGTTTTCCTGCGCCTCCCCATCATCGCTCGCTTTGTGGTACATCGACTTGGGTAATTAAACCGGCTGATCGGCTTTCCCAGCTGCCATTACCCGGGCCAGTGTGCCAGACTCCGTTTTTTCTTACGTCGACAGGGAAAGAACGCACGACCCTTTGATCAAGCGAGATTTGTGCGTTCTTTCCCTGTCGCTCGTAAGAAAAAGCGGAGTCTGGCACATGGCCCCGGGATAGGGGCGGCCGAAAATGCCCCTCTTCCGGTTTAATTACCCAAGTTTGAACCAGAAGACGCGCTTTCTCTTAGAGTAGCGCTGTGTGATCTTTCCATGTCGCTCGTAAGAAAAAACGGCATCTGGCACATGGCCCCGAGTTATGGCAGCCGGAAACCTGTTTCAGTCGGTTTAATTACCCAAGTCGATGTACCACATAGCGAGCGATTATGCTAAAGCTCAGGAAAACGGTTCTGGACTTAAAAATGTACAAACGAATACAGTATAAAGCAATAAGCAATAGATTTATTATTCGAATCTTTTCAGTCCCCGCCGAGCCATCAGTGCCAATCGAAGAGAAGACATTTGTCGATGGCGAGACACAATTCATAGCGATTTCTACAAAAGAGACGGGATGCGGGGAAAGGATTGAGATCAGCGATAGGTAAAATTTCAATAAAATTATAGAAAAAAGACTTTTTTTTCCAGGGAAACAATGACAAATCGAGTCTATTATCGCTCGTTTCCATCTCAAACAGCTCAAGTAGAAACGAAAGAAACGGCTTGTTCTCCAATCACTCATTTACTTGATTTGTACATCGAAGAGTTGAAAGCACAGGTATTTTAATTGTTTACCAAATTATCTAAATATTAGATTCATTTATTCGCTCTATAGATAAATTCTTGGCTTCTTGGCTTCTTGGTTTCTTGGCTTCTTGGCTTCTTGGCCTCTTGGCTTCTTGGCCTCTTGGCCTGAACATTTCTCCATCTATAAATCTCAAAGTACAAGCGAAAATCAAATCAAAGACCTTACTATTAATGCACAAAGCCGTCCGTCACCTCTACGAAGATCTCACTGCAGCAATGCGCTTTTGTAGCCGACTGTAACCTAACGAGAATACCGTAGCCTACCAGAATACCTTAATGTGGCCGACCGTAATCTACGAGAATACCGTAAGGTAGCCGACTGTAACCTAACAGAATACCGTAACCTACGAGAATACCGTAATCTAATGGAAACTAAACCTAATTAAGTCTATTTATCAAGTAAAGACTTAAATTTTGCAGTAATATAGCGTAAAAACTATCAAAAACCTTTTCAGCTTGCTACAAACTCTTGCCAAGCATCACCCTCGATTTCCACTCCATCCACGACGAATGCCGAAGCACAAACGGAGCTCGGTTTTGAAATAACTCCAGTTTTCTATACTTTTCAATTCTAGAAGCCGAACTCCTACACGAGCTCTCGCAAGAGCCAAAACTTTACGCCGAAAATGCAATCAATGAAAGCTGGCTACAGGAGAAAACACTTGTCAACACCGCTAGTGGACCAGATGTGCAAAGAGTAGAGGTGATTTTGATTTTAAGCTTAACAAAAATGGTTACTCTAGCAATTCTAGCAATTCTAGCAATTCTAGCTATTCTAGCAATTCTAGCTATTCTAGCAATTCTAGCAATTCTAGCAATTCTAGCAATTCTAGCTATTCTAGCTCAAATCGATTCAAAACCATCACAAAATCTAGAATTAAATATGCTAAATTCAAAGATCAAGTAAATAATTAAAGATCGCTTTTGCATATCAGCTTTTTTGGCGGGGTAAAGATGCAGAAGTATTGCTGAAATGTTTTTCGAGGTCCATATTCCAGATAATCGACTCATCCACCCCGTGCAAGTATTGTCAACAAAAGGAAAACGTTTTCACGCGAAATGTTGGAGTTGGCGCGTGTGCCATCACCGATAAGGTGACTCTTGATCTAGATCTTTAAATCCTAAACTAGTAACTAGTCAATCGACAAGATAAGCTCTAATTTGTTGTACATTGACAAGCATGTGGAGTAAAAGGAGTCGTATATAAGGCGCCACTCGGCGTATATAAGGCGGGCTTAGCGTATATAAGATGGGCTTATCGTTGATAATGCGGGCTCAGCGTATATAAGGCGGCTCGGCGTACATAAGGCGGGCTCAACGTATATAAGACGGGCTTAGCGTATATAGGACGAGCTTGGCGTATAAAAGGCGGGCTCGGCGTATATGAGAGACAGGAACACACTCTAAGCATGATATCTGTGACGTTAATCCAAAATTATAACAAGTTCGATGGCCACTTCTGTCCTTGGTCTTTTACCACTGACAATAACAATCACAAACATCCAGTTTACGATTTGATAACACAATATTCTCCAGAACGACCAGTTTCCTTAAAAATTACAAATTCTCGAAATAATTCACTGATTTTGTCAACGTTTCACGGCACTTTTTCCAGGTTTGCTCTCAATGCGACGGGGCGAGCGATGAAGTTGATGAAAATGAGGTATTGTCGAGTCTTCTGCACCAGATTTGTTCTGAACCAAAGCACTAGAATGAAAAAATTGTGATACCCGAGATTTTTGCGTTATTAGTTCATTGACTCTTGTATTTTTTTTTTTTGAAGGTTCCCGGTTTTTCCCCAACTGTACCTGTCGAGCTGACTCGCGCGGCTGCCACGAAGAAGTTACTCGAGCAAACAACACCATTTGTCAGGTAGTAAAGCTGTGATAGAATATTCACTTAAAAAAACTGATTTTTCATTTTATTATCTAATAAAATTTTACAATATTTCCAGAGGATCACCAATCTCAAAATCGTGTCGCGAGACGCGCCGCAGCAAATCTGGTGACGATCTCGAGTTTATCGAGAAACAGCATAATAAAAATACACAGGTGAGTGATATGATTTGGAACCACTCCGGTTGAAGAAAAAGCACTTTTTATGACCTCCTCGCTGGCCGTGTGCCAGATGGGGAACGATTATGCGCGCGCAGAAAGAACATCTCACAAAAGAAAAAGGCCCTTTTCTATGAGCCCTCGCGGACCGTGTGCCAGATGGGGAAACGAGAAAACGATTAAGCGCGCGCACAAAGAACATCTCACATAAGAAAAAGGCTCTTTTTTAAGACCGCCTCGCTGGCCGTTTGCCAGATGATGGGGGATTATGCGCGCGCACCAAGAACATCTCACACAACAAGAGCTCTCTTTTTATGACCCCCGCTGACCGTTTGCCAGATGATGAGGGATTATGCGCGCGCACAAAGAACATCTCCACTTTATACAGGATTTTTCTTTGACTTAGTAAATGCCTTCCAAATAAGATCTAGAACTAAAAACTTGTACCCAGGGGTTTTCAGGGTCGGGGAATCGATTGAAAAAGTTATTGTAATCGTTAATCACTAACAAAACTGTGATTTATTCAGTTTGAATGCCTTTTAAATAAATGAATATTTAAATTTCCCGAAAATCTCGTCAATTTCGTTCGAAAATGAACAGATAATGGATTTTCCCTGCTGCTTGTCACTCTCATCTAAATGCCATCGCTTTCACTTTCTTTTTTTTTTTGTTGCGTAAAGCACTAACGATGATGGGATTCTGAAAGGATTTTGAGTGGAAAAAGGGAAGAGCTTTCAAAAGCTTTCAATAGGAAAAAGTGGGGTGGGGATTTAGTGCTGTTTAGAATGTGATAAAGCTCGAAACAACCCCTAAAATCAGATTCATTCAAGCCTGTTTGATCGACTTTTATTGTTACCTTTGTAATGTGCTGAAAAGGGAAACGCGCACTTTCTGGCGCACTGAGTTCCTCATTTTCTCGCAGTAATGCACTGTTCTCGTCTACCGTAATCTACCAGAATACCGTAACCTAATGTAAACTAGATGTAAGCTATCGTAGAGTACTGGAAACTACGTAAAATACACCGTAATCTACCGTAACCTACCGTAATCCAACGTAAACGATCCCCTAGTCTACTGTAATCTGGCGTAAACTATCGTAGTCTACTGGAAACCACCGTAATCTAACGTAAACTACCGTAATCTACTGGAAACTACCGTAATCTACCGTAAACTACCGTAATCTAATGTAATCGTTACCCTAATCTACCGTAATCTACCGTAGTCTACCGTAATCCACCGTAAACTGTCGTAAAATCTACTGGAAACTACCGTAATCTACCGTAAACTATCGTAATCTACCGTAATCTAACGTAAACGATACGGTAATCTAACGTAATCTATCGCAAACCACCGTAAACTACGCAATCCAACGTAGCTATTGTCAAGTGAAGATTAGGATACTTTAAGAAATTTGATTTGTAAAGACTCCTTTCCGATTCTCCTCTCCAATTTCTTTTACAAATTCAAGAGGAATTCGTATTCGTAAAAAGTGAAAGAACTTTTGCCTTGTTCTTCTTCCTTTCTTCCTTTCCTAACCCCTTTAATCATCACTTTCTTGTCATCAACCAGTCATTCGATCATTCCTTTCTTTCCCTCTTTCCTTCCTTTCCTTTCTTTCCCTTCTTTCCCTCTTTCCTTCCTTTCCTTTCTTTCCCTTCTTTCCCTCTTTCCTTTCAACTTTCACCTCTCCTTTTCTCCTTTTCACTCATCAATTCTCACCTTTCTTTTGTTTAAATAATACAATGGGTTTTCAATCAGAGATTATTCGCTTTTAGTTTCAGCTTATTGATTGAATGGATTTACTTTTTAACTTTGTACTTTGTACTTTGTACTTTGTACTTTTAGCCTTTCTGACGCTCAAAACTTGCATTTTGCCATCTAGCGCACTGATTATCATGCGCCAAACTTCCTATTTCCGATGTATTTTGTGCTCAAATCTGGAAACGCATCCCTTCTGGCGCATTGAATTCTTTATTTTAATTCTCTATTCTCTCAAAATCCTGATTTTCCAATCAAGATTTTACCTCAACTTCCAAAAAAACGATGAAACCTGATATCAAGAATCTTGCTTTGGCAAAAAATTGGCAAAAAATTTGACAAAAAGTCTATTCCAATTTCTCCTTTTCCAAGAAAAAACTGAATCTCATTTATGAATTGAATGGAAACGTTTTGGGTTTTTGCATTTTTTTCGATGATTCAAAGAGTTTTTCTTTCCAACTTTACTAGCAAGCCGTTGAATCAACGATGTTTTTATGCTTTCCACAATCGCGCCGCTTTTGGCACGACTTGGGTAATTAAACCGGTTGAAAGGCGTTCCCAGCTGCCATTACCCGGGCCAGTATGCCAGACGCCGCTTTTTCCTACGAGCGACATGGAAAGAACGCACAGTGTTCTTGCCTTCGAGTTCCTTTTGGCATTTGGCTTTTGGCAAGACTTGGGTAATTAAACCGACTGAAATGCGTTTCCGGCTGCCATTACCTGGGCCAGTGTGCCAGACTTCGCTTTTTCTTACGTCGACAGGGAAAGAGCGCACAACCCTTTGATCAAGCGAATTTTGTGCGTTCTTTTCATGTCGCTCGTAGGAAAAAGCGGCGTCTGGCATACTGGCCCAAGTAATGGCAGCTGGGAAAGCCGATCAGCCGGTTTAATTACCCAAGTTTCGGGCGTTTGTTTGAAAACATAAAAAAGCTTCATTTTCTGATGAATTTACTTTTTGAGGTGTACTTTTTACTGATTTTGCACCGAATCCTTCATTTCTCACAGAAAAGAACGAAAGAAAGGGTGCACCAGAAGGTATGCGTTTTGAAGAATTGAGAGCAGAAAAAGTCGCTAAACTTTTTTGCAAAAAAACTAGAATTTTTCAATTCTTAACCTTCAAGAAGATGGGATTATTTGGGGTAAAAATTGTTTGATAAAAGGAAAGGAAAAAGAAGAATTTACATTCATTCTCACTTTAACACTTTTTCGCATGAAAATCACCCTCAAGGACATTCACTTTTCATTCATTTCTTCTCGCAAAAAACCTCGAATTGTATAGAACCAAAAAAAAAAAAAAAAAAAGCGATTTTCGATTCTTTTTCTACCATTTCTATTCATTTCTATGCAAATTTAAGGCATTTTTAAGGCTTTACTCACTTTTTTTCAACCTTTTTCTGGCAGTTTCTCTTGATTATTTTACAAAATTTCTTTTCTTTTTATCGAAATTCAAAAAAAACAGTTCTAAACGGAAATATTTCGTAAATAAACTGAAATTAATTAAAAAAAATCCCTTCTTTTTTCCATTTTCAATAAGAAAATCTCCGTTCAATTAAGCTGATGAATTTCGAAAAGAATTGCGTAACTTGAAACAAACGTTTATCTTGTCAAACAAGTGCACTAGATGATGTGCGCTTGCAAAATGATCTCTTGAATTCATTTCATTTCAATTTGAAATCTTTTGAAGAACTTACTTATTCTTTGTGCTTTTCCGTAAACGTACCCCATCTAGCGCACTAGGGTAACCCATCGAATTCTCTATTTTCTTAAAGAAAAATGCCTTTTGGGGAGTGTTGAGTGCGCTAGAAAGGGTACGTTTGCAAGGCTCAGGCTTAGGCTTAGGCTTAGGCTTAGGCTTAGGCTTAGGCTTAGGCTTAGGCTTAGGCTTAGGCTTAGGCTTAGGCTTAGGCTTAGGCTTAGGCTTAGGCTTACTCTCAGGCTCAAGCTTAGGCTTTATCTTTTTAAGAGAATCACCGAAAAATCTCAAAGAATCAGTTTTTAGCAAGACTGAGCCCAAGCCTAGGCCCAAGCCTAAGCCTAAGCCTAAGCTTAAGCCTAAGCCTAAGCTTAGGCCTACCTTTAAGCCTACCCTTAAGCCTAAGCCTAAGCCAGATTTGAGCACAAAGTACAATTCAGAGAATGTTTCGATTCCTTTGATGAACTTGATTTAAAATGTTGATTTTTCCAAATGCTCCTTTGTACATCACGAGGGTTTTCATGAATTATGAAAATCTGAAAACGAGTGAATCAAACGGTGAACAAATTCCGAATGATGGAGGGTATTTCTCGGCTGAGGAGGTCATTCAAAAGTCCACAAATTTGCGTTTAAATCTATTTAAATCTATTTAAATCTATTTAAATCTATCTAACATATCTACAAAAAAACAAATCTAAATCTAAAACCTAAGCTTGGCATACTGTATAATTTGTTTATCTTTAGAAAGAGCCATCTCCATCCCCGGCGCCAACCGTTCCGTCAACTGATGTAGCCGAGGCACTCACCACGAAAGTCATCCTCAAAAAGGTTGGCGAAGATTGGAGAAAAGTATCGATAGATCCACCGGATACTGTAGACTATGTATCCTTGAAGTTTAGCAGATAGTTACAGTACTCTAAGCAAGCTATTGTTCTAGGAGGTGCTTCCACCACCTTCTAAACTTCCCGAGCCGATTCCTGCGCGGATACCGAGGCCAAAAATCAGCAAGGTTGGTCATTGGATTACTGTAGATTACTGTAGGTTACTGTAGACTACTGTAGACTGTATACTACTGTAGATTACTGTAGATACTGTAGATTACTGTAGAAGCCTAAATAACTACCTTTTCAAATGAAGTACATTGGATCAGAGGTACGATAGCGTGAAGCGCATTTTAAAAAACAGAGATCAGAGCAAAGCAATCTCTAAGATTTTATGAACAGTTAGTACACTGTCCGAATGGAGTACCGTAGCTGAGCTGTGTCTTACAAAGTAAAACTTTACAATACGCTGTAGGTGGGCTGCTTCAAGAGGGCTACTGAAGCAGAGCCGTTTTCAAAATACTGGAGAGTACTGGGCAAAGCGCAAAACTTAAGAAAACCACTTTAGCACATATTCAAGTACAGTAGGTTGGCTCGAGTTGAGTACGGTAGCGCTATGTTCTAGTCTAGGAGTCTAGAGCTATGTTCTAGTCCTAAAAAGTCCTAGGTTAGCCCGAAAGCTTGAGCTATCCAAGCTTTCACAGAGCTTTTACTCTAAAACATATAGTAGCTGCTCGTACAGTATTTAATAGTTTATCGTAATCGGTAATCTAAAATATACAGTAAGCAAGTTTATTGTAGTCACTAATAAAGGCTACAGTATGATGACTATAGACACTGATAGAAGGCTACAGTATGATGGCTATAGACACTAGTAGAAGGCTACAGTATGATGACTATAGACACTGATAGAAGGCGACAGTATGATGGCTATAGACACTGATAGAAGGCTACAGTATGATGACTATAGACACTGATAGAAGGCTACGGTATGAGGGCTATAGACACTAGTAGAAGGCTACAGTATGATGGCTAGACAACTAATAGAAGGCTACAGTATGATGGCTATAGACACTAGTAGAAGGCTACATTATGATGGCTAGACAGCTAATAGAAGGCTACAGTATGATGGCCATAGACACTAGTAGAGGGCTACATTATGATGGCTAGACAGCTAATAGAAGGCTACAGTATGATGGCTATAGACACTAATAGAAAGGCGCAGTATGACGTTTGTACAGTTAAACATAGTCTTTTTACCCTAAAGCATACAGTATACTTAACTCGAAAACTTTAGACAAGTTTACCAGTCACTCATACTCCAAACTCTTACAGTATGCCGTCCCACACGGTGAAGCGGAGACTCCTGACGAGATCGAAGAGGCACAAGACCGGTTGACTCCGTTGCGCTCCGAGTTACGGACATTAGGGCGATGGGCGAGAAATACTTATGATGAACCAACGCATGAAACGATTGACGAGAGAAAGGATAAACATAGGTAAACTTGAAAATTTGCCATTTTCTAGATGCCAATAAAGTTTCGAATTTTTTTCTTTAGCAACTCCGTTCCAAAAGCCTTCATTTTGAGCGCTATTTGGAGCTCTCGGTAAATCGAAAAAGCACAAAATTTCTTTTGCTTTTGCACCTTTTTCTTTGTTTTTCCCCGTTTAAGTTGCTTAATTTTTTTTTTTTTGATTTTGCTAGGCTTAGGCTTAGGCTTAGGCTTAGGCTTAGGCTTAGGCTCAGCTCAGGCTCAGGCTTAGGCTTAGGCTTAGGCTCAGGCTCAGGCTTAGGCTTAGGCTTAGGCTTAGAGAATTTTGCAATTTCGAGTTTGAAATCTTTAATTTCAGTGATTCTGAAGAGGAGGGCGTTGAGTCGGATGGAAGTGAGGGAACTTATGAGATACAGGTGAATCAAACGAATATTTACAGTGCCCCAAACAACGATTCTTTACAGCTAGTACAGTGCTCCACCCTAACAACCAGTACGATATTCTAGTTACAGTATCCTAGCTACGAGAGCTCACAACAGTACCCTAGTGCCAGTAGAGTACCCGTTCCAGTTACAAAATCCGACTACGGCCCGCATAACCAGTACTGTAGTTCAGTACAGTACCCTGTACAGTACAGTGTACAGTATCCCAGTACAATAGCTGGTACAGTATTCTAGTACAATATCCTGTTCAGTAACCCAATAGAGAAGCCTGTACAGTTTCCCAGTACAATAACCGGTACAGTATCCCAATACAGTATCCTGCACAGTTTCCCAGTACAATATCCTAAACCTGAAACACTTTTTAGCTTTAGAACCAGGGTAGACCAGCTCTAGACCCTATTCTTGACCATTTTAGTTCTTGCTCTAGTCATAAGCTCATCTATATTAATTGAAACCAAGCTTGATTCTAAAATAATAGTATTACTTTAATTTGAGCCTAAATTGAGCATCTCAACTAGTTGCGAGAAAGGCGACATCGAAACTTTCGCAACTTTTCATTATCCAGCTCGATTGCCTTTCTCGATTATCCGGAATTTAGCAAACAAGTTTGCACATGTTCATAGTAGAGCTTCTCCTTTGACGATTAGTTGAACAGAGGTCCTTAAGTTTTTGAAGAAATCTTTTACAACATCTCGCAGATGTTCAAATGGCAAATAATCAATAGTAAAAGTTGCTAAAATTTTGAAATAACAGAAATTGAGGAAGCTTTGATGTTTTTGTGGAAAAGCGTTCTTGACTTTGTCAATTTCACACAAAAGCTCTCATTTTTATTACAAGTTTAGAGATTATAGTGACATTTTCAGGAAGAACTGATTGAAGAGGGCACTCCATTCGAGATCTCGACTCCTTTAAAAGAGGCGATGGGCTCATTGAATGATCATTTGCAACACCCAGGATCGATCACCGATGAGACGGCGGTAAGTGGCTTTAAATTGACTAAAGCCTAAGCCTAAGCCTAAGCCTGAACCAAGCCAAAGCCTGAGCCTGAGCCTAAGTCCAAGCCTAAGCCTAAGCCTAAGTCTAAGCCAAAGCCTGAGCCTGAGCCTGAGTCTGAGCCTGAACCTAAGCCTAAACCAAACCTAAGCCTAAGCCTAAGCCTAAGCCTAAGTCCAAGCCTAAGTCCAAGCCTGCCTAAGCCTAAGCCTGAATTTTTGGCTGCTAGTTGTTGCTTAGGAAATTCAATAGTACCAGGTTTATTTGGGAGTCCATTGGAGTTCGAGTACGATAGATCTTTGGTAAAATAACTTCAAACGACAGTCTGTTACTGTTTATCTTCTTTCTAAAGCCTAACTTACTATATATAAAAGAAATCTATTTGTATTTTCAAGGAATGGGCGCTGAAATACGTGCAACACGAGTGGCTGAAAACTGCGGCCAAAAAAAACTCGCAATCGGCTCATGTTGAGGTGGTTTTCTTCAAGAAAAAAATGATAGAAAAATAAAGCTTTCGAAGATTTACATATTACTAGATTTTATCGAAAATTTTAGGTGGTTCTAGAAGCGCTGAAAGAGTTGAGTCAAACGACTCTCAAAACTGTTGTCAACATGACCGATCAAAATGTGAGTGAAGAAAAACTGTACAAGGCTGTACTAAATCAAAATATATTGAAAACTATCGAAATATATTTTTCAGGGTAACGCCGCTTTGCATTACGCCGTTTCGCACAGCAATTTCTCTGTAGTCTCCTCGCTGCTCGATTGTGGACATTGTGAGCTGAATTTGGCGAATAAGGTGAGAAAATAAACATCTCTAAATAATTAATCGCTGGCACATCGACTTGGGTAATTGAACCGACCAAGCAGCGTTTCCGGCTGCCATTACCCGGGCCAGTGTGCCAGACCCCGCTTTTTCTTATGAGAAACAGGGAAAGAACACACAAATCCAGCTCGATCAAAGGGTTCTGCGTTCTTTCCATGTCGCTCGTAAGGAAAAGCGGGTTCTGGCACACTGGCCCGGGTAATGGCAGGCGGAAACGCTTCTCGGCCGGTTTTTAATCGCTGGCTTTCTGGCACATCGACTTGGGTAATTGAACCGACCGAGAAGCGTTTCCGGCTGCCATTACCTGGGGCAGTGTGCCAGACCACGGTTTTCTTATGAGAGACAGGGAAAGAACGCACAAATCCCTGGATTTGTGCGTTCTTTCCCTGTCTCTCATAAGAAAAAGCGTGGTCTGGCACACTGTCCCAGGTAATGGCAGCCGGAAACGCTTCTCGGCTGGTTTAATTACCCAAGTCGTTGTGCCAGAAGGGACGTGTGGAAAACGCTGATATCAATTCCAGGCCGGGTACACTCCGGTAATGTTAGCCGCGTTGAGCAATTTGGACAACGATGTTGAGCGGACTGTTGTTCATCGGTTCGTTTTTTTTTTTTGCTGATCATCATACAAATTTGATTTCGTTTTGAGTTTGAATCAAATTTAGCCTTTTCCAAGCGGGCAACGTGAACGCTCGAGCCACTCAGCACGGGCAAACGGCTTTAATGCTAGCTGTGTCTCATGGGAAAAAGGAAACCACACAATTGCTGTTAGAGAATGGTGCCGATGTGAATATTCAGGTGAGAAAAGTGGATCAAATTTCGTTGTATGGAGTTTTATGAGTCAATTTTCTCTTATATCCTCTTATAATGTTGTACAAAAAATGCAAAACTACAACTAAATCCCTAAATATAGAGAACCGATAAAGAAAAATCAAAAATCTAGCCAGTGGGATTGAACCCTCGACTTTCGTTGATCGATTAGCCAAAGAGACTGAGCTCTTAGCCAGTCGGCTAAGAGAATTGCTTTATTATAGAGAAGCTAAGAGCTTTGGGGTTTCAGGATGAAGAAGGATCGACGGCTTTGATGTGTGCGGCAGAGCATGGGCACAGAGAACTCGTCAAACTGCTGCTGGCACAACCAAATGTCGATGCTGCGCTAGCTGATTGTGTAAGTTGAAGGAAATAGTTGAGAAACAAGGAAGAAGACCAAGGAAAAAGATCAAGTCCAGACTCCAGTCCAGAGCCTAAATCCACTAAACTATTTGCTATTTCTATTTCTCATCCAGCATTTACCATCTAGCAATCTAAACGAATTTAGCAGTCCAGCACTTAGCAATTTTGTTAAATGCTAATTGCAAAGTGGTAAATTTAGCATTTGGCTGACCTGGGAAAGGAAAGAAGGAAAGAACTGATTGAAAGGAAGAACTGACTGAAAGGAAAGCTAGCTTGAATTCCCTGGCTTGGATTCACGATTAGTTAGCAGAAGAACAAGAAAAGTTCACTAGTTCATAAAGTAAATTGCTTATAAAGTAAATTGCTTATAAAATAACTTGCTCTTTCAGGACGCCTCAACAGCGCTGACGATCGCCGTCGAGAATGGACACAGCGATATCGGTGTCCTGATCTATGCTCACCTCAACTATGCCAGATCTGAATATGCATAAGAAAATTTCTTCACTAATTCTAAGTAATCTAGTGTACTTTGTGCTCAATTTCTCTAAACGCATCCTTTCTGGCGTCTTCGTTTTCCCGTAAAAGTTTTCTGAGAGATTTCAGTGCGCTAGAAAGATTTTGTTTACAATTTAACCACGAGAAAGCCTTTGATTTGTTTTCAAGTGTACTTTGTGCTTAGAAATTGTAAACGCATCTTTTCTAGTGCACTGAATCGTGGAAGGAAAAGGCTGAAGGAAAAGCGCAGAGAGGAGAAAGGAGAAGCCATAAAAAGTGCCTTTTTTTTTGCATAGAGCCTAAGCCTGAGCCTGAGCCTGAGCATCAAGTACACGATGTAGCCAAGAGTGGTTAGTGCTTTCGTCTCTCAATCTAAACGATTCAAACGATCTAAGCTCGATTGCTGACCTGTCTTTTCCTCTATTTTCTGCTCAATTGCTACCAAACTTGCCTTCCAACTCGTTTCAAATTTCGTTCAATTCTTTTTTTTTCCAATTTCTTTCCAATCTTTTTCCAATTTCTTTCGAATTTCCCCAAAAAATGACCTCTCTTTCTGTACATTTATGAAATTTTTCTGAAAAAAATCACCTGTGATTATGAAAATTTTACAGAATTTATCAATTTTATTAATTTTCTAATGTTATTTTACGAGTATTCGTTTGAAAATGAAATTTTTTTTTCAAAAAAAGGAAAAAAATAGACTTTATCGCAAAGAAAACGGGAAAAATGAGGAAAAACATGGCAAGAATGATGCAAGAGATTTGAAATAAAGAAATAAATAAATAAAGAAATAAAGAAATAAAGAAATAAAGAAATAAAGAAATAAAGAAATAAAGAATAAATAAAAAATAAAGAAAAAAGATTTGTATTTCTAATAAGTATTTCTAGGAAGCTGAATACCAATAAATTAGTGAGTACAGAAGCGGAAAATGATCGATTTCGATTCTTTTTTTCGATTGCAGAAGCGCAAAATGCTTGATTAGGGCTAAAATGAACATTTCGGAATCGATCTCTGGAACCTGGAAAAACCCTGTATGCTATTTTTCGCCTTAAAGCTTATCTGCTTACTTCGAAAGAGTCAAAAGAAAATCCAGGGTTAATCTTTGGTATTCTTTGTGCTTTCCACAACCGCTTGCCTTTCGGTACATCAAACTTGGGTAATTAAACCGGCATCGGGAAGTCCCCGGCCGACTCCACCCGGCCCAATGTGCCAGATGTCGCTTTTTCCTACGAGCGACAGGGAAAGAGCGCACAGATCTCGATTGATCAAGGCGTAATTACGGTGCGTTCTTTCCATGTCGTTCGTAAGAAAAAGTGGAGTCTGGCACACTGGCCAGGCTAATGGCTACATCAAACTTGGGTAATTAAACCGGCATTGGGAAGTCCCCGGCCGACTCCACCCGGCCCAATGTGCCAGAAGCCGCTTTTTCCTACGAGCGACAGGGAAAGAGCGCACAGATCTCGATTGATCACGGTGCGTTCTTTCCATGTCGTTCGTAAGAAAAAGCGTGGTCTGGCACACTGGCCAGGCTAATGGGAGCCGCAAGTGCCCGTCGCTTGGTTCAATTACCCAAGTTTCTTTTCTGTAAGAAAGCAAACGATTGTCAAAAAAACCATAAAAAGCACCGCTTCTGAACTCGCTTTCTTCAACAGAAGACAAAAAAAAATTGGTGTTGTAACTGACGTTTAGCACACATTTTGGCGTTCACATTTCTTTTTTTTTTAAGGCAATACTTTTTCGGCCAACTTAAAGATCATTCGATGTAAAGAAGAAGAAGGAAAATAGAGATAAAATTGCACTAAAAATTGAGGTGAAAATGTAAATCAAAGAAGGAGAAAATTTAAACCTAAATTTTCTATAGAAAACTTTGCTTTTTTTTGCACAAAAATGGGGAAAATTAAAGCTGGAATTGATTCGTTTTCGATGGAATTGATTTCAAATTTCCAAAAACTCTATTTTGATTTGAAAAAGCGAAGAAGCCGTCGGCCTTTCGGTTTCCCTTCTTTCGAGTTTCCTGAATTTTTGCGATCCGGTGGAATGGCGTGGCTGTCACTTCTGAAAATCGTTTATTTTAGGGAATCGAGTGTACTTAGTGCTTTTAAACATTGCCTATCTGGTGCACTCAATTCTTTAAGCATTTCTAGAGTTCAGAAATATCAGCTAGAAGCTTGGGTTTATCATTTTAGACGAATCTTTAAGACTCTTTAAAGAATTCATTTTGAATTTTTTGATTTACAATTAATCCTACAATCAACCGTTGTACCGTAACCCAATCATAGCCTTAACCCTACAATCAGACGTTCTACTGTAACCCAAAGGTAGCCTTAACTCTACAATCAACCGTCTCTACCGTAACCCAAAGATAGCCTTAACCCTACAATCAGACTGTCTCTACCGTAACCCAATCATAGCCTTAACCCTACAATCAACCGCCTCTACCGTAACCCAATAATAGCCTTAACCCTACAATCAACCGTCTCTACCGTAACCCAAAGATAGCCTTAACCCTACAATCAACCGCCTCTACCGTAACCCAAAGATAGCCTTAACCCTACAATCAACCGCCTCTACCGTAACCCAAAGATAGCCTTAACCCTACAATCAACCGCCTCTACCGTAACCCAATCATAGCCTTAACCCTGTCTGATTAAAAGATAAAGCAATTAAAAGGTTGCGAGATATTTGATATTGATAAAAATATGCCATTTATCAATCCAACTTTAAACTCAAATATCTTCCTATTGGTTTGTTCAATTTTAATAGTTTTTGTACCAATCGACAGAGAAAGACTTGGCGCATTTAATGATATATAAAAATATTGAAATTCGAAAGTTCCAACACTAAGATATTTGAGCTCAAAGTTGGGAATCAAATATCCGATCACCGATCAATATTAGGAGTACTGTAGCATCTAGAAAGGGTTTACCTACTTCATAACACTGTTTTTTGCAACAAATAGAAGTATAAACTCACTCATTACTATCCATGCTTTCACTTCTCGTGATGCTTTCCGTGGTGAAAGTCGCTTTTCGAGCGTTGACGAAAGCGGGTGGGGTGACTGGAGTCAACGGACTTTGGGGGATGTTTGGGGCGTCCATTGATGGGAAACTTCTGTAAATTTCAGTATTATATGTTACGATAGAATCCGATAGGATCGATCAAATGATAGGATTGGATTCTATCGTTAGAAGCCGATTCTATCGTTAGAATCCGATTCTATCGTTAGAATCCGATCACAAATTGTCTTGTGGCCGAATTTTGCCAAATTCTGTCGACATTCTGACGAGAGAACGCGATTCTGACGATAGAATTCGATTCTTTTGTAATCTTTATATCAAATAGATCTTAAGAATCATTTCTTAAGCTGCTTAAGAAGCTTAAGAAGATCTAAGCGTTAATTGGGCTAAATTTCAGTAATGCAAACACCGCAAATACTTTTTGTTGACTTTTTGACAGAAGTTGACGATTAGAGAGTGGAAAAGTTGCTTGAGAAAATACTTTGTCTGAACTGAAGTGAACTCAAGTTTTGTCGAATCCGATTCAATAATAAAATGCTAATTTTTTAGGGATATAATCGGATTCTATCTATATTATTTATAAAAAAAAAAGAAAAGAAAGAAGAGGAAGAAAGAAATGAAATAACCAACTACGATAGACAATGACGACGATTTTGTTCAGTTAACTAGTTTAAAAGTCTAAAGAAATGCTAAAGAAAAGGTTAAGAAAGGAAAGGATAAGAAAGGAAAGGATAAGAAAGGAAAGGATAAGAAAGGAAAGGATAAGAAAGGAAAGGATAAGAAAGACAAGCTTAACAAAGACAAGCTTAACAAAGAAAACCTTAACAAAGAAAAGCTTAAGAAAAGGTTTTCTTTAAAAACTAACCTCTCATGCGACAATGACGTTGATTTTGCATTGGAAATTGCCCGCGACGGTGTTCGAGCGCCAGCGAAAACCGAGCGATTTGCCTGTAAATTCTTATATTATATTATATTCTATTTTATTATATTCTATTCAAATTCTAAAAATTATAAGATACAAATTTCGATTTAAATTTAAGTTACCTGTAAAATCTCATGAGCTGAGCTGATCGTTTTCCCCGGATCACCTTGTGGCGTGATCTTGACCAAGACTAAAAGCGAGCTTAACTCAAGATCCTCACTGAACTGATTCCGAAGAGGCACCGAGCGATAGCCTGCAAAAAAAATAGCATAATAAGCATAATAATACTCAACGATTCAAGTAGAATATCAAAAAAATATGTTTATTTTATTATCGAAAGCTTTCATCTTCTAAATTCTTACCAGTTCGGATGGAATCGAGCGGAAAAACCGCTTGTCCGATGAAAGGATCCGTTTTTGGGCCCACAAAATCCCCGTCTTCAACCTGAATTCGATTGTGATTTTAGTAAAGAAAGAAAGAAAGAGATTTTCCATTCTTTTATAGAAGGGTTCAACGTTGACGTTGACGTTGACGACAATGCCTTTTTTTACACAAACAATCGCATGGGACAACGTTATTTTTTTGTCACCATCAGGTGACAATGTCCCAGGCGAACGAATATGTGTCAGACAGCATCAGTTGACAATGTCGTCAACATGTTAACAGAGCTATTTAACAGACCCGCCGCTGTTATAAGCTGTTATAAGTCCCTTAGAAGCACGGCTATCCACCATAGCTCAGTGGTAAAGCCTGGAAACCGGATCGATCCAATGAATCCCCGAGTTCGATCCCGGATGGGCATAAATGACTCCTTTTGAGAGCAGAACTTTACTTTAAAGAAGCAGACGTTAATCTGACGTTAATTGACTTTACAGAAGCAGACGCAGGCAAACTTGGGTAATTAAACCGAGCAGGAGGCCTTTCCGGCTGCATTTATCTTAACCAGTGTGCCAGACATCGATTTTTTCGATAAGCAAGAGAGAAAGAACGCACGATCTTCGTTCCCTGGTGCGTTCTTTCCTGTCGCTCTAAAAAAGCGCTTAAAAAAGCGGCGTCTGGTACACTGCTCCAGGTAAAAGCGGCCAGGAACGCTGGTTTAATTACCCAAATTGATCTGATACCAAATCTGATCAAAGCTTTAATCCAGATTCAGGTCTTTACCAGCTCTAGATTCAAAAATCGATTCAATAAGAGTGTTGATTTCTATTTTTCGTACATTTCTTTTATGTACTAAAACGTAGCCTTGAGCCCGAGCCTCTTTAACGTAGCCTCTTTTACTAAAGACCCACCAAGAATCGTAGCAGCGCCACTTCGGGACAATGAACATTGAAATCAAACGTTTCTTTCCAAATCGGATTTAAACCGTTCGAAGCTGAAATTTCGACAAAAAAAATGAGATTTCACTAAATAAGATTCCCTAAATAAGATTCTCTTCATTTCTTCAAATTTCTCCAAACAAAAAAAAGATCTTCTCAACTCACTAGCCGTCCTTGTCTTAAAAGTGGCATTGTCACAGTCAAGTCCGACAACTTCTACTTCAACATACGGTGAGCAAATACCCTAAAAATTGTCGATAAAGCTCGAGAAAGTGATCTAAAGTGATCAAAAAGGTAAAAAGGAAAGCTAAAGGCTAAAAAGGAAAGGCCTAAACCCAGAAATTAAACAGAAAATATAGGATTTTTAAGGAAAAATTTTTAATTAAAAGATTCCCATCGATAAGATGAGCCCTTTGCGCGGAAAGATCTTCGAAAAGGCTGAATTGGGAATCAATTTGCATAAATTATAAGAAATAATATAGAGAAAAAGCTTTTTAAAGCTTTAAAGTCGATTCTCACAATTTTCTTACCTTATTTTTGTCTTTTCTTGAAAGATGTCGTCCGCCAACCACCGTTACAGAGAGGCTGATCGGGCTCGATGTTTGCACCTAAGAATTCCTTGCATTCATGATATCATAATCGAGAATCGATTCCAAGATGAATACGAATAAATATTATACTTAAAACTAGCTAGTAACTGGGTAAGAAATGGTTTTTTTACTCGAAAATCCGGATAATAAATGACTTTTTCTCCGAAATCCGACTCTTTTCATTGTGAAAGATGTAAACCCTAAGAAAATTCGATTTTTGAGACTTTTCTTGGGCTAATGGGTTAAAATAAACTCGACCAAACGATTCCTTGGCCCCGAAAACCCCCAGGTACTGATTTTTAGCTCTAAATCTGATCTGGGAGCCATTTACAGAACAAAACAAAATCCCTGCGTGACTAGAGATGGGTTCTTTGTGCGCGAGCACAATCGCTCGCTTTCTGGCACATCGTCTTGATACATAGCTGTGTCCTTTCGGATCCGTCAAGTGAAGCGGCGGGTCTTTTTTCATCGCTGCAGACCTGGCTATGCCAAAGTCCCTGATTGAATATCTTTAGATGGACGACCTTTGCCGTTGTTGATAGCGTGCCGGTCTATCGCCCATACGATCCAGGTTCGATCTCCCCTTTACGACTCGGTTTGTGCTTTTGAAAAAATTCAAAAAACGGACAACTACATTTAATTCCCTATTCAACACCGCAAAAATCATTGGAAACGGTCCTCTGGGGGCTGGGGAGTAGCTCGCACAGACAGACAGACATACTCGGACGTCGGACGTCCATCTCTGAGTCGGACGTCCGTTTCAGAGGAGAATGAATCTCCTCAGATTCGGACGTCCGGATCGGAGATGGACGTCTCCTCAGGTTCGGACGTCCGGATCGGAGATGGACGTCTCCTCAGGTTCGGACGTCCGGATCGGAGATGGACGTCTCCTCAGGTTCGGACGTAACATATATATTAGGTGTGTGAAAAGGTAATCCACGTTTTTTATTTTTATTTTGTTTAAATAAATATATCTAAACAATTTTTAATTTTTTGTTAACGATATATATATCGTTTAAAAGCTTATTTTTTCCTCTTTCGAATGACATACTTATTTTGTTAAAAGGACGACAATAAACTACTTTCATTTTAGTTTGAAAATGGTATACACAAGTGTCGTTATTCGGTCAAATTTGCTTTATGAGTTCAAAAATGGGTTGAAAGCTGCGGAGGCTGCACGTCGAATTCGGAATGCGTTTGGCGAAGACGCCGTTACTGATGATACCGCTAGGTTTTGGTTCCAACGATTCAAAGGTGGTAATGAAAGCCTAGAAGATGAACCACGTGGCGGTCGCCCTGAGACCTGTCCGGATGACCAAATAAGATGCTGTCTTCTCGAAAACCCTCGTTCAACCTCTTCAGAAATAGGCCTTACATTAAATTGTGATGGGTCAACCGTAAGGAAACGCTTGAATGCCATGAATTTTATCAAAAAGTTGGACAAATGGATACCGCATAAATGTTAAAAACGTGGATTACTTTTTCACACACCTAATAGTATAAAGGGACTGGGATTTTTGCGATAAAGGGGACGTCTCAGTCCCTTCAATCAATTCCAGATCTAACTGACCTTTTCCGCTTGCAATGGATCATAATTCGGGTCGATCATGTAAGCCGGCTTGAGTACATATCCGCATTGGCCGTTCGCGAGGAATTTCCCTTGATTCAACTGCATCGGCCGGTCACCAGTCTGATAGTTGAGGGCAACCTAGAGACAAATTATATTCTATTATATTCTATGCAGTAAGTATTCTCTAAAGAATAATAGAAAAGCTACCATATGACAAGCGGCATTCCACATTGGAACCGGATTGAAGTTGGCCGATGTGATTCGAGAGCCTAACGGGTAAACACGTGTGATTTGACGAATGTTGAACGTGATTAAACCCTGAATTTTGCTTTAAATGACTTGTTTATTTATAGTTTAAATATTATTGTTAAAATTGATTCTAAATCTAAACCTAAATGTAATAAAGAAGCTAAGAAAGATAGAGATTTTTTTTCCTTAAAGATCAAAGACGATAAGTCTATTGGAAGCAATCCTTTTATATTTAGTTTAAAAGTCAAAACTATGATGGCTTAGACTAGCCTAGACTTGCCTGGATGACCTAGACTTGCCTGGATAGCCTAGACTAGCCTGGATGGCCTAGACTAGCCTGGATGGCCTAGACTAGCCTGGATGACCTAGACTAGCCTGGATAGCCTAGACTAGCCTGGATGGCCTAGACTAGCCTAGATGACCTAGACTAGCCTGGATGGCCTAGACTAGCCTGGATGGCCTAGACTAGCCTAGATGACCTAGACTAGCCTGGATGGCCTAGACTAGCCTGGATGGCCTAGACTAGCCTGGACAACCCAGTCTAGCCTAGCCTGGTTGACCTAGACTAGTTCTATGTCACAATACCTTTAGAATTAAGTGAATTTTAAGAAATTCTATTTAAGAAATAACCTTTTCAAGTAACTTTTCAAGTTTTGCTTCGACGAAAGAGCACATTTCCCAGAAATTCCCGTGTCCAACTCGTTCTGGATTGAATGGAACAGCCTAAAATTCAAATATTTGAAAGCTAACCAGTTCCCAAACAGCTTTATATTCAGAAGTTGCAAATAAGCTGAAAAAAAAGCTCTAAAACGCTAAAACGCTAAAAAAAAGCTAACAGAACTCAACATAGCCATTCAGATCTTTCCAATGGATTACATTCTAAGATGTATAAGGGCTTAAGTTACATTTATAATATAGTACAAACAATAAACAAGCACAATCCTTAAACTCTAAAGATTAGAAAGGAAAAAACTGGAAAAAAGAAACGACTGGATCAAAACGTGGGATCGAACCCTCGAGCTTCCGACCAAGAGACAAGGTTCTTAGCCAGTCGGCCACCAACTGCTCTTTGCTTACCTGACAATAGACGACCAAATTCGAAAGCTCTGACGCGATCCTCGCCGTTTTCTCTTTTGTTCTCAATAGAGAGATTTTGTCGTTCACCGATCGTGTCAACTCCCATAGTTGATTTTGCCAATCGTCTGCATCTTCTAAGCCTGAAATGAACGGATTTCAATTTGATTCTAATTTCATTTCATTTAATAGCTTCTAATTTATCATTTAAACTCAAAAATGCCCAACTGTTTGCCGCTAAACACCACGATTGTCCACTCCAATGATCACCAGCTTGTTGAATTCGCATCGAGTACGGTCTTTCGGATTCACCATGTGGGATCTAGAGTTGGATTTGGAGAAAAAGAGAATGCCTAAGCCTAAACCAAGTCTAAACCAAGCCTAAGCTTAAGTCTAAGCCTAAGCCTAAGCCTAAGCCTGAGCCTAAGCCTGAGCCTAAGCCTAAACCTAAGCCTAAGCTAAAGCCTAAGGTTAAGCCTAAGGTTAAGCCTAAGCTTAAGTCTAAGTCTAAGTCTAAACCAAGCCTAAGGCTAAGCCTAAGCGTAAGCCTAAGGTTAAGCCTAAGTCTAAGCCTAACTCAAACCCAAATAGACTTAGTGCGAGGCGCTAGCTGCTAGCCTTTGCACTAAGTCCAAGCCTAAACCTAAGCCTAAACTTGTCATTTGTTTAACCTAAAGATCGAATATTCTTTAATTTTCTTTAATTTTCTTTAAATTCTTCTTCTTCTTCTTCTTCTTTCTCTAAGACTGAATTTCCTTAATTCTTTAATTGAGCAGAACTTGAATTAATTTGTTTTCAAAAAACTTGGCTTTTATGTAAACCTTTGTAACCTTACCTTTGTAACAATTGTACCCGCTAATTCAATCGTTGCATATTGTGATTCACCACCGTTTTCTTTCTGATTTTTTTGTGGAAGAATCTCTTGAACGTAAGCTGGCGGAAACCAACCAGTTGTGGCACCGTATCTAAACTGTTTATCATACAAAGATCATTAATTTCTTCTTTTGTATAACTTTTAAAGAAACTTGACACTTACCTTCCACGCCAGAAATTCTCCTCTTTCCGCAAAACAGTGATGATTGCATTGACGGGAAAGGAAAGCTCGTCGTCACGAACAGCTTTGTACGGTCGAAGGGCGCGAGCTTGAACCTGGAAAATGGATTTGAAGCTAGATAATGAAGCTAGATAATGAAGCTAGATAATGAAGCTAGATAATGAAGAGTTTCACTCAAAAAAACCTATCTTCATGAAAACCCAATCTTCTTAAAAGATAAAAGCATAAAACGTTTTGTATATAGTTAAATTTTTAGAGAAATTGGTTAAATTTTGATAGATTTTTGATGAAATTTTTGATTTTTGATGAGTTTTTGATTTTTGATGAAAAGAAAACGAATTTTCGCTGTAATTGAACCGAAATTGGACTTAGAAAGATGAAATTGATCTAATTATCTATATAATAATCAAATGAAAGCTTACTTCTTTATCAAGATCTTTCAAATCCATATAACAACCAGATGCGGCCTCGCCTTGTTCCATTGAAGCATACTGGCCAATGTCACGCTCGTTCACCTGAATCGATTTGATTTAGAACATCATTTCCTTCTCTTTCTTCCTGTCTTCCTCTTTCTTCATCTCTTCCCCTCTTCCTCTTTCTACCTCTCTTCTTCTCTTCCTCTCTTCCTCCTTGTATTTCCTCTTCTCTAGCAACTAGAGACTGAATACTGAACTCTGAAAGAGCTCAATAGTTAACAATGGCTCAATAGTTAGCAATGGCTCAATAGTTAGCAATGGCTCAATAGTTAGCAATGGCTCAATAGTTAGCAATGGCTCAATAGTTAGCAATGGCTCATTAGTTAGCAATGGCTCAATAGTTAGCAATGGCTCAGACCTGAGCTCAATAGTTAGCAATGGTCAAAAACGATCGAGAGTTCAATCCCCGGAAATCTCTCTCTCTGCTATTCTTTACTTTAAAAATAAACCAAAGCCTATTCTTTAAGCTAATTATTTAAATCTTACCGGAAATTTCAAGCAAATCCCTCTAACAAAATCCTTATTTGAATAGTATTCGACGATTTGACACAAATTCTCGAAAACCATTTGATTAACGATAAAAATTCGACCATCTCTTTTCAAACGATAATGCCAGAACTCGCCGTCAACTCTGAAAGATTCTTTTCAATTCAATTTTTGTAACACAAAGGCTTTCGTAACGTTAATTGGATGATTGAACGAAAGCTGTGCTAAGTTATGATTTATTAAAAGTACAATGCACCGGGAATAGTGTGTTTACGATAAGAACTCACCGCAATGAGAGCACAAAGACTTGGTGATCGGATGAGGAGTGTCGGATGAGGTACGCTCCATCCTCTTTCACGTAATTCAGTAATTCTTCGGCTTTTCGCTTGTCAGCAGTAGCCGAATACCATCTGAAATTTTAAGCATTCAATTCAATTCAATTTTAGCTCCAATTTAACACAAAGGCTTTCGTAACGTTTATGTAAAGCTCTTTCCAACGGACCGGCCGGATGGGTTCGATGGCCGAGTGGCTAAGAGCCCCGTCGACTAATCTGGGATCAAGGGTTCGATCCCAGTTACTAGACCTTTTCATCTTTTTCAAAAAAATAGGTTAATTGAAGCTTAAAAGTAAGCACTCACGGCATGCTTAGATGTGGCTGTGGCTGTGGGCAAGGCGTAGACAACTTCGTCTTAAAATTCGGTGTCACTAGTGGATTTTCGGTGTAATAAGAGATCAACTCGTAGAGAGTGTCCATCACTTTATTGTCCAAGAAGTAGTATTTCTTTTCGCCTAAAAGTGATCATCGTTAGGAGTACGGTAAGCACGAGGCTACGGTAAGCACAGTACGATGCGATACTAGAGTCTGTAACTAGTCAGTAACCGGTAGGCGATCTGTAACCAGTCAGTAACCGGTAGGCAGTCTGTAAACAGACACCGGTAACTTTTCCCGGACCGGTGATGAGTCAAACGTTTCAAACCTTGTTGCATTTGCGTTTTGATGCGTACATGATGAACTTTGCTTCCATAGAGAAATGATAATGAGTAATCGCCGAGGAAAGTCGTCGATTCGCGAACCAAAAATACTCCATCACCCCTAGAGGAAGCCTCAAGGAGACGAGCTTCAGCTGCCTAAATTCTAAGTTTGCGTTAACAATTTGCGTAATGAAACGAGTTTAAAACTAGAAACAGTAAACTAGAAACGCGTTTCTGCTTTGTTTTTATCGAATAGTTGTTTTGCTTCATTGATTTATAAGTAAATTATGATGGTATCCGGTCTGTAGCCAGACACCGGTAAGTTTAAACCAGTTTAAACGAGTTTAAAACTAGAATCGGTACTCGTTTCTATTTTCGTTTGTATCGAATAGTTGTTTTCTTCATTGATTAGTGATTAAATTTTGATACTATCCGGTCTGTAGCTATTAGGTTGATGCAAAAGTCTTTTTCATTTTTTTCGTACTTCTTTTGAAAAATAACAAAGTCATCAATTAACCTATGGTTTGCTCTAAATGAAAAGTGTTTATTGTTCAATTTGCCATCTTTTTAAGTCAATTTGGGATCTAGATGATCTTGAAGCTCTAGATGATCTTGAAGCTCTAGATGATCTTGAAGCTCTAGATGATCTTGAAGCTCTAGATGATCTTGAAGCTCTAGATGATCTTGAAGCTCTAGATGATCTTGAAGCTCTAGATGATCTTGAAGCTCTAGATGATCTTGAAGCTCTAGATGATCTTGAAGCTCTAGATGATCTTGAAGCTCTAGATGATCTTGCAGCTCTAGTGGATCCTTGACGCTATCTGTGCTACCCACATTTTACATATATTATATCGTGTTTCTTTTTATCAGCCCTTTTCGTGTTATGTGTATGAATTGATGTGTTTTAATCTTAAATCTAGCGCACTTTATCTCAGGACTCTAGCTCAGGTCCTGAATAAAGTATCTATATATTTATTCAGCAATGAAATGGTCGCAATACCTGAGAATTTTTACGTTTACTTAATTCAACCGCTTGGCATCGATTCAATGAATCATCTGAAACTAGGTGAATGCTATTTTTTCATTTTCTATCTATATATTACGTTGATGCAAAAGTCTTTTTCATTTTTTTCGTACTTCTTTTGAAAAATAACAAAGTCATCAATTAACCTATGGTTTGCTGTAAATGAAAAGTGTTTATTGTTGAATTTCCCATCTTTTTAAGTCAATTTGGGTTCACTTTCAAGCAAATTCGAGAGTGAAAACGGGTTTTTCATAAAAATCTATAAAAACCTCTATAAAGAAATCGGCTGAATCAATTTCTCTGAAAATCTGAAAAAATATCAAACTTTTTGTGCTCTATCTTTTATTTATTAACATCAAGATTGGTTTCCTTAGCTAAAGCGTCTAAAATGCATCATCGAGCCGTCGCCTTTTTTGACTACCCGACTTCAGGCTCTCAAAAAAATTTAGACATAAGACATTTTAAACTCGTTTTAATGTCATTTTGCAGAAAAATAATTGGCCTTTCCAATGCAATAAACCGTTCTTCAATTGGTGCATTTGTTGGCTTGAAACGGCAGACGAAAAGGAACGAAAAGACTTATGCATCAACCTATTACTATTAGGTTGGTAAAAAAGAAATGAGCGTCGTGTTTGTTGATTGGACCGCGTGGACCAGGCGCTGCGAAGTCAAGGTGTGGATACGGCGTCGACAAAATTCCTCCACGACAACGCTCGGCCGCATGTCGCAAAAATCACCCAGCAGAAAATTGAAGAAATGGGCTGGGAAGTCCTGCCTCATCCGCCATTTATTTATTAACATCAAGATTGGTTTCCTTAGCAAAAGCGTCTAAAATGCATCATCGAGCCGTCGCCTTTTTTGACTACCCGACTTCAGGCTCTCAAAAGAATCTAGACATAAGACATTTTATGTCTTATGTCTAGATGTCTCTTATGACAAACTCGTTTTAATGTCATTTTGCAGAAAAATAATTGGCCTTTCGAATGCAATAAACCGTTCTTCAATTGGTGCATTTGTTACTTTTTAACGGAAGTACGAAAAAAATGAAAAAGACTTTTGCATCAACCTAATAGATACCGGTAAGTTTAAACCAATTTAAAACTAGAAACAATACGTGTTTCTATTTTGTTTGTATCGAATAGTTGTTTCTTCATTGATTAGTGATTAAATTATGATACTATCCGGTCTGTAGCCAGACACCGGTGCGTTTAAACCAGTTTAAAACTAGAAACAATACGAAACAACATACTAGAAACTAAACTATTTAACTGTTAACCGTTAACTAGTTTAAAAGCTGGATTAATCAAGTCTATTTCTTCAAGTATAAACTAATAAACAAAGTTAACAGTCAACTGAACATCAGGCATACAAGTTTTACTTACAATTTGCGTAAATAAACTAAGAAATTTAAGAAATAAGCCAGTTTTGTTAGCCAATTTTGTTAGCCAATTTTTAGAGTCAATTTTTAGAGTCAAATTTTTTCCATTTAAAACTCTCCAAACTTTTCAGTAGATTTCTAAGCAAAAAACTAGATTAATCAAGTCTAATTCTTCAAGTATAAACTAATAAACGAAGCATAACTAATCGAAATCCGACAGGAAACAGTTTTCAGCGCTTTTCAGCGCTTCTAAGCTATTTTCGAATGCTTCAATGCTTCAATTGGGTAACGACGAACATGTCGATCGACTTTTTCATGTAAATGTTGGTTTTCACAGCTTAATTGCCTTCAATTTAGCTTTAATTTGGCTTTAATTTAGGTTTAGCTTTAATTTGGCTTGAATTTGGCATTTGGCTTCGATTTGTCGTCAATTTGGCTAACGAAAGCGATTCACTCACATGTCGATCGGCTCTCCCGTGAAACCACTCCTCCGTGACATGCATCTCTTCGGGGCGCATTCCAAGCCCAACTAGGTTATCCTCCTGGAAATCTCTCGAATAGGTAACTATTTAGTAATTGAATATGTAAATATAATTAAAATTTAATTTTTGTAAATTAAATTGTTTTTTTTCTTTACAAACCCCTTGCTCATCATCGCCCAACACTGAAATCGAGTCCTCCCTCGCTAAAGTCGCCTCGTTGAGCTGAATTTGCATTGAAAAATACTAGATTTTAGATAGACAATAGATAGATATTAGATAATTTGATATAGGATGTCCAGAAAAGAAGCGATCATCGGTTTGAGTCTGAAGAAAAGTCTGGAGAAGAGTCTGGAGAAAAGTCTGGAGAAAAGTCTGGAGAAAAGTCTGGAGAATTTTCTCATTGATTTTTCAAGGCTCGTCGTGGTGTCAGAATTGCTTTCTGCTTCAAGTGCCATACAACAAGATGAAGTTGAGTCTTTTTGATGATTTTGTGAGCGTCATGCATCGGCTGGAGAGCTGAAAATCCACGTATCCATACGTGGATTTTGTTTTCCCCATATGTTCTTAGAATTTAGAGATATAGAATCCCCGGCGAGCCGAGTTGGTGACCATTTTACGGCTTTCAAAGTTGATTCAAAGTTCAAAGTTGATTTTGTGAATTTTAAGTTCATCCATCGGGTGGGGAGCTTCAAATTCACGTTTAGATTTATAGAAAAAGGTTTATAGAAAACGGTTTATCGAAAAAGAAAAATGAATGCTTGCTTGAGATTTTGATTTAACTACGTTTCACTACATTAAACTACATCTAGCTACGTTTAGCTACGTTTCACTACGCTTAGCTACGTTTCACTACGCTTAGCTACGTTTCACTACGCTTAGCTACGTTCAGATACGTTTAGCTACGTGCACTACTATTAAAGAAAATGTAAATTATACGAGAAATATGGAAATATTTTGATGTATAATATTTATTATATAAACAAAGCTTAAAAGCTCAACAATTGTTGAGCTTTTAAGCTTGTGTAGTATAATACGGTTTTTGAAATAGAAATCGATTCAAAATAGCAATTGAGCAATATTCAACTTCAATTTTACAAGCTCTTAAATCACAGTTACCATATTTTCTCTAATACTAGTGCACCCTAAGCTCTCTCTAAATTCCTTGAAATCTCGAGAACCACTTATCAGAACCTATCGATGTGAGGTTGGAAAATATAGCTGACGATGAGATCTTTCAGGGGAATCGAGTGTTGAGCGTCTGGGGAAAATTTGGAAACCGTAAAATGGTCACCAACTCGCTGGGATGCATTACTGTTACAGAAAATCCGGTCGGTGGATTCTATATCTCTAAATTCCAAGAACACATTGGGAAAACAAAATCCCCGTATGGATACGTGGATTTTCAGCTCTCCAGCCGATGCATGACATTCAAAAAATCATCAAAAAGACTCAACTTCATCTTGTTGTATGGCACTTGAAGCAGAAAGCAATTCTGACACCACGACGAGCCTTGAAAAATCAATGAGAAAATTCTCCAGACTTTTCTCCAGACTCTTCTCCAGACTTTTCTTCAGCTCTCCAGCCGATGCATGACATTCAAAAAATCATCAAAAAGACTCAACTTCATCTTGTTGTTGCAAAACCAATTCTCACAATTCCTTGGAAAAATCAATTTTTCAAGACAATCAATCAATCAATTTTTCTAGACTCAAACGAAAACCAGCTTTCTTCTGGATACCCTGTATCAAGTTTTCGATAATATTTTCTACCTCAGTACATTGCTCGATTTTGTAGCACAACTTGTCGCTGAAGAGGACAAAAATGTGAGAGGTCCATTCCTAAAGCTCGATAAAACGTAGATATTTATTCAAGCTGAGAAATGTAACATAAAAAATACTGCCCTAAGGATATTGTAAAGAAGAAAAAAACCATGTATATTGCAAAAAAAAAGCTTAATTTTCCCACCACTGGGATCGAACCCGTGACCTCTCGACTAGGAGACCAGACTCCTAACCACTCGGCCATGGGGGCCGGTGAAAGGTGGTGAAAATTTTGGCAAGTCGTTGCTCGGCGACTGATACTTTTGATGATCTAGTCTATGTTCTAGCCTTTTAGGTGTACTCTGTGCTCACAAGAAACGTCATCTAACGTAAACGCACGCCATCTAGCGCACTGAATTCTGAGAAAAAGTGCATTGGGAAGGAATTTGCAATGTTTTCGCCTAAAGAGCTAAAGAATAAGTTTAGAGCCAACTCACATGAGTGACGCTGTCTTGAAGCCAAAGAAGTCCTTTCTTAATGCTTCCCTCAGAGATCAAAAGATCTGTGTCTTGAACTAAAAAAGAGATCTTGATAATAGTTTCAAATTGAATTCTTTCTATCACAAAATACTCACATTCATCACTTTTCACGACATCTTCACTCTCAACGGCCAACTTTTTATGTTTAAGAATGATTTTGCGTTTAAGTGCAGCTGGTGATGGAAGCTCAAGCTCATCTCGACTCACTGGTTGTGTCAATAAAAGATCGCCAAGGATTTCACGAACCTAGAAGAGAAATAGATGTTATAAAGTGCTTTGAGAGCTTTAAGAGCTTGAGCTTTGAGAGCTTTAGCCTTGAGAGCTTTAGCTTTGAGAGCTTTGAAAGTAAAGCTTTAGTTTTGAAAGCTTTGAGGGCTTTTGAGAGCTGTGAGAGCTTTGAAAGTAAAGCTTTAGCTTAAAAAGCTTTGAGAGCTCTAGCTTTGAAAGCTTTGAGGGCTTCGAAAGTAAAGCTTTAGCTTCGAAAGCCTTGAAAGCTTACCTCTTGCGCTAAAAGCCTTTGCGCTGGCACAGAGCAATTGTCTTCGATGGAGAGAATCACTGGGTATCTGCAAACGAATTTTGAGCACATTTATAGGTTTAGATTCACTGGGAATTCCTTATTTAGTCACAACCAAATCTCTACTTTACCTAAATCTTCAGCCAAGTCTTTACCTAAATCTTCACTTCAGCTAAATTCCTCGAAAACTCGATAACCGCTTATCAGAACCTATCGATGTGGGGTCGGAAAATGTAGCTAACGATGAGATCTTTCAAGGGAATTTGAGTGTTGAGCTTCTGGGAAAGCTTGGGAGCTGTAAAATGGGCACCAACTCGGCCGGGAGCATTACTACTATTCATTCAAAAATTTCCATTTTTTTTCCATAGCTTTTCCATAGCTAAAGAAAAGCTAAAGAAAAGCTTAAGGAAAGCCAAAGAAAAGTCTAATAGACTTCAAATCAAATAGCTTCTCTATTAAAGGGTAAAATATATTCAAAGATCCTCTAATCTAGATTTATTATCTATTCCCAATTGCTCCGCTTTGATGTAGAGCTCATGAGGATCGAATTTTCGAGTTTTGCATAGCACTAAGAACTGTGTATTACACTAGAGTAAGCTCAAAAAGCACTACATTACTTCAAATTCTTCTGATATCGAATTCTACGTATTTGATCGGTCTTAAATTTGTAAACACATTGCTCAATCTAGACTTAGACAAGGCTAGACTGTCTAGAAAGTTTTTTCTTTTTAAACAAGACATTTTAAACTCGTTTTAATGGATTTTACAGAAAAATAATTGATTTTTCTTAAGGAAATACTTCAATTGATGCATTTATTTGTTTTAAAAGAAGAACGAAAGTAATTTCTGGATAATCTAAGCTTCTAGACAATCTAAGCTTCTGGACAATCTATGCTTCTGGACAATATAAGCTTCTGGACAATCTAAGCTTCCGGAAAATCTAAGCTTCTGGACAATCTAGGACAATCTACGCATCGTTTTTTCAAGCTTAATTAGAAATTTGTAGATTGTCCAGAAGCTTAGATTGCCCAGAGAAGCTAAGATTGTCCAGAAGCTAAGATTATCCAGAAGCTTAGATTGTTCAGAGAAGCGGAACAAATTTCTAATTAAGCTTGAAAAAACGATGCGTAGATTGTCCTAGATTGTCTAAAAGCTTAGATTGTCCAGAAGCTTAGATTCCTGGAAGCTGGACAATCTTAGCTTCTAGACAATCTAAGCTTCTGGACAATCTAAGCTTCTGGACAATCTAGGACAATCTACGCATCGTTTTTTCAAGCTTAATTAGAAATCTAGTACGTTAGAAAGAGGATTTAGACATTTGCATTTAAAGTAAAATGTAAAATCATTTCTCAACTCACTCGCTATTGATGAAAGCATAGTGTCGAATTGTTTGCAAGACATCTTTCAGCAAGAGTTTACTCGTCATTGTGTACCTAAAAGGATCTTCTTTTTTATGATAAACGGGAATAATAGTGTATATAAGAGATTAATTGATTTTGAAGTTTGAAAATTTTAATCGAGCTTTGAAAGAGTTTTTGCTGTTTTTACTTTCGTTTTCTAAAAGTTGAAAATCTTTTAATCTGTTTGTTTAATGTTTTAATGTTAAAAGAAGAATCTAGACTCTGATCTAGACTCTAAACTAAACTCTAATCTAGACTCTAATCTAGACTCTAAACTAAACTCAAATCTAGACTCTAATCTAGACTCTAAACTAAACTCTGAGCTAGACTCTAACCTAAACTCAAATCTAGACTCTAATCTAGGCTCTAAACTAAACTCTAATCTAGACTCTAATCTAAACTCAAATCTAGACTCTAATCTAGACTCTAAACTAAACTCTGATCTAGACTCTAACCTAAACTCAAATCTAGACTCTAATCTAAACTCAAAGCTAGACTCAAATCTAGAATCAAATCTAAACTCTAACCAAAACTCAAATCTAAAGAATTAGAACCTAAAACTTTCCTTACCCGTGATAGATAACGATGTCAAGGAATTCGGCTGAATTTGGCTTTTTTGTTCCATCCCAACAATCCACTGAAAAGTTTAAAGAATGAATTGATTTTGATATCAAAATAAAAGCTTTCGATTTCTAGAATAAGCTCAGTTCAGTGATTTTAGACTCACACTCAATGCATCGACATCCCATTAAAAGAGCTCGAGCATAAGAGTCAAGTGAAGACTCACTCCGCAATTGATCTCCAGTCAAATAGCTAAAAGATTTAATGATTGCTGTAATTGTATGGCAGTAGTCTGTATGACTACTGTAACCGAGCTGGGTTACTGTATGAGAAGATTACAGTAATTAGGTTGTTATTTGGAAAGAGTGTTTGTGGAAAGGATGTAGTTATGGAAAGGATTACTGTAGCTTGAGTTACTGTAAGCTTACTGTGGCCCGCCTACTGTAGCCAGCCTACTAGCTTACTGTAGACAGCTTACTGTAGCCAGCCAACTGTAATCGGCTTACTGTAACCAGCTTTCTGCAAGCAGCTTACTGTAATCAGCTTACTGTAATTGGACTATATTTGAAAAGATTACTGTATTCTTTCTGTAAAGCATTACTGTAATTGGGTTACTGTAGAATTACTGTAGGATTATCGTAGGATTACTTTGGGATTACTTTGGCACTACTGTAGGATTACTGTAGGATTACTGTAGAATTACTGTAACGCATTGACTCACGTATTATGCGACGAAGCGATCCAATAGTGTGAAAGTGGTCGATTCATATCGTGCACCACTTTCTCGTTCATCGAATCCCATAACGAGTTCTCTCGAGAGTACAAGAAATCGCAGAACTGGAATTGAGTTTTTCAGAGTTTTTACAGAGTTTTTCTACAGAGTCAGAGAAGTTTTTCGTTTTTTAGCTCATTCTTGCTAAGTCAAGAAGGAATTTACCTAATAATATTGGGTTGATGCATAATTATCCGGACTTCTTTTATAAATGATTTTATTTAACAAAAAATAACATAAATAGTTAGAAAAATATGTTTAATTGATTATTCTGGAGCATATTCACCGCCTACATCAATAACTGATTGCCATTTGCTTGGAAGACGATCGATTCCACGAGCGAAGAATAAACGATCTTTGGAGGCAATCCACGCTTTAACATCGTCTATCAAGTCATCCAAATCGTTGTAGATCTTATTTGTTTGCCAATTTTTGAGCGATCGATTGACGTGGTAGTCCGTTGGGGCTTCAGTAGGAGAATATGGCGGGTGTGGAAGAAGATCCCAGCCCTTACTAGCGATGGATTCGACGACATGGCGCTCAACGTGCGGACGTGCGTTATCGTGGTGAAAGACGATGTTGTTCTTTTTGCGCGGTCTTCGTGCCTGAATTGCAGCATGTAAGCGTTCAAGTTGTGCCAAGTAGACGTCACTATTGATGTTCAATTGCTTCTTGCCATTTTTGTCTGGAATTCGCCATTGCTCACGTTCATCATCGTCATTCCACCAATAACAGATGCCGTTAGAGATGATTTCCCAGTGGATGATTCCGCTTCTGTCCCACCATACACACCACATTGCTTTCTTACAGTGGACATCTTTCGGTATTCCTTTAGGTGAAACACCTGGCGACACGCAGACTTTCTTTCTCTTGAGGTTCTTGAACAACAGCCATGATTCATCGCCTGTGACGAGATTCTTCAAAAACGGTGCTTCCTCGTTTCGTTGCAACAAATCGGTGAAAATTCGAAGGCGATCTGCTTGGTTCTTCTCGGAGACGCTTTAACATCGTCTATCAAGTCATCCAAATCGTTGTAGATCTTATTTGTTTGCCAATTTTTGAGCGATCGATTGACGTGGTAGTCCGTTGGGGCTTCTCCAGTTCTTTGAGATCGCGAAACGACTCTGCGGCAGACCATCCCTTTTCGAAGTGGTAGAGCATGATATGGCGAAGATGGATATGATTGTCGACACGCATTTTGTTCACTAAAGAATAACGAATATTTTAAAAAAAAGAAATAGACAAAAAGCTTTCAAAACAAAAAAGATACAAGCACGCAAAAAGAAGTCCGGATAATTATGCATCAACCCAATATATTTCACTTATGACAAATTCCAGTCATAACTTTTATTCAGAGCTGTTCTAGAAAGCCAAAAGCTATGGCTAGGCAAGTCAAGCCAATGGCTTTCAATTGGGCTTAGCCTAGAATTTCAACCTTACTGTCTAATTAGACTTTAGGCTTTGGCTGAGCTTGGCTTGGCTTTGGCTTGGCTTAGCTTAGCTTTGACTTGGCTCACCTCCATGACACTGAGCGACGGTGTGTGTGCAAGCGGCATTCCCTTTCCAGTAATATCCGTATCATGAAGGTACTCTCGTAAAAAAGCACTTGCTCTTTCTCTGGAAACATTGAAATAAACGTTGTTTTTTTTGGTTTTTGTTTAATTCACCGATTATTCGCCATCTCATCATTTTGGTATTCTCGCAAGAAAGTGAGAAAGTTCGCGAACGAAACCGTCGATCCCTCGTCAGTTAATTTGCCGAATTCGGATGTGAATGTCTGAGAAGTCGTTGATAAGAAAAGTTTAAAGGAAGTTTTAAAGGAAGTTTTAAAGAAAATTTTAAAGAAAATTACTGTTTGCAGATGGATTAGGGTTTTGGCTGCTCGAGAAAAGACTTCAAAAGTCATTTGTTCTTCTGTGATTTCTTGAAGAGCTCGAGAAGTGACTTTATATTGGAGAGACGTTTGCACGAAAGGCTTCATATGTTTCATTGCAACTCTGAAAAGAAAAAGGAGTTAAAAGGAAGTTAAAAGGAAGCTAAAAGGAAGCTAAAAGTTACAGCTGTAAGCAAGGTTTTTTAAGACTACTATAGACAGCTTACTGTAACTGTAGAAGTCTGTTACAATGATTACTGTAAGCAAATGGTTACTGTAAAGGATTACTGTAATAGAATGGTTACTGTAAGTTCTGCTAGAAAAGCATTTTATCCAACTTTTCTTGTCCGGAGGTGAGCAAATTGCTGAACTGTTTCCGGAGCCAACGCTCGATTACTAATGGATGATTTGCTTGTTGAGTGTCCATAATCAATGTGTGCACTCCTTGATTCCATAAACGGCAAGCTTCTGATGTTTCGACTAAAGTTGACGATCTTTTTGAAGGCATAAAGCTCTACTCTGATGGCAAAGGATAGATGCCGGTGTGACTGATTGGTAGAGCGTTCGCTCGATCGTGTTGAATGATCACGGGTTCGAATCCCGGCGCTGACCGATGTTCGACCATGTTCCCAGCTCAACTCTAGCTTTCAAAAGCTTTTGAAAGCTTTCTAAGGCTTTTAGAAGCTTTCAAAAGCTTTTAGAAGCTTTCAAAAGCTTTTAGAGGCTTTCAAAAGCTTTCAAATGCTTCCAAAGGCTTTCTAAAGCCTTCAGAGGCTTACAAAGGCTTCCAAAGGCTTCCAAAGGCTTTCTAAAGCTTTCAGAGGCTTACAAAGGCTTCCAAAGGCTTCCAAAGGCTTTCTAAAGCTTTCAGAAGCTTTCAAAGGCTTTCAAAGGCTTCCAAAGGCTTTCAAAAGCTTACAAAAGCTTACAAAAGCTTTCTAAAGCTTTCAAAAGCTTCCAAAAGCTTTCAAAGACTCACACAACAATATCCAATAGCTTAAATTGAAGCCAGATCCATGCTGGATGACGAGAATTTTGGTCGGTTCAAAATTTCGGATTTCCTTGTCACGAATCCATTTGTCGCCCACTTTAATGTTGTTCAACTGAAGAAGAATCGATTTAGATTACTAAGTTAGTTTACTAACTTTAAGATTAAGAGTTAGATTACAAACTATTCAATTAAACTCTCCAAAGTATCCAATTTTCTTCATCTTATCACACTCAAGATTTTTTTTATTTCAAATTTTTGCTGATGCTTTCAAATGCTCAAAATGTTCTCGAGTTTCCATAAAGCTTTACCCAAAATGATTCATAATACTCAAACACTGATAACAATAAAAAAAAAAAAAAAACTGAATTTCTGTGCAAAGCTTAAGCTCAAAAAGCTCAAAAAGCTCAAAAAGCTCAAAAATTTTCCTAGTTTTCCCAGTGGAATGAATTTTTAAGAAAAAGTGAATTAGATTTTGATATTTAGTTTTTGAAAACTAAATGAATTTAGACAAACCTTGAAATCGAGCGTTTGTACCTCTTTAACACTTCGCAAATCCAAAACCGACGGTTTATTCCGGAGAGCCACTGGAAAATTTGGGAATTTGAATTGAGATTAAGTTTTATATGCTAAAGAATGCTGGTAGACTCAATAAAGTTTCTGAGATCACTAGAGTGGGTCTTGGACCAACTTTTGCCTTAATTCTGTACTTGGCTTGACTCGGTTTGGCTTGACTTCTAGCTTGACTAGCTAGCTAGACTCTAGCCTGGTTCTGTCCTAGACTGATCTGCTGTTGATTTTGATTTCTTTTAGAATTTAGAAGTCTAAAGAGCTGGTTTAGCTTATAGATTCTAGGTTTTCTATTATCATATCTCTAAAATCAAGGATTCTTATAGTTTATCTGATAGTTAGATAGTTAAAAGTTGAAGAGTCAGGCTTTAGACTCATTCTTTTCTTTACTGGTGCTTTCTTTCTCTCTTCCTTTCTCTCTTCCTTTCTCTCTTTCTTTCTCTCTTCCTTTCTCTCTTCCTTTCTCTCTTCCTTTCTCTCTTTCTTTCTCTCTTCCTCCTTGTCTTTCCCTCTTTCTCTTGAGAAATTAAGCTACCTAAGCTATTAAGCTGCTAGAAATTAGTTGAGTGGTTAGAGCAATTAGCAATTGAAATTGCCAATTTCTTGGGAAAAAGATCTAGGGTTCAATCCCGAAAATCTACTTTTTCTTATCAATTCCTTTACTTCTTTATTACAAAAGTTAAATTTAGATCAAGCTCTTGACTTTGTTTAACCTGGATTATAGGCCTAATCAATAGCCAATATCAATATCAAGATCAAATCCGTTTTTTGAAAAGTCAAAAGATGAGCCGAGGCTAGAGGCTGGCGTTAGAGCTTGGACGTGGCTTAAAGGCCTAATAATCCGGTTGAAAGATCGAGCATTCTTTCGATCAAAAGGTCAAGATCAATATCAAGATCAATATCAAAATCAATATCAATATCAAGATCAAATCCGTGTTTCAGGCAAAAGATGAGCCAAGGCTACAGGCTGGCGTTAGAGCTTGGAGGTGGCTTAAGAGTTGAAAGATCGAGTATTCTTCCGATCAAAAGGTCAGGATCAATATCAAGATCAATATCAAGATCAAGATCAAATCCGTGTTTTGAAAAGTCAAAAGATGAGCCAAGGCTACAGGCTGGCGTTAGAGCTTGGAGGTGGCTTAATCCGGTTGAAAGATCGAGTATTCTTCCGATCAAATAGGTCAAAAAATCGAATAGTGACTAGCAAAAAGCTAGAGCTAATACTTTTCTATGCTTGATTTAACTCAATTTTAAATCTTGAAATCTTTTTTTGCTGATATAAACTGATATAAACTGACTGCTTTCGAGTTTCGTCAAAATCAATTGTCGTGTTTCTCGGGAGAGTTGCAATTTCTTATAGGCGGGATCCCATTTTCGCATCAAATTCAACTTGCAAACCTGAAGAATTTTGTGATAATTGATGATTTGTTAGAAAGACCCAATCACACAGCACTCCCAAAATAAAATTGTAAAATAGAAAATTGAAATTAGTATTTTGCCAGGGTTTTTGTTAGGTGATTGCTAAGAAATGGCATTTTTTTTGGCAAGAAATGGCATTTTTCCCAATCAAACCTTTATTCCGCTCATCATTTTCTCGAAAACATCATAATCTTCCTAATTTTAATACTTTATAATACAGTAATCTAGAGATTTAAAAGTTATTCAGCTATTCAGCTATTCAGCTAAGCTAGATAATACTTTTAGACGTTTAAAAGTTATTCAGCTAAGCTAGATTGATCTTTGCTTTGCTGGCTGCTTGATTGATTGATGGTGACCTTTATCAGTCGACTTTTATCTGCTTTTTCCAGTTGCCTATAGTGGTTAGTGGTTAGTATCGTCGTCCCTCACCTGCCAGTCCCGGGTTCGATCCCCGGGACTATCATCTTGAGATTTTTTGACAAGTTTTTTTCTTTGACAAGTTATTCAGCTATATAGCTAAGCTAGATAATACTTTTAGACGTTTAAAAGTTATTCAGTTAAGCTAGATTGATCTTTGCTTTGCTGATTGATCTTTATCAGTCGACTTTTATCTCCCGATTCCAGTTGCTTCCGTGGTATAGTGGTTACTATGCTGGTCTCTCGCCTGCCAGAGCCGGGTTCGATCCCCGGGACAACCATTTTTAGATTTTTTGACAAGTTTTTTTTCTTTGACAAGTTTGGATTGAAGATTGATGTTGAAAAGACATTTTTATATATCTAGATCAGTTTTCTTTGTCACCTTATGACCCTTTTCCATCGCATGATACGTTTTCTCCAAATCGAGCTCATTTTGTCGGGCATACGTGCTCCTTGAAGCTTTTGAGGAAATCGATGAGTGATGCGAGTGGTATCCTGATGAGCCCGACACCGAGGAAAGCTAGAAATTTGAGAAATTCGCTTGTTAAACAAGTAAACAAGTTTATTAAACAAATTTGTTTTTTTATTGGTTTGTTGTTGAAAATCCTTTGAGCAGACTTTGATCTTGATGAATGAAAGAAAAAGACCTAATGGACTAATGGACTTTTCATTGATTAATGGCTAAAATAAACCCCGCCAATCGATTCTCCGACCCCGAAAACCCCCAGGTACAGCTTTTCAGCTCTAAATCTCATTTGGAAGCGATTTACAGAGGAAAAACTAAATCCCCGGGTGTATTCTTTGTGCGGGGGCATAATCGCTCACTTTCTGGCACACAATCCACACAGATAGGTGCTCCGTTTCGTTGACGTAAAGGAAAAGGACCGGCTAGGGTTTTAGACCATACGGCGTCACTATGCTCAAATTTTTGAGATCTATTCTTATTTTGTATTGTTGCGTTAAATTTGGGCTTAAATTTAGCCTAAAATTAAAGCATTGTTTAACTGTTAAACAGCAGCTAAACTGACAATAATGGCTCTAGAATGACAAAGCTTTATTCTGCTTTATTCTTTATTCTGTCGCTCGTTTGAATAGCCAACGACTTACCCTTGTCGGCGGCTTGCTTCTCGTGCTCATTTATCCAAATAAACTACTTTCAAAGGTTTAGATTTCAATTTGCATATCAAAATGTTGAAAAAGAATTCAGGAAGAAAGGGAAGAAGGGGAAGAAAGGGGAAGAAGGGGAAGAAAGGGAAGAAAGGTAAGAAAAGGACACTTTTTGGGGTTATTTCTGGAAAGGCGAGGGGAATTTTGGCTCAATCGACAAAGGCAAAAAAGACAAAAAGACGAAGAAAAGACGAAGAAAAGAAAGATATTCTGATAAGGATGGGGTGTGAAAATGGGGAGAACATTTTTGAAAGTGAGGTAAAAAAAATGGGAGAGAAGAAAAACGTTTTCCTTTTCACGGATTATGCTGAGAAAAGCGCCTTTATCGAGTGGTTGCGTTGATTTTTATGAAATCTAAAGGGGAAATTCAAGAAATTTCGAATCAAACTTCGGCTTTTTATTTGAGAAATTCGAAAATATTTGAAAAAAAAGGAAGATTTCAATTTGATCTCAAGCTTGGAAACAAGAACAAAGCTAGAGATCGAATTGAAATCAATTTTAATTCGAATTGAAATGGCTATCAATTTTAAAATCAATCACTGTTTTGAAAGCCAGCTCCCAAATGACTCGAGTTTTTAAATCTTTCCAGACCTAATTAATGGCCTTTTCATTGATTAATTGCTAAAATAAACCCCGCGAATCGATTCTCCGACCCCGAAAACCCCCAGGTACAGCTTTTCAGCTCTAAATCTCATTTGGAAGCGATTTACAGAGGAAAAACTAAATCCCCGGTGTTTGTTCTTTGTGCGAGCGCAATAATCGCTCACTTTCTGGCACACATTCCCGATAGATAGGTTTTCCGTTTCGTTAGCGGAAAGGAAAAGAACCGGCGAACGATTTAGACCATACGGCGTTACTATGCTCAAATTTTCGAGATCTTTCCTTATTATATTCTTGCGTTAAATTTGGTTTTAAATTTGGCTTAGTTTGATTCAGAAATTTTTGAAAATAGATTTCAATTTGATCTCCATTTTGAAATCAAGATCAAGATCATTGTTTTAAAAATTGAAAATTCTTGCTCAAGCTTGCTAGTTAGCTGCCAAATGACTCTAGTTTTTAAAGCTTGTACTTTAGTATAAGGAAAGCTTTTCTTCGATTTCGATTTCGATCAGTTGGCTAGGTGCTTTGTTTTTAAGAAAAAGAGATTCTACTAAAGTCGACTCTCTATGACGGAATGAAATTTTGGTTCCTCTCTATATAACGGCTATCTAAACGGCTATAAAGCAGCTATATAAACGGCTATATACAACGGCTATATTTAACAGCTATATGCAACAGCTATATACAACGGCTATATAGAAGAGCTATATAGAACGGCTATATAGAACGGCTATATACAACGGCTATATAGAAGAGCTATATAGAACGGCTATATACAACAGCTATATATAACGGCTATATATAACGAAAAAATTCTTTCCCCTCTTCCATTCCGTTATAGAGAGTCGTAAATTATGAATCGTTTTTCCCTTACCATTAGACTAGTTGGACACGCCGGTCCATTTGCCGCTAGGAATAAAGAACATGCTCGGCGAGACTCGAACCCGCAACCACTCACCGGTCGGCTTACTAATGAGCTCCACGTATCCGATTCATGCTTTTAGTTTATCAATATCAAAATATTTAGAATATTAAAATCCTTCTTATGCTTAATGTCGTAAAAGGCTTTAAATTCAAATTTAAGATTTAAAAAAGGATTAGCAGTAAAAAATAAATTGAGAAATGAGTTTGAAGAGATGAAAACAGTTTTCATCGAAACAAAAATGAAACGAGGGAAAGTTTGAGTCCTTGAATTTCGCTCAAGAAACCAAAAAAACATTTGAACGAGATCAGATAAGTGAAAAGGATCGTGTTTTTAAGGAAAGAAATCTTGCGACAGTTGCCAGCGAGTTCAGAAAGGCAAATTAAGTTGTTAAAATCGAGTTGTAAATTGGATTTTTAAGGATTTTAAGGAATTTAAGGAAGTTCAAGGAAGTTCAAGGAAGTTTAAGGAGATTTAACGAGATTTAAGGAGATTTAAGGAGATTTAAGGAGATTTAAGGAGATTTAAAGAAATTTAAAGAAATTTAAAGAAATTTAAGGAAATTTAAGGAAATTTAAGGAGATTTAAGGAAGTTTAAGGAGATTTAAGGAGATTTAAGGAAGTTTAAGGAAGTTTAAGGAAGTTTAAGCAAATTTAAAGATATTTCTATCATTTCCTCTGTACTCACCGTGCCTTTCCGCATTGGAAATCCGTCTTTGCCCGTTTTGCCTCTCTTTGCCGATCGCTCGATCTTTCAAGACTTCAAAAACCTTAATCTAAATAAAGATAAGATAATATCTCTATTATGAGCCTTTTCTATTATATTTTTCTATTAAACGACTAGCTTAGGATTCAAATTTTTTTGAATAATTGAAGTGCTTAGCTCTTGTAAGAAACCAGCTCTTAAAACCAGCCTTTAAATGAGTAGTCAAACTTTACAAACCCATAACTTTACCCAGAGACAATATTATTCTAAACTTTTTATATCATTGCAAAGAGAAGATTTTAGGCTTTCAAATAATACCAAAGAAAGCTTAATTGGATAATCCAGTCCAAGAAAATCAAGGCTAACGCAGCAACCGATGCCGATCCAACTCAAGTGCAGTGTTAGCTGGTTTTCTAGGCAATGAAAAATCCAATTAGTCTTTATTTCGTATCATTTGAAAGCCTAAAATCTTCTCTTTACAATGATATAAAAAGTTTAGAAGAATATTGCCTCTGGGTAAAGTTATGGGTTTTTAAAGTGTGACGATTCAAACGACAAAGGTCGAGTAATCGTTTTGACTTATGCAATTCACTTTTTAAGTTTAAAAATTGAATAAATTTGATAAATTTGATAAATATGATTAATTCTTTTAATTAAATAATAGAAAAGAAGAAAATTTGAAAGAAAATAGTATTGATTTGAATGAAAATTGATGGTAAAGACGGCGGATTTCCGAAATGTTTTCATTTCGGCGATTTTCGCAACAATTCAATATGAAAAAAAAAGCAATTTTTGATATAATTTTGATATATATTTGTTCGCAAATTGAATTTATTTGAAAAAAAAAAGCGTTTACCTGTCGTCTTTCGTTATTCCATTGAGGTTGAGAAAAAGAATTTCATCAGATGAATGATCTGTAAACTTTTCATTTACAAAACACTACTACAAACTACAAACTACTACAAACGTAAACTCGAAACGCTTCTAATTTCGTTTAAATCTAATTAAGAGGATCTATAGCTTAGATCTATAGATCACTATAGATCTATAGATAGATCTATAGATCTATAGATAGATCTAAAGCTATAGATCACTAGAAAGATTGCTTTTACAAGTTTTTTATAAGTTTTAAGCAATAAATACATAAAGTTCTTTATCTTTGACAATGTTTTTAGACCATCAAAAGTCTTAGAAGGGTTTTTAAATCAGAAAAACAAAAAAAAATCGAAACATTGAAATATAAGGAAATAAAGAAGGAAAGAAGGAGAGAACGGAAGAAAGAAGGGAGAGAAAGTACGGAAGAAAGAAGGAAAGAAGGAGAGAACGGAAGAAAGAACGAAAGAAAGTACGGAAGAAAGAAGGAAAGAAGGAGAGAACGGAAGAAAGAAAGAAGTACGGAAGAAGAAGGAAAGAAGGAGAGAACGGAAGAAAGAAGGAGAGAAAGTACGGAAGAAAGAAGGAAAGAAGGAGAGAACGGAAGAAAGAACGAAAGAAAGTACGGAAGAAAGAAGGAAAGAAGGAGAGAACGGAAGAAAGAAGGAGAGAAAGAACGGAAGAAAGAACGAAAGAAAGTACGGAAGAAAGAACGGAAGAAAGAAGGAAAGAACGGAAGAAAGAACAGAAGAAAGAACGGAAGAAAGAACGGAAGTAAGAAGGAGAGAAAGAAAGAAAGAAAGAAAGAAAGAGAGAAAGAAAAGATAATTAAAAATAAATTATTAAAGAAAAATTTGTCTTTAAAATGATTATTTGAATTTTAAAAAGAAAACTTTTCATTTAAAAGCCTCAAAAAAAATGTTCAACTGAAATCTTTATGAAAAGTGGTTCATTCTCTGAATCATTTCAATTTCTTATCAAATTTTTTTCTTCTTTTTCTTTTTCAAAATCTAATCCGATCAAACGCAATCATTTTTTACTCTTTTTTTTTCATTACTTTCCTGTTATTTTAAACTATTAAACCTAAAAAGAAATGATTTTTTGAAATGACGTCATAGAAGGAATTGTGATAGAATTGTAATAGAATAAAATTGACGACAAAGTAAAACGTATCTCGGCAGAAGGGATCGAACCCTCCACCCCGGCCTCTCGACCTTTTTGCATTCCGACGCTCTAACCACTGAGCTATCGGGTATCTGCTCGGCGGTCTCGTAACTTTCAGCCTAATACCCTGAACTCTCTTTTTCGTCTCTACCAAGCACTTAATTGATGATTAAGTGATGATCGACTTTAAATTGATCGCCCACCCGAAATCTGTGTCAAATATTGTTTTCTATAATGTTTTTTTCTTTCATTATTCACTTATGAGCTTGATTTTTTGCATAGATTCTGTTAAAATCTGTTATCTGATCTGTTAAAAATCTAAAAATCTCGAATAGCTCAGTGGCTCAGTGGTTAGAGGATCGAACGAAATGGAAAAAGGTCGAGTCACTGAAAGCCATGAAATTTTGGCTACGCTGCTAGACCAAAAAGAGAGTTCAGGTTATTAGACTGAAAGTCACGAAATCTTCACGAAATTTGAAAGTCTCTGAAAGAAAGAAATCTCTGAGCAGATACCCGATAGCTCAATAGTTAGAGCATCGGAATGCAAAAAGGTCATTGAAAGTCATGAAATCTTGCCTACGCTGGCAGAGACAAAAAAAAAGAGAGAATTCAAAGGAGAAGAGACGGGTTTAACGTTAATCAATAAAACTCTTTATCGACATTAGCTGTACTCGAATCTGTAAACGCATAGCTTCTAGTACACTAGAGACTTCATTTTCTAGTAAAAGCAAGAAGAAAAGTTGAGAAAAAGTGCGGAATTCAGCGCGTTAGAAATGTGGTGGGTTTAGAAATTGGAAACACAAATTACATAAATCTATAATAGAAATCTTCTTTTAAAGGCATTTATCTTGTTGACAATTATTGGTCTTGTTGACATCTTGTTGTCTTGTTGTTCTTGTTGACATCTTGTTGTCTTGTTGTTCTTGTTGACATCTTGTTGTTCTTGTTGTTCTTGTTGACATCTTGTTGTCTTGTTGTTCTTGTTGACATCTTGTTGACAATTATTCAAAAAAAAATTAATTGACATTAAAAGAGAGAAAAGAAAAGATGAAAATTGAGAATTGACTTGAAATTGAGCAAAAAAAAAAGCCTGAAATCTCCTCTTTAGAGGAGATGTAAAGAGGAGGTTTCAGGCTTTCAAATAATAGCAAATAAAGCTTAATTGGAAAATCCGATCCAAGAAAATCAGAGCCAACTCTGAGCAAATGAGGCAAATCGGTTACTCGACCTTTGTTGTTTGACTCGTCACACTTTAAAGACCCAAAAATTTACCCAGAGGCAATATTCTTCTAAACTTTTTATATCATTGTAAAGAAAAGATTTTAGGCTTTCAAATAATACCAAAGAAAGCTTAATTGGATAATCCAGTCCAAGAAAATCAAGGCTAACGCAGCAACCGATGCCGATCCAACTCAAGTGCAGTGTTAGCTGGTTTTCTAGGCAATGAAAAATCCAATTAGTCTTTATTTCATATCATTTGAAAGCCTAAAATCTTTTCTTTACAATGATATAAAAAGTTTAGAAGAATATTGCCTCTTGGTAAAGTTATGGGTTTTTAAAGTGTGACGATTCAAACGACAAAGGTCGAGTAATCGTTTTGACTTATGCAATTCATTTTTTAAGTTTAAAAATTCAATAAATTAACAGATTTTAACAGAATCTATTTCAAAAATCAAACTCATAAGTGAATAATGAATGAAAAAAACATTATAGAAAACGTTTTTAAGGTGGTGAAGGCTAGTCAAAACATGGTTCTTCTCTATGTAATGTTTGGGGGTTTTTGAAAGAGAAAGATGAGAAGATGAAAAAGAAGAAAAGATTAAGTGAATTTCAGAGAAATCATAGAAAAAGAAAAGAGACTGATTCCTTTTTTTGCTCTCTTTTTGTTGCCTTTTTCTCATCGACTAAAGAGACTGGCTGCGCTCATCGATTCGATTCGAGAGGAGAGGGGTCACTCTCGTCACTCTCATCTCTTTCAAATCTTTGTCAGACATTCAAAGACTAGAAAACTATCAAAATATTTAAAAAATATCAGATTCTACAGAAAAAATCAATTCTTTTCCAAGTTGACGAAAGATAGAGCAGCTTTTTTTTCTTGTCAAATCTAGTTTTCTTATCAATTCTATCAATCTCGTTATCCACTTGAATCCTAAATGAAAGAAATGTCTGAAGATGTATGAAGTATGAAGAAAAGAAAGAAAAAGGACTCTGGAGGCTATGAAACGATCAGAAAAGAAATGTATAGGAATATTAGAATATTATTCGATTAAGTAGAGTTCCAAGCAAGCCCTGGAACCAGGGCCAAACAAAACTAGAGCTCAAGCCTAGTCAGAAATCCAGGCCTGGCTTCTGTTCAGATCAGATAGAGCAGCTTGAGGCTGGTCAGAAGCCAGGTCCAGTCCTGGCCTGGCCTAGTCTCCAGATCCAGATCTGGCCTAGGCTCCAGCTCCAGATCTGGCCTAGCCTCCAGCTCCAGATCTGGCTTAGGCTCCAGAACCCGATCTGGCCTAGCCTCCAGCTCTAGATCTGGCCTAGCCTCCAGCTCTAGATCTGGTCTAGCCTCCAGCTCTAGATCTGGCCTAGGCTCCAGATCCAGACCTGATCTTCCCTAGGTACTATTTGTAAGCCAAACCCTGGCAAGGTCAGCTTAATTTAGATCCGGCATGGTCTAACCGGGCCAGAAGAAGCCCATACGTACCTCGAATCTTGTTTCGGACAACCATTTGCTTTTGCCAGTGCGATTTTTGTAAAAAATTTCATTGGTTTCCTTGTGGTAAAAGAATGATGGCCTACTTGATCGATATTTAGATTTCTTGTATTGTACGACGACCGCAGAGTCTCCAAATAGGAAGATACGGTATTTATCTATTCAATTATCGAACTAGACCTCAAAGCAAAGCTTCACTCAAACTCTTTTCGCTCACCTGAATTGTAAAAACTCGAAAACGAAAAAATTCACAATAAAAACAAGATACGTAAATGGTGAAAAAGAAAAGTTGCAAGAAAAGTTTCAAGAAAATTGAAAAAGAAAAGAATTCAAATATTGTTTCAAGGAAAAAAAAAGATGACGATTGTGTGCATTATTTGAATGAAAATCGTTTGAGAGAGGCGATGGGGGTCTCAAATTTTCTTCTTCTTTTTTAAGGTTCTTTTTTTCGAGGTTCGCTGGACGAGTGAAAAAGACCAAAAATTTGCAATTTCCCCCTTCAAAAAGCTCTTTTTCTTTTTTCATTTCTCTCAATTTTCGCGTTTAGTGTTTTGGTTTTGAAGAAATTGCTTAAAAATAGAAAAATTAAAAGAAAGAAAGTACCAAAAAAATCGTTGACGATTACTTTAGATTATTTCCTGTGTTTTGTGCTCAAAAAAATCATAGTTAGCTTTCTTTGTGTGCCAGAAGAGATGCGTTTACAGAGCATAAAGACAAAGGTAAGCTCTCTTTCAAGTAAGCTTCTAGAAGTGAGCTTCTAGAAGTAAGCTTCAGCAACGAGGTGGAGCACAAGAGTGGCAGAGACGGTCAGAGAAAGGATGGCTAGAGTGCAACCACCACCAGCACCAGCAAGTCGAAGACTTCGAACCAGGAACAATCAAGCTAGGAAACACTGGATGACAATAGCAAGCGATAGAGAAATGTGGAAGCCAGTTGTGAGCTGCGCAAATAGGAACACCTGAGTGCGAAAACAGATTAAATAAAAGCTTCTACAAGTAAGCTTCTAGAAGTGAGCTTCTACAAGTAGGCTTCTTCAAGCCAGCTTCTGCAAGTGAGCTTCTACAAGCCATCCTTCAAGCAATCTTCTTCAAGCCTTCTTCAAGCATCTTCTTCAAGCCTTCTTCAAGCCTTCTTCTTCAAGCCTTCTACAAGCCTTCTTCTTCAAGCCTTCTTCAAGCCTTCTTCTTCAAGCCTTCTTCAAGCCTTCTACAAGCCCTTCAAACCTTCTTCAAGCCTTCTTCAAGCCTTCTTCTTCAAACCTTCTTCAAGCCTTCTTCAAGCCTTCTTCTTCAAGCCTTCTACAAGCCTTCTTCTACAAGCAATCTTCTTCAAGCCTTCTTCAAGCAATCTTCTTCTTCTTCTAAATCTAAATGATATTCAATTCCCCACCTATTCATCCAATTCAATTACCCAGCTTTGAATGAGAGAAAATACAAGAATCAACGATCATTTAAAGAACTGAAAGCTAAATTTGTTCCTATGTGATCATTAATCTTTAGAAGTGGGTAAATTCCATCTTTCTCTGACTCATTGGCTCTCTTTTTCTATTCTCGTCACAATCTGAGCTCAATATTTGCTTTAAGATTGTTTTTCTTTTCACCATTTCTTCATTCACTTCTAAAAAACCCACAAATGAAACATTTTAAGAAAGAAAAGTGTTTTTACAAAAAAGAAATTGAAAATAAATCAAAAGAAAAATGAAGTGACTCTTAGATTTGTTTAAACTAGTTTAAAGTAAAGTTTAAACCAGTTTAAACCAGTTTAAAGTAAAGTTTAGACTAGTTTAAACCAGTTTAAAGTAAAGTTTAAACTAGTTTAAACTAGTTTAAAGTAAAGTTTAGACTAGTTTAAACTAGTTTAAAGTAAAGCTTAAACTGTTTAAACCAGTTTAAAGTAAAGTTTAAACTAGTTTAAACTAGTTTAAAGTAAAGTTTAAACTATTTAAACCAGTTTAAAGTAAAGTTTAAAACCTGTTTAAACCAGTTTAAAGTAAAGTTTAGACTAGTTTAAACCAGTTTAAAGTAAAGTTTAAACTATTTAAACCAGTTTAAAGTAAAGTTTAAACTATTTAAACCAGTTTAAAGTAAAGTTTAAACCAGTTTAAACTAGTTTAAAGTAAAGTTTAAACCAGTTTAAACTAGTTTAAAGTAAAGTTTAAACCAGTTTAAACTAGTTTAAAATCAAAGCTAAAAATTTACATTATCTTTTAAAAAAATTTGAATAGATAGAAAAAGATTATCAGTCTTTTTTTCTTCACATTCTCATTTTCATTGCATTTTTTTCGGTTCAATGTATGGTGAGTTTTTTTTGTCGGATTCAGAGCTCAATATTTGCTTTAAGATTGTTTTTTCTTTTCAACATTTCAACTGTATTTTAGAGAAAATTTCGTTCCAAAACGAAAACTCTTCTTTTTCAGGGTTTCGTGATGGGGCAAGTTGTGCGAATTGTGGGAAAGAGGTTCAGAAACATTTTACCGCCATTGGTTTCCTCCTTTTCATCGCCACGTTTTGGTTTTTTTGTGAGTTTTTGAAGTGGGTTTTTAAAGATGAAAAGTCAGCCTACTGATCTGGCCTCGCTGTAGGCTACAAAAAGGTTTTTGGGCCAGGCGTTGACTTTGCTTAAAGCCTGGCCTGACATCTTTGACTTTTGCTTAAAGCCTTTATATTTCTTCTTTCTTCTCTAGCAATAAGATACCGGATAGTTCAGTGGTTAGAGCATGGCCTGGCCTGACCTAACCTTCAGATCCAGACCTGGCCTAGCCTTCAGATCCAGACCTGGCCTAGCCTTCAGATCCAGACCTGGCCTAGCCTTCAGATCCAGACCTGGCCTAGCCTTCAGAAGCAGACCTGGCCTAGCATCCAGATCCAGACCTTACCTAGCATCCAGATACAGATCTGGTCTGGCCTAGGCACTATTTGTAAGCCAAACCCTGCTTAGAGCATGACCTGGCCTAGTCTCCAGATCCAGGCCAGGCATAGTTTCCAGATCCAGGCCAGGCATAGTCTTCAGATCCAGTTTTTGGGCCAGGCTTTGACTTTGCTTAAAGCCTTTATATTTCCCCTTTCTTCTCTATCAATAAGATGCCGGATAGCTCAGTGGTTAGAGCATTTGCTTGGAAAGTAAAAGCAAGCGCAAGAGCAAGAACAGGTCGAGATTTCAATCGCCTCTCCGGAAATCTTTCTTTACCATTCCTTATTTGATTACTGGCTGATCAGTCTTGAGCCTGGTTTCACTATCGGTTCACTATAGTGTACTTCAGCGGTTTATGGCTTATGGCTTACTGTAATAGCTTATTTAAGTCAATCCAGAGTGCTATCAGCTTTCCGAATTTACTGTGCTTTACTGGGTGTACTGTGATGGTTTATTGAACTGTATTTAACTTGTGCAATGATCAATCAAATGTACTGCAATGCCTGTAATGCCTTGCGTACTGTAATGCCAGATTGCTCTATTTCTAAAAGTCGTTTTGTTAGTTTTAAAAAACTGTAAACCCATAAAAGTTCTTTCTTTTCAGGTGTCGGTTTGTGGCTTTTGTTTTTGATGCGCGAGGATTTTTGTGTGTCTTGTCAAAGTGATTGGTGGGCCTCTTACGCAAAAGAGATACGCAAAAATAAGGTTAAATTTATTCTAATTTATTCAATTTATTCAAATTTTCTAGAAATTCAAATAATTTAAAGATATTTAGCTAACAGAATGGGTAAAAGTAAGAAAAAATTTGGGTAGACTGATTTCCGCAACTTTTTTTGCGCAACTTTAAGCCTAACCCTGAGCCTGAGCCTGAGTCTAAGCCTAAGCCTGAGCCTGAGCCTGAGTCTAAGCCTAACCCTGAGCCTGAGCCTGAGCCTAAGCCTGAGCCTGAGCCTGAGCCTGAGTCTAAGCCTAAGCCTAACCCTGAGCCTGAGCCTGAGTCTAAGCCTAAGCCTGAGCCTGAGCCTGAGCCTGAGCCACCCTGAGCCTGAGCCTAAGCCTAAGCCTGAGCCTGAGCCTGAGCCTGAGTCTAAGCCCAAGCCTGAGCCTGAGCCTGAGCCCTAAGCCTGAGCCTGAGCCTGAGCCTGAGTCTAAGCCCAAGCCTAACCCTGAGCCTGAGCCTGAGCTAACGCCTGAGCCTGAGCCTGAGCCTGAGCCTGAGTCTAAGCCTGAGCCTGAGCCTGAGCCTGAGCCTGAGCCTTCCGCAACTCTCCATAACTTTCTTCTAAGTTGACCAATCTTTATGCTTTTGGTTTCATTTTGTAGATCTCAATAAGTGCAACAAAATGAAACCAAAAGCATAAAGATTGGTCGACTTAGAAGAAAGTTATGGCGAGTTGTGGAAAAGACCCAGTTGCGGAAACTAGCCTCGCCCAAAACAATCCTTTAAACTGGTATAAGAAAAGGGAAAAGTCAAGGGCTAAGTTTAATCAAAGGTTTCCTCTAATTTTTCAAATTTAAAAGTAAAATGAAATCTTTACTATAGCAATTTTATTAGTAAAGATATTATGAATTGTATAAGATATTCAGTTATTCGTCTACGATCCAAGAAAAGCAAAAATCGACTCAAAATCAACTCAAAAGCGACTCAAAATCGAGAGAAACGATGAATGAAATAAAGAAAAGCTAAGAATCTGAAAAATCTATTTCGAAATATCATTTTATTATTTTCGACATGATTTATGCTTTTGTTTTTGGTCTTTTTTTCCAAATTTACTTCAATTTTCTTAGAATAAAGTGCTGAAGCTTACTGTAGACTTACTGTAGTCAGTCTAGGCTTACTCTCCTCCATTCCTGCTTCATTCTAATTTGATCTATTCTTATCAATCATCTCTAAACTCTCAATCAAAATCGACAGTAATATTAATATTAAACCCTAAGAGTTTAAGAACTCGGCAAAGGGTACAGTAGAGATAAAAGCATGAAGCATTTGCGGGTAAGGTAGCCTCAAATGATATGGTAGCGTTGTTGTGTGAGGGTACGGTAACCACAAATAATACGGTAGCGTTGTGTGTGCGGGTACGGTAGCCTCAAATGATATGGTTGCATTGTTGTGGGTACCGTAGCGAGGGTAAACTTTAGCTGCTTAGATGAGGAAGATTAGGATTCTCAAGGAAAACCCATTCCAACACTAGCTCTACAATCATTGAGTACAAGGCTAATTTATTCTAGCATTAGGAATTGATTTGAGTTACTGTACTGGGCAAGGGTTACTGTAGTTATTCTAGGCCTACTGTAGTCATTCTAGGCTTACTATAGTCATTCTAGGGTTTACTGTAGCCATTCTAGACTTGCTGTAGCCATTCTAGGCTTACTGTAGCCATTCTAGACTTGCTGTAGCCATTCTAGGCTTACTGTAGCCATGCTAGACTTGCTGTAGTCATTCTAGACTTACTGTAATCATTCTAGGCTTACTATAGTCATTCTAGGGTTTACTGTAGTCATTATAGGCTTACTGTAGTCATTCTAGACTTACTGTAGCCATTCTAGGCTTACTGTAGTCATTCTAAGAGTATCAGATTGATTTTGTAAGATAAATAAGGCAATTGAGGCAACTTTCCTGCAAGAAAACTATTCGGTTGTCTATTAACTATTCCCTCTTTCCTGTTAAACCGCTATCTTTCATAAGCTTTTTTCTGGAGAAGCTTTTTCTCTAAAAAGCTCCGCCCCTTTCTCTTTCCTCTTTCTCTTTCTTTCCTTTCCCCATAAATCAGCCATTTCTTCAGAAAACAAGACAGAAATTCTTTCAAATTCACTTTTAATAAATTTTTTAATGATAGAATTTTAGCGCACAGTTTCGTAGTCGTGTATTCGGTACTAATGATAATAAGTAAATTTAAAGATAAACTAAGATAAACTAAGTAAACTAAGTAAATTTCCTTTAGAACTATTCAACATAGTCGTTGAATAGTTCTAAAGGAAATTATTGAAAACTTTCGAATAAATTAATGGAATAAAATCATTAAATTGCTTTGTAAACTGCTAAATAAACTGATGCTAATTTGTAAAGTGCCAATAAAATCATTAAATTGCTTTGCTTTGTAAATTTCATTCTTTTCTTTTGTAAATTATGATTTTCTTTTTCTTTTTCTTTTCTTTTTCTTTTCTTTTTCTTTTCTTTTCTTTTCTTTTTCTTTTCTTTTTCTTTTCTTTACTTCTAAATGATCATTTGTAGATTTTAGGCTAACCATGAGAAAATAGAAAAGAATAGAAAAAAAAGAAAAGAAAAGTCCAAGCATTCCACGGACACTCAAAATCATTCACCTTTTCTCTCCTCATGTTCATCTCTTCTCCCCCCCAAACCCCTTTCACTTGAATACCTCGAATTCCTCAAAGATTTTTCCTTTCGGAAAACAGTGCTTCTTTAAATCTCTTGAATTCTAGATCGTTTTCCAGTTTCCACTCTTCTAAGAACAAATTTTGACCTATTAACAACGATCTAGTGAACAGTATAAACATCATTTTAATGCATTCATCTTTCCCAGCTTCACCATTGCTTTGTAAACCTACACCATCAGCCATTCAATTACTCCTTTAAGAATTTTGTCCTTATTATTTGAATTTACAACTTTTTTTGCTTTTTTTGACGATTTTACAATGATTCAATCATTTATTTTTTATAAAGCATAACTTTATAAAGTTTATGGGTAAAATCAAAGTTCAAAAGACTTGGAAGGATTTGAACCTTCAATCTTCTGATCCGTAGACGAATGCGTTAGCCATTGCGCCAAGTGACCGTCCTGGGTAGCCCTTGATAAACACCTTTTTGATTCACCTTGTCTCCAGTTTGTTCCAGGATCCGATTACACGTCGATTTTACAATATAAACATTAGTTAAGTCCCTCTGGAGTGAGGGGGAAAAAGTCCGTCGTGGTGTAATGGTTAGCAGCGTTGGGTGGTAAGCGGAAGCTCGAGGGTTCGACTCCTGGCAGAGCACAAATTTTTGATCAGACTTTTTCATTCAGTTTCTATTAAACCGATCTTTCTCCAGTTTGTTCAATGTTCGATTTTCTCGTAAACCTTCACCATCTAGTGCACTGAATTCTCAATGTTTTCTTGATAAAGTTAAAGATTTGTTTGGAGAAAAGCAAATTTCACTAAAATTCATTGCGCTAGAAAGTGTGCGTTTACAAGAAGGACAAAGTACGGGTTTTTCGATAGAGGTTTTCTATAGAGGTTCTATAGAGAAATTCTCAAATCAAATTGATGAACTGTGAAAAAATTCATCGATTTCGTGACTAATATCGATCGTGACTAATATCGATTTCGGAAAATGAAATGAAGAAAGAAAGAAAGGAAGAAAGAAAGAAAGAAAGGAAGAAAGAAAGAAAGGAAGAAAGAAAGATAGAAGGAAAGAAAGATAGATAGAAGGAAATACTTGGTATACATATTTCTGAGCTCCTTTTAGCTATTCTCTCTAATCGTAGTTCACACTCAGCTTTGCCTAAACTCCTTGAAATCTCGAGAACCGCTTATCAGAACCTATCGATGTGGGGTCGGAAAATGTAGCTAACGATGAGATCTTTCCGGGGATTTGAGTGTTGAGCTTCTGTGAAAGCTTTGAAAGCCGTAAAATAGTGATGAACTCGGCTCGCCGGCGTGCACTACCATTAGAGAGAATACGGTATTCAGCTTTGCCCGCGCTCCCAGGGGTTTTCGGCTATGGAGAATCTGACTTTTGGGTTTATTTTTAAAAAAGGGCGGGGCTTAAGTAGCAAACTCTTAGCGCAGCTAACGTTAAGAACTCGATCAATCAACTAAAATTTGGGTTTTGTTTAGTCAAAACGCAACTTTCGGTTCATTACTTTCCCGGATTCCCTGAACCAAACATTTTTGCCGCGAAAACGCCCAGGAGGTTTACGCTGAAAAAAAAACGATTTTCTTCTGAGCTTCGCGTAAATTCCTCGAAATCTCGAGAACCGAACTTACCCCGATGGGGTCGAAAAAGGGGAAATGAGTTTCAAGGAAATGGTGGGCAAGGGAGTTGGTTGGAAATTTGTCAGAACCTATCGATGTGGGGTCGGAAAATGTAGCTGACGATGAGATCTAGTGAATGATTTGAGTGTTGAGCTTCTGGGAAAGCTTGGGAGCTGTAAAATAGTCACCAACTCGGCTCGCCGGCATGCGCTATCATTAGAGAGAATACGGTGTATTATAGATTAAATTTTCACACGTCTTCACTCTTTTTTGTGAACTGTGAGAAATTTTGCTTCGATTTCGTGACTAATTTGCGAGATCTTTCAAGCCGATAAATCTATTAGACATTAAAGAATTTGTTTTGTTTTTTTAAATCCCGATCAAATGGCTTTCATTCGAATCTCTATTTTTTTGTTTTATTTTCTTTTTTTTGCCTTTTTTTTGCTTTTTTGATTAAAGTGCTCATTTCAAAATAATTTTTTAGAAATTTTTGAATCTTTTCCGCAAATTTCAAACCCTTTAAAACTTTAAAAAGAGGAATTTAAATTCAAATCTTTCTCTCATTTCCAAGAAAGATTCAAAAAAATAAAAAAATGACTTCAGAGCCAAAAAAAAGAAAAGTCCAAGCATTCCACGGACACTCAAAATCATTCACCTTTTCTCTCCTCATGTTCATGTTCAAAAATAAAAAAAATGACTTCAGAGCCACAAAAAAGCCAAAAAAAAGACCCACCACATAGAAATTTCAAAAAAAGAAATCCAAAAAAGAAAAAAATTTTCTTTATTTTTTGTCTTTTCTTTAAGTTTTCAAAAGAAGAATGACTCAAAAAAAAGCAAAAATTTGTTCGTTTTTTGAAGAAAAGATTTTAAAAAAGAGGTTTTTTGAACAAAAAAAAAAGTGTTCTTCGCGTGAATTTTGGAAAATTTAGTTAAAGTAAAGAAAGGAAAAGAAGAAAAAAAAAAGCCCCGCCAAAAGTTGAGAAATCCATTTGATCTTGGATTTTTGAATGCTTGCTTGAGATTTTGATTTAACTACTTTTCACTACATTAAACTACATCTAGCTACGTTTAGCTACGTTTCACTACGCTTAGCTACGTTTCACTACGCTTAGCTACGTTTCACTACGCTTAGCTACGTTTCACTACGCTTAGCTACGTTTCACTACGCTTAGCTACGTTTCACTACGCTTAGCTACGTTTCACTACGCTTAGCTACGTTCAGATACGTTTAGCTACGTGCACTACTATTAAAGAAAATGTAAATTATACGAGAAATATGGAAATATTTTGATGTATAATATTTATTATATAAACAAAGCTTAAAAGCTCAACAATTGTTGAGCTTTTAAGCTTGTGTAGTATAATACGGTATTCTTTTGAAATAGAAATCGATTCAAAATAGCAATTGAGCAATATTCAACTCATTTTGTTGAATATTGCTAAATAGCAAGCTCTTAAAACACAGTGATCGTACTCTCTCTAATACTAGTGCACCCTAAGCTCTCTCTAAATTCCTTGAAATCTCGAGAACCGCTTATCAGAACCTATCGATGTTGGGTCGGAAAATGTAGCTAACGATGAGATCTAGTGGGGGATTTGAGTGTTGAGCTTCTGGGAAGACTTGGAAACTGTAAAATAGTCATCAACTCGGCTTAGGCTTACACTTAGGCTCGGGGTGCACTACTATTAGAGAAAATACGATATTCCCTATTATGTTCAATGATTTGAGCCTCTTTTACTGGCAAAAATCGAATCCCTTTCGCGTAGAGAATTTTTGGTTTTTAGTCACTACTTCAGTCACTACTATTCATTCAAAAATTTTCATAGCTTGCAAAGTTTCAAATCAAATAGCTCCTCTATTAAAGGGTACAATATATTCACAGTCGTTCATCTAGTGTAAGTTACCGTATTCTCTCTAATACTAGTGCACCCTTATTGTCGTCTAAATTCCTTGAAATCTCGAGAACCGCTTATCAGAACCTATCGATGTGGGGTCGAAAAATGTAGCTAACGATGAGATCTAGTGGGGGATTTGAGTGTTGAGCTTCTGGGAAAGCTTGGGAGCTGTAAAATAGACACCAACTCGGCTCATCGGGGTGCACTACTATTAGAGAGAATACGGTGTATTATAGATTAAATTTTCACACGTCTTCACTCTTTTTTTTCGATTCTTTTCTCCTGTATGACTAATAGCGAAAAAAGGCGAAAAAGTGATCGATTTTGGAGTGATCTCTCCCGACTTTTATGTGCTCATATCTTTCTTTTCTTTTTGTGTTAGATTTTTTGAAATTTCTATGTAGAAAAATAGCCTAATCAATCGGTAATTTTGCTTAATTTTAGTATTTATTTTTTAAAGCCAATTTTCTAATAAGTTTTATCATTTTTTTGCATTAAATTAATTAAATATAACCAAAAATTAAAGAAATTTATAAAAAATGACTCAAAATTACAATATTTTGATAAAATAAAAGCTTTTTACAAGGGAAAATTGATTAAATTCATTTTTTTTCTCGTTTTTTTCAAAATTCTACTTTATTGGCTGTGTTTTAAATGTGAAAGTTGTCTTTGAGAGCTCTTTAAATCGTTTTCAAACGTTTTCAAACGTTTTCAATCGTTTCTCAATCGTTTCTCAATCGTTTTCAATCGTTTTCAAACGTTTTCAATCGTTTCTCAATCGTTTTCAATGATTTTCAATCGTTTTCAAACGTTTTCAATCGTTTCTCAATCGTTTCTCAATCGTTTTCAATCGTTTTCAATCGTTTTCAATCGTTTCTCAATCGGTTTTCAATGATTTTCAATCGTTTTCAAACGTTTTCAATCGTTTCTCAATCCTTTTCAATCTTTCCCCAATTTTTAGCCATGAAACATCGATGGAGAGCTTTCCCCCCTCACTCAACAATGATCATTTCCTCACTTCTATTCATCTTCATCTCCTCAACTCGCTCATTCCCCACGGAAACGTCGAATCAAATCGAAATCCCTGAACAAGTGCCAACAATCAACGGCACCGTGTACACGATCAGCTCCTTTAGTCCAAAAGTTGGTGAAGCTAATGAGAAAAGATTTCTAGACCAGATCGATTTCTTATTTTTTGTCTAAAACTTTTTGAAATAGTCGTTTATCAAAAAATCTGGGAAGAATTTATTGAGGCTTGGCTTTTGAGAAATCACTGTGCAAACTTTTTTCGAGAACTTTCTTTCCAACCTAATATAAAAAGCTGACAAAAATAGTACCTCTGAACAAAGTTATAGGCCTTCAAAGCGTGACGACTCATTCAAAATACCCGAAAATTTTTAAAAACTTTCCGATAACTTAGTAATCAGTAAAGTAAAGAAATGTAAATCTAATAGTAATCAGTAAAGTAAAGAAGTGAAAGGCAAAAAAAATGAACCAACGGGAATCGAACCCTCGACCTTCAGCCTCCCAGGCTGACGCTCTACCACTGAGCTATCTGTCCCTTGCTTCCCCGAGAAGAAATAGTAAAGATAAGGCAGAAGGAGAGGGCTTTGTCAAACTTTTTCTTATCAAATTTGAATTTTTTGATGGGTTGAGCTTAATGAGCTTAATTATTTTTGAAAATTGAAAGGGTGCTTTCTCATTCACATCTTCTCATTGACATCTTCTCATTGACATCTTCTCATTGACATCTTCTCATTGACATCTTCTCATTGACATCTTCTCATTCACATCTTCTCATTGACATCTTCTCATTCACATCTTCTCATTCACATCTTCTCATTCACATCTTCTCATTCACATCTTCTCATTCACATCTTCTCATTCACATCTTCTCATTCACATCTTCTCATTCACATCTTCTCATTCACATCTTCTCATTCACATCTTCTCATTCACATCTTCTCATTCACATCTTCTCATTCACATCTTCTCATTCACATCTTCTCATTGACAAACGCACATTTTCTAGCACAGTAGTTCTCAAATTTTACTTATCAAACCATCAAATTAAAACGAAAATTGAGTGATCACAAAGAGGAAACTCGTTTTTTTTAACTAATCCCTTTTCTTTTTTTGACTCAATTCTGATATGAAAAGTCTTTACTTTTTTGTTGTTTTTCAAGAAAATCACGGGTTTTCTTGATTCTGATTTTTTTAGAATAATTCAAAGAGATGAAAATCGATAGAATGAGGAAAATAGAAAGGAAATGAGAGGAAATTTTTTTAAACTAATCAAGAGATTCAAAGTTCTTTTGAGTGTACTTTGTGCTCGGAATTTGCAAACCCATCCATTCTGGTGCACCGAAATCGTTTTTCTCGAAGCAGCGACAGTTTTGAGTTGTGGTACAAAGTACAAAGGTACTACAACGAATAAACAAATAAGTGTACTTTGTGCGTTTTTGTAAACGCTAGCCCTCTAGTGCACTAAATTCATCGTTTGTACTTTGTGCGTTTGTGCAAACGCTAGCCCTCTAGTGCACTAAATTCGGTTGATCGATTTCCCCATCGTTTCCATTCTTTTGCTAGATATGAAGACTTTCATGCACCAGAAATTTTGCGTTTACAAGAGCACACAAAGAACAAGTAAAGTTTAGCGTTTGTAAGGTGATAATTCTTTAGTTTAAGAATACCGTATTTACTCTATTAGTGGAGTCCCCCACTATTTTAGCTACCTTCAATTCAAAGCATTTACGGCAACTATTTTTTGATACCAAAGCGAGCGTTGTAGCATAAACCAGTGTCGAGAAAAACTCGTTCAAAGCTAGACTACGCAACACTTCGCACCGTCTTTATGGGGATGGGGTACTATTACAGTATTTACGGTATGTTTATTATCTCTGTATCTATTATCTACCGTATTTACTCTATTAGTGGGGTCCCCCACTATTTTTTCAATCCCCTTCCAGACGACCCCACTATTAGAGAAATTTAAAAGAACATAAAACCAAAGTTTTAAATTGAAAACATATCAATTTTTCTCCGAAATTCTTGACAAAACAAGTTTGGCTTCATATTTTATTTAGCTTTAACCGTAAAAAAAAAATTAACAAACAGTAAAAGAACTAATCCAAGAGATCAACAATTGATGTATCACTTTCGTTACCAATATTAGAGAGGACCCCACTATTTTTTCAACCCCCCTCCAGACGACCCCACTATTAGAGAGGACCCCACTAATAGAGTAAATACGGTATATATTATATATATTACACTTTTTTTTTACAGTAATCATAGCCACCTACCGTAACCCTTTTCCAGTAACCATAGCCATCTACCGTAACCCTTTTACCCCAATTTAATTAAAATATTTCTTTTTCTTTCCATCAAAATTTCAAAATCAATCGAATTCTTTGCTGATTAGCGGAAAAAAGGGAGTTTACGAGCGCTTACGACCGAAATAAACACGAAAAAAAACACAATTTTACGACAAAAATCCAGGAGAACACAGGAAATTGAAGAAATTTGAGTTTTAAAAAGCAAAACAAGTTAAATAATATCTTTTTTTTTTATTTTGAGCGTACAGTCGCGTCGTCGTCAACTTTTTCCCTTCATAACTTGGTGTATATTCAACGAAAAACGAAGCTAATACACTCATTCGATAGCCGTGAATCTCCTCTTGAAAACTCATATAAATTTATCAAGAACTTTCTGCAAAATCTAGAATAAAAAACCTAAAAAACGAGTTGACATGAAAAAAAAAGCAATTCGATTCGTACGATTGGGTTTTTTTTGTGTTTAAAATGAGTTTTTTTGTTTAGACTTTCGTTCGCACTGATGAATTCCTTTTAAACTACACATCGTGCGCTCAATTTCACTTTAAACTCACGGAAAAACGAGTGAGGTGAGTTGTTTTTAAAGTTTTCTAAAGTTACCTCGAAAAAAAGCCCCCACATTTCACCATGTCAAGTGTACTTTGTGCTCAAAAGTCTCGTCTTCTAGACGAGATTTAAAGGAGCTTTAAAAGAGCTTTATAGGAGCTTTAACGGAGCTTAATAGGAGTTTTAAAGGAGCTTCATAGGAGTTTTAAAGGAGCTTTAAAAGAGCTTTATAGGAGCTTTAACGAAGCTTTAACGGAGCTTTAACGGAGCTTTAACGGAGCTTTAACGGAGCTTTAAAGGGGCTTTAACGGAGCTTTAAAGGAGCTTAATAGGAGTTTTAAAGGAGCTTTAAAAGAGCTTTATAGGAGCTTTAACGGAGCTTTAACGGAGCTTAATAGGAGTTTTAAAGGAGCTTCATAGGAGTTTTAAAGGAGCTTTAAAAGAGCTTTAAAGAGCTTTAAGGGAATTTCTAGTGAATTCATAGAAATTGGAGAAATGGAGAAATGAAGTGGAGGAGAAATGAAGAATTCAGTAAACCGGAAAAGATGCGTTAAGTACAGGGTGACCAAGAATTACCGTGACCTTTGACTGACGCCGTCCCAACGAGTCGCGGATCCATAGCTCGCGGCCGTATGACTTTAAAACAAAGCTTGTATGCTGATTTCGATTAAACAATCTTTAGATAATACAGAGTGACCAAGAATTACCGCAACAGACAAAAGGCTTGGCTTTTAACCAAAATAATCAAACCAATCTCGAAAAGTTAACTTAAATATCTTTATTCAACAAATAACAGTAACAAATTAACAATTAAATTCAATATTTGTCTCCATCGGCATTCAGACAAGCTTGCAAACGTTTGGGAAACGCGTGGCAAGCAAATAAGCATCATCACCATGCTTTAATAAGCACTTTCTTCAAACTTTCGATATTTTTATCGTGGTTTTGCACATGCTCTGGCTTCAAGAACACTTCAGACTGAGTAATCCAATGGGTTAAGATCGGGTGAGCTGGGTGGTCACTCAGAAAACGAGATGAAGTCCGAGATAAAGTCCGGGAAGGTCTTTGAACAAAACTCTTGCACTTTCTTGGCCTTTTGAGCCGGCGCACCATCGTGTTGAAAGGTCCAAACTCGATTTTTGAAGTGGTGTTGAGCCCACGAAGCAATCTCCTTCTTTAGCAAGTCCAAATAATTGCAAACGTTTGGGGAAACGCGTTGACCGTGGTAATTCTTGAATCAACGAATCACCAGTAACGAATCCACGTTTGCAATTATTTGGACTTGCTAAAGAAGGAGATTGTTTCGTTGGCTCAACACCACTTCAAAAATCGAGTTTGGACTTATCAACAAGATGGTGCAAAGGCAAAGAAAGTGCAAGAGTTTTGTTTAATCATAAACAAACTAGTAACGAACTCTAGAACTTTAATGAAACGAGCTCTAGTAAGAAAAACTCTATTAAATTAGTATACTTTTATATTTTATAAGAAATAAATCCTTTCTAGTGCAATGAATTCTATTTTTCTTCGTTAAAGAAAAGAATTGAATGCGTTTAAAGGATTTTTTTGAGCAAACGAAAGACAAAGATGGCTCTAAAAACATGTCACTTTCACAAAAAGAATCCAGTTTTTTTTTGCGGGAAAAAAAGCCTGAGAAAGGCATATTTGGTCTCATTGCTGAGGTTGATAAAAAAAGAAAGAAAAAAGGGGTAAACAGATAAACAGATAAACAAACATCACCATCACAATTCCCATGTCTTTTCGATAACTTTTTCCTCAATGTGTGTGTGCTTTCTTTACTTCCTCGATTACTCACTTAATACCCAAGGGATCTACTAGATTGCCAGGAAATAAATGAGCATTTTGTATTGTTTATTATTTGAGTACATTTTTCTCAATAAAGTATGCTCTGTACCTTGTAATGAAAGGTAATGAAAGGTAATGAAAGTTAATGAAAGGTAATGAAAGGTAATGAAAGGTAATGAAAGGTAATGGAAGGTAATGAAAGGTAATGGAAGGTAATGTCTCGTATCTCGACACCAGTACGTTTGTTTCTCCTCGATTAGGTATCAAATTAAAGTAGAGAAGATAGGTAATCTTTTGATATGTAGCACATATTTTTCGCATTAACCAGCGCTTAGAAAAAATGATTGAAAAATGATTAAAAATGATGAAAAATCGGCTCTTTTTGCTACTTTTCAATCATTTTTTTCTAAGTGCTGGTTAATGCAAAAAAATATGTGCTATATCTCAAAAGATTGCCCATCTTCTCTACTTTAATTTGATACCTAATCGAGCAAAAAGAAAGTCGAGATATGAGCGTTTGTTCGAGAGTAAACTTAGCCTACGCGACGCTTCTATAGGGGGTTTTCTATTAGAGCTTTTTTTTGAGGTATAATGCATTCTTTTTCTAATCCGTTTTCTAAAACGTGGGAATCTTTTCTCTACCGTAATCTAGTCTATTTTTTTATCAAAACTATCTACTTTTTAAATCCTCTAATCGGATAAAATAAAATAAGTGGATAAAATAAAGCAAGCTTACGGTAGCCGGAGCACATTTTAGAGGCTGGATTTGAGGCTGGGTTTGGGGCTTTGAAGCTGGCTTTGGGGCTGGGTTTGAGGCTTTGAAGCTGGCTTTGAGGCTGGCTTTGAGGCTGGATTTGGGGCTGGTTTGAAGCTGGCTTTGAGGCTGGCTTTGAGGCTGGATTTGAGGCTGGATTTGGGGCTGGCTTTGAAGCTGGCTTTGAGGCTGGCTTTGGGGCTGGCTTTGAAGCTGGCTTTGAGCAGAACATCTACCGCATTCTGTAATCAGAGTTACAAAAGAAAACGTTGTACTTTGTGCCATAGTAAACCTGTACTCTCTGGCACAATGCTTTCTCATCGATCGTTCTCTCTTTAACTCTCTTCTAGACAAAAGATTGAGCAGATCAGATCAAATCATTGAAAAAAATTCCTAGAGATTTTGCTAAAGAAAACAAAAAAAAACTAAATGAGTCATTTGTTTTATTTCAAATTCTAAAACAAGAAAAACACAGAAAGAAAAGAAAACGATTTGAAAACAAAAATGCCCAAAAAAAATCTATGATATCTAAAAATCTGAGCAGGAAAAATGAACGTTGTGTCTGAACGGGAAAAAAGAAATTTATCTATAGAAAGAATTTTTCAAAAAAAAAAGCACAAAAATCCGAAAGAAAAAGGAAATCAAAAGGTTACTGGTTTATGATGTATACCGGGGTTACCGGTCATTCATTTTGCACACACATAATCCCAATTTATATTAAGAGTTAGGGAATATTCTATCGTTTGTGAGGATGGGACGATGTAGGAGACGGTGTAGGAGAGAGTGTGGGAGACGGTGTAGGAGACGATGTAGGAGATGATGTAGAAGACGATCGACGATGTAGGAGGCGATGTGGGAGGCGATGTAGGAGACGATGTGGGAGACGATGTAGGAGACGATGTGGGAGACGATGTAGGAGACGATGTAGAAGATGATGTAGGAGACGATCGACGATCTAGGAGACGATCTAGGAGACGATGTGGGAGACGATGTAGAAGACGATGTAGGAGACGATTGACGATCTAGGAGACGATGTAGGAGACGATACAGGAGGAGAAGGCTATCCGCTTTATACGAGCTTGCGCCTTAAGTCTTAAGTCTACCGATTTGGATCCCTGGTTATCCCAATCCTGAGGGGAAGGGGCCTAGGGGGGCCGGTCTTGGGAACCAGTTCATCATATGACTGCAGTTACCTACAGCACTCGATAATCTTTAGTTTTGATTTGATAGGTTTGATAAAATTTTTAAAGATAAAGATCTGTGATGCTTTTGGAAAGGAAAGCTTTAGAAAAGCATCGGAGAAGTCTAGTTGTAAGCAATTCTCTTTCAGCTTTGTAAATAGAATCTGTGTTATTTAATGGACCAAGAAATTCAATCTTTAAACTTCTATACAACCGGTGAACAGTAAAAAAAGCAGTAAATAAGCAGTAAACAAGCAGTAAACAAGCAGTAAACAAGCAGTAAATAAGCAGTAAACAATCAATAAACAAATAGTAGATCTGTAAATGAGTAAACCATTTGAGACTCCGTGGCTACACATGTCTTCTGACTGAAGGCGGCTTCTGCACTCTTGACAAGTTCTACTATCCAAGGGACAAGGTGAATTTGAAGGAAATTTGAAAGTAATCTTTGAAACCAATCTTTTTAATCTTTTTAATAAAGTCCTCTGTACAGTTAAGTATTAATTAAAGTGAAAAATCAATTACTTCAGTTTTTACCTCTCTGAATTTTCAGTTTTTAGTCTTTTTCTCAAAAACTAGTTGATGATTGTAGGATTTCAAAATACCATTTAATAGCAAATCTTTTTGCACATCTTTTGAACTATAAGACATTGCGAATGGCTTATTGGGTGAGGAGAAAATCTACAAAGTGTAAAGGAGGAGAGCGCTTCTCTTAGTGTCCCCCTAAGGTTCTAGTTGAAATATTCTGGAATTGTTTTTGAAAACGTGTATGGTAAATAAAAGTAATAAAACTAGAGATAAATACGTATATTTTGTAAAAAAAATGAATAAAAAATAGTAAAAGGGAATCGAGATATGAAGGTGGAAAGGGGAGAGAAAAAAATCGAAAAAAATCGAAAAACCTCTTTCTTCTCACCCTCATATCTCGCTCTCCTTTGCATCTTTTAAATTACTTTTTTTGTAAAATATGAGCATTCAATTCTCGTTTTACTGTTTTTAAATAGAGAATGGATTGCTCGGAGGGATTTTCAACTTTCAACGTTTCAACTGGAACCTTAGGGGGACATTAAGAGAAGCACTCTCTCCCTTTACACTTTCTAGATTTTCTCGTCACTCAATAAGCCATTCGCAATGTCTTATACATTAAAAGATGCGCAAAAAGATTTGCTATTGAATGGGATTTTGAAATCCTAGAATCATTAGCTAGCTTTTGAAAAACGGACTGAAAACTGAAAATTCTGTGCTCCAGTGGACTCTCGAAAACTATTAATTTCATTGAATTTTTATTTGGGTTACATTTTGATTCCAGTGAATATCTGCTGAAAATCTTTAGCTAAAGTACAGCAAATTTTTCAGGAAGGTTGCTACGCGTTGAGACCGTGGAAAGCTCATCCGGAGCGTTTCGCTTTCTACTTTGTGCTCGAGCGGCGACAACGCAAATATGGCGCGGCGAAGGCACACCGGGCACGAAAGGTTTACAGAGTTTTACGGGTTACAATAATCGATAAACTACAGCGGAAATCTGGATAAATTTACGATTACTGTAATCAGCTAGTGATTATGACACGAATTTTCGGACTATGTCACGTTAGAAACGTTAGAAACTATAGTACAGTCAAAGAATTACTGTACTCTAAAAGGCTTACTATAGTACTGTCAAAGGATTACTGTACTCTAGAAGGCTTGCTATAGTACTGTAAAAGATTATTGTACTCTAAAAGGCTTACTATAGTACTGTCAAAGGATTACTGTACTCTAAGGTTTACTATAGGACTGTCAAAGGATTACTGTACTCTAAAAGACTTACTATAGTATTGTCAAAGAGATCAATGTGAATATCGGCACCTAGCTTGTACTCTTTGTGCTTGAAAAATGAGTATGACACGTTAGAAAACCTTAATTTTCCATATTCAATTCCCTCTTCATCTTTGACAAAAGAAAAATTCAAAAGAAAGCGAAAAAAGTTCGTAAAGTTCATCAGTCTTTCGCACAAGGAAAACAACAAAAAATTTTGGGGCTTTTGAAGGGGGATTCAAAAGGGAATTGTTGGCAAAAAGTTGGCAAAAAAAATGGTGGACTCTTTCGGTTTTTGTTTGTGTAAAAAAGTGTTCCTTTTGGAAAGAGAGGAAAGCTGAAATTGGGCTTATTTTTTGGGCGAAAGAATGCCAGGGAAAACAGGGTAAAAAATGGGGAGAAAAATCGCATAGAAAAGCTGGGGTTCACTTGGGGGAAAGACGAATAGATGGAAGTAGGTCGAAATTATCATTCAATTGGGGAATAGATGGAATTAATTATCATTCAATTGGGGAATAGATGAAAATTATCATTAAAATGATATTAAAGAAGATTAAAGAATTAGTATTTTTAAACAATTTTGTTAGAATTTTCGTAAAAAAATCATTTTCTCAACGTTTCGTTTTGTTTAAGCTAAGGATTCAGTGCGCCAGAAAGAATGAGTATACGAACTTTTCAAGCACAAAGAGTACAAGCTAGGTGCCGATATTCACATTGATCTCTTTGACAATACTATAGTAAGTCTTTTAGAGTACAGTAATCCTTTGACAGTACTATAGTAAGCCTTTTAGAGTACAGTAATTCTTTGACAATACTATAGTAAGTCTTTTAGAGTATAGTAATTCTTTGACAATACTTCAGTAAGCCTTTTAGAGTACAGTAATCCTTTGCCAGTACTATAGAAGTCTTTTAGAGTACAGTAATCCTTTTACCGTACTATAGTAAGACTTAGAGTACAGTAATCCTTTGAATACAGTAACCATACAATAGTTTTAACAAAAAGAAAGAATTTCCTTTTCTCTAGCCCCGCTGGACTGCGAACAAATTTCCAGTAAGTTGAGAGAGTATTTTGATTGTTTGATAGAAACACTGGTTTACATCGTTTTCTAAAAAGCACCAATTTTAGAAAATTTTAGAACTATCATACTTTACCTTAAACCGTGTTTAAACCGTCAGTTTCATTCAATCAACCCAAATTTTTGTATCATTGACTGAGCCTTGTGATTAAACGAATGAAAAAAAATCGAGCTAATCGTGAAAACTTTGGGGTTTAAGCGCGATTGTACAGTCGTTTTAACAAAAAGAAAAGAAAAAAGAAAAAAAAAAAAGAAAAGAAATAAAAGAAAAGACAAAAAGAAAAGATTTCCTTTTCTCTAGCCTCGCTGGACTGCGAATAAATTTCCTGTAAGTTGAGAGAGTTTCCCTTTCGATTTGTTTTTTCTAAAATAGGTATAAAATAGGTGCTTTTTGGAAAGCTTATTAGTCAAAAGGATTCTAAAGAATACTGTTATATAGATTAGATTATATAAACTTTTCTCAGATCCGTCGCTCGGGTCGCGTTTCCGCGGAGCCGATTGGGGAATTGATTTTGGACGGGATTATGCCGTGCTCGGAGACGTGCACAAAGGGACAAAGTAGACCGACAAACGATCGAAATACTTTGAATTGAGTGGATTTGCGTAAATGTGCCGTAAAAGGAAATGTTATTGAAGCTAGAGAAACATGTAAAAATTCAACATTTCACGCATTTCGACACAACTTTCGAAATTTTTCTTTCGAAATTTTCTTTTAATGGCAGCTTTTTAAAATTTTTCCTTCTTTTTAGAAAGCTTATTATTGGGTTGGTGAATTGAAAACTGCCGAACTTTGAACTAAAATTTATTCAACATAAAACCATCAATTCATTCCAAATAATTTCCATTATTATTGACGAATTCTGCCGATTTTACAGGCAATTTGCGGATTCCTCTTTCGTAGTAGAATTTTGGTTTTTGTGTGAGACAAGTGTGAGACTCAAAAATGGAGGATTGGAGACTCAAAAATCGAGGAGATTTCCCAGTTTGAGCACTTTCTTCAAAAGAAACCCATTTTGGTGTCAATAGAAAAGTTGTAGAGAATCAAAAATTAGGCTTATAGGCAAATTTCCAAAAAGATACACTTAGTAGTTTCGCTTAAAATGCAAGTTTTGTGAAAATTCGTAACATTTGGCATTTCTTGGAAACCAGTTATTGAATCGTTCTGAAAATTTGGATATAAGCTTGATTTTTGATTCTCTACAACTTTTCCATTGACACCAAAATGGGTTTCTTTTGAAGAAAGTGCTCAAACTGTCACATATGACAATAGCCCGCAGATTCACCTATCATAGATTGAGATTAGCCTTGATTTGAGGAGAAGTCAATGTCTAATTTGAGGATTCGGAGCCGGCCAGATGAGTTTGGGAAAGGGAAAGGGAAGGGGGTTATGTAAAAGCCCTGCGCCAGACGACGAGCGATTACGCAGCCGCACAAAGAACACACCGAACACACAAATTTTAAGCGAAACTACTAAGTGTATCTTTTTGGAAATTTGGATATAAGCTTGATTTTTGATTCTCTACAATTTTTCCATTAACACCAAAATGGGTTTCTTTTGAAGAAAGGGCTCAAACTGTCACATCTGACAATAGCCGGCAGTTTTCAATTCACCAACCCAATAGCTTCTAAATCTTCTAATTTTTACGATTCATTTTCAATTTTAGCTTTAAAATTCAATTTTTCTCTTTAAAATTCAATTTTCCAATAGCTATTTGTCGATTTTTTTTAAATAAGTGAAATTTAAACGCAAAACTTTTCCGATACCAGTGATTTTAAGCGTAACTTGTCAAAGAGAAAGGGTTTTTTTAAGGTTTTTGATCTAAAAATAGTGTAATTAACTTTAAAAAACCGATAGAAAACTTAAAGTACAGTAAAAGTAAAGTAAAAGAATTTTTAGATTTTGCATGAAAGTGTTCCCAAAAATTTTCAAATAAACCTAAAAAACCAGAGCCAAAAAAAACCCGCAAAAATTTTGACTCGTTTTTCTTTTCGCTGACAAACTTCTAGGGTCATTTTGATTGCCATTTTAATATTTTTTTTAACAGTAACTGGTTACAGTAAGCTCTTGTCATCTTGTAGCTTACTGTAGAATGTTTTAAGCATACAATAAGCTTACAATAAGCTTACAATAAACTTGTGCCCTTTTACCTTACAAGTTAGAGTACAAGTCAGCTTACTGTAGCCAGTAAAATCTAGCTTTATAGCTTTATCAATTTCTCGTTTGTGAATTTTTTTCTAATTCTTTGGGAGTGGGACAAATGCGACCTTTTTTCCGCACCCGGACATTTGCGCACCTTTTTTGCCCATTAGCGCACCTTTTTTCGCGTTTTAAAAAAGCTCTAAAAAGCTAATATTAACCAATTTCTATTCCAAATGTTGTTTTTCTAGGTAATTTTAGGGCGTAGAATCGAAATTTTGACATATCAGAGCTTGTGGAACCAATTTGAAAGACAAAACGGCTAGATCAAATTACAGAAAATTGTCGATTTTTCTCTTTGTATAACTCCGTCCGTTTGTTTCCACAAGCTCTGATTTGTCAAAATTTCGATTCTCGGCCCTAAAATTACCTAGAAAAACAACTTTTGGAATAGAAATTGATTAATATTAGCTTTTTAGAGCTTTTTAAAAACGCAAAGAAGGTGCGCTAATGGGCAAGGTGCGGAAAAAAAGGTGGGCAAATGTCCGGGTGCGCAAAAAAAAGGTCGCATTTGTCCCACTCCCTAATTCTTTAAAAGATTTCAGCCTGCATTTTCGTCTATGCATTCCGAAAAATAAAATTTTAAAAAAAGGAGCACTAAAAGTGCTATTTTTTTGTGAAAACTGATTGGTGCAATGATTTTTTTTGGCTTTCAATCGAAACTCGTTAAGCTTTTTCCCGGAACGATGTTTTCTTTTTGAAATTTTTTTTCTTATATAAAGCTTTTTAGTGATTTGTGTTATTTAAAGAATAAAGATTGCTTACAAGTTGCTTTGAAAGAGTATTTACAAGTCAGCTTACTGTAGCTTACTGTAGTAAGTTAAAAAAGTGAAAAGATAACAATTTACTTTCTAAAGTGCACTAAAAGATCTGAAAAGACTACTGTAACAGTTTGCTTACAGTTACCTAGAAGACGATTGCTGCAGTGGCCTTTTGTAGTACTCTAACTTGTAAGATAAAAGGTTACAAGGTTACTGTAAGCTTAAAATATTTTACAGTAGGCTACAAGATGACAAGCTTACTGTAAGCAGTTACCGTAAGCTTGTCATCTTGTTACAGTATCAGTTACAGTAAGCTACAGTAACCCAAGATGCTTCAATTTGAAAGATTACTGCAGTCAATATCAGTGTTTGGCTCTGGAACTGTATAAAGAGTATCGAATAAACAAAGATCGTCTCAATGAGTCTGTTTATCTACGTGCGTGAAACCGCTATCGTTAGCTTGTTTCAAGATGGAATGGTGGGTTTGTGTGTGTCAAACACTTCACACTGTTTCCCCAAACAGCACCAAAAGGGGTTCACCCAAGTGTGTCTTTTCCTTCTAAGCTTTTCCCTTCATTACCCACTTCTATCCATTTCTCCACTACAAATAAGAGCAAATCGCGTGAAAGGGGTTGGCAATAATGGCAAAATGTATTTTTAAAAACACACAAACAAATTCGTTTAAAAATTGCTAGTAATTGCTAAACAAATATAATACAAAAAAAAATGAGACCAGAGAATACATTGTTATGTTATTATACAGAGAAAAAAGTGAATATTAAAATTTCTTCAGAGATCGACTGGACGATGCCAAAATGTGACTAAAAGGAAAATTTTGTGATATTACAAATTCTCAACACTAAGCTTTATTTCTTTGACTTAAATCATAGCCTCAAAGAGCACAAACCACTACGGTTACCCAACAAAAAGTGGAATTTTACCAGTTTCCTACCTATGTTTTAAATTGATGAAATTCTGTCCAGTTAAATTTTGTGATACTCATAAACACCAACCAGAACCATCACCACATCCAACAGCGACATCTCCAGCTAAGTAGTCGAAGCGGCACGGCTCACAGTGGAATTTCCCCGTCGAGTACATTTCGATTGGCGCAGGAGCCAGGGAGAATGACTAAAATAGACAAATTGAATACAGTAATGTTATTTACCGAATTATAAAGCTTACTAAAAATTGTGCTAAACTTTTGCTATATAAAGCTTCAAAGTTTCAAATCTACCTTGAGACCACCAAGTTGTGTCAGTGCGAGGACGCTTCCTTTTGTTTTTATAACCTGAAAGTAACATTTAGAAACGTTTATAAAAATTTATGATTAAAAAAGCACCAACCTGCCTAACTGCATTCCCATCGGGTACTACTCGGAAGTTGTGCGAGGGCGAGAGATTGTCGGCTCGATAGGCGTGTACTTCTCCACTAAACATGAAAAATGTTGAGGTTTATAACTTTTAAACTTAGAACTACTTTCCTAGCTATTAATACGAATGACAGAATAGTCAGTACCCAAAATTGATAAAAACATACCTCGATGTAGCCAAATAGACGAGTCCCGAGTTGAGACAAATGTTCAACGAGTTGGGCACGTTGCGAATGCTCAGATGTTCTTTCAGATTTCGTTTGTCCGTTATTCGCAACTTCCGATCCACCCCGTACGAGTAGATGTAGTGGCCCTAATGCAGGTAATGAGCAAATTTAAAATATGAACTGCCCACCTTTTGTGCAATAGAAGTGATCGCTCCTTGATGCGCTCGCACTTTGCCGACACTCTAAAAATAGATTGCTGTTGAGGCTTTTGATTAACTTTTAATAATAGTATAGCTAAGTGTTCAAAGTAATACCTCCAAATTATTATTGATATCATGTATGGTTATCGTTGAATGGAAACGGCTGCAAATTGCGACTTTCTCGTCTGCTAATATCCCTGTCACTGCTCCGTTTTCTGCATCGATTTTTCTCGAGATACACTAAAATGAGAACATTTTTCAATACAATATCAGCTCTTTATTTCGCGAAGGTTTCAAAAGCTTACGTGAAATGGTCGCTGATCGATATCCCACAAGCAAACCGTCGAATCCCATCCGGCACTCAGCAATTCGTTCTGCTCATTCACGAGATCCACCGACCATATCCATCCCTCATGTGCACCCTCTTTTTCTTTGTTTACCCATGTGTCCTTGTTGACTGGTGAATTCTAAATTAGTTGTTTTTTAAATAAGAAACAGTTGGGCTAGTCATCCAATAAAACTTGAAGTTATTTCACAACCGAGACAACATGAAAAATGTAAACGTTTGCATACTCAAATATACAGGGCGTTCAAGAAATACGGGCACTTTTTCTCTAATGCGTACTTCGCCTAGACTTAACTATTCCCCATAAAACTTTTTTGTTCTAATTTACCTCATTTTCAACACTTTACTTCAATACTTTACTCAAAACTCAAAATTAGCAATTCTATAGAACTTCAAATCTCCAAAACTCCAGAGCCTCTGCGATGCGGCACCATGCGACCAAATTTTGAAATTAAAGAATTACTTTAATAATGATTACCCGACCATGGATAAAACACTTGTAAATATCTAAATTATAAATTTAGACAACTAAGCTGTTTGCTACTTTTTTGAATAGTAATTATTTATGCTCAAAATTTGGTCACAGGGAGTCGCGTCCAAAAGCCTCCACAAGGAGGCTTTTGGAGATTTGAAGTTCTATAGAACTGTTAATTTTGAGTTTTTGGGTAAAGTATCGAAGCAGTGTTGGAAATAAGCAGTAAATTTTAGCAAAGAGTTTTATGGGAAATGGTTAACTCCAGGCGAACCCAGTACTAGAGAAAAAGTGCTTGTAATTCTTGAACACCCTGTACTCAAATAGCATAAAAATCAAATATTGCCAACCTTTATAGCATCAAGATTAAAAATCTTCAGCGATCGATCCCTCGCCCCGGTGATGCAAAAACGTGCACCATTTGAAGACCTAAAGAAAAATTCTTAAAATCTACATTAGCATCACAAACTTGAATAACTTCACTGCATCAATTGTCGCATAATGACTGCAAGAACCCTCGGTGATACTTCTAAAATTAATATATTAAAACTTTTAGAAGATTACAGACATTGTTTCATCTCAACAATTTTGTTTAAAAGCTAATTTATAGTAAAAATCCTACTTGGTCTCTTGTGCAATCGCTGCCCATCGTCGTTCCTCGAAATAAATCGCATCTCTCGTCGTAAATGGCGTAAATTCCTCGTCCTTCGTCTCGGCAATTGGCAATCGCACGCCATTTAACGCACGCTAAATAATCTCAAAAATTATATTAAAACTTATGGTTATTTAGTGTATGCAGAAAATTTAATTAACTGTTCCTTAATTAACTTAACTGTGCAACAGGCCACGAAGTTTAAAAATCCATAACAAAGATTTCAATCACCTGAATTTGATTCATCCACCATGAGTCGTCTTTGATCAATCTAAAATTACAGATTATTATAAAGCTCAAAGTTTTAAAACTAAAAGTTTCATTTAAAATTTCACAAAATACAACTTTTAAACAACATTTTTATAAAGCTCGTAAAATCTAAAAAAATATACCAAATAACAAACCTGTTAAGCAAGCGGCAAACTCGACTCATCTTGTAGACGTGTTTCGGCGGTAACGTCTCAAAGATCTTCATCAGCAATTCTCTCGGCAAATCGACAAGATTCGTCTCAAATTGTGATGACGATCCTGGCCCTTCCATTGTTTTGTTACCTGGAAATGAAAAATAGCAGCGTTTATATAATCAAAACAGAAATAAGGTACGCAAGCATACAGATTTCAAACGACGCTTATAGATATGTAAAACTCCTTTGAACGAACTTGTGTCATTATTTGATGTACACCACAAGGAAACATATTATAAAATGCTTTAGCCTTGAAAATCCTTTACTTCAAAGTTTTTAATACTTGTAACAACCAAACAACTTTTAGCATTTTTAAACAAAAGGCGAATCGTTTATTAAATACTCGTTTTCTAAGAAAAATAAAAAAAATCCATACTTACATAAGAGCTAGGTGAAGCTTTTAATGCATGCAAGTCACGGGAACAACCAGAAAAAGAAAGAAATTGCAGAAAAGAGTGAAGCAGAAGAGAATATGAAGGAAAAAGAGAGGAGGTAGAGAAGAAAATCAACCATCAACACACAACAAAGAAAGAAAGGGTTGCTGAGGGGAAATCGATATTCACTAACAGAAAAAGAGAAGAAACACACAGCAAAAAGATAGAACAACAAAAGAGTCCGGTTTCTATTAAAAGAGCACGTTGCAATGACAAAGCTCTCAAATGAAATGAAGCAACTTGGGAATTTCAATTATCCTTAAATCTAAGTATCTACAACTTTAGAACTCTAATCAAAGTGAATCGAATTTTAAAAGGCACATAATGAATAATATAGGCACTAATAGTAAGACCTGTAACTCAATTCTCGCGAACGCTGTAACCATTGATTTTCGTCGGATCGATATCGTTAATGTCCTCTTCGGGTTCCCAAACAAGCAGCTCCTTGCGCACCGTTCTCCTTCTTGAGGCACATAATGGGAAACGGAGAGCACGCTCCTAAAAAATAATATAAAGTAAAATTTATTTTACTATCAAACATTTTAAAACTCACTCCATGTCGAACGTAATACTGTCCATCCTGATGAACGATTAGTCGATCACGTAAAAGTTGAGCCACAATTTCATCCACCTTAATCCTCGTCGCCAGCGACATGTCGGCTAACGAAATTTGGGTAATTCCACTTTGTAATGATCTAAAAGCAAATACAATAGAACAAGAAACACCACAAACCTCAAATACGCAAGAATCGAAGCTCTCCAATAACCGATGTAAGTTTTCAGGCCTAGATCCGAAAGTGGGTGTTCGGGGCCACCAATTCTGCGCTCAATGCGAGAAATCTCATAGCCTGAGAAATGATGAAAAAAATGCAATTGCTTATTCCACTTACTCATATCAATGATGAACCTTCCATAACCTTTCTTCTGTGCATATGGCAGTGCGAGTAGACAACTCAAATTATAGTCTTTGCTCGGTTTCTTTTCCTGAATTCGATTGTTTTTATTTAAATTGTAAACTTTCGTACCTTCGAGAAGTAGCCAACAATTTCACAACCATGTTCCGTGGTTTCCGTCAAAATGTAGAACCAAAAATCTTGCACGTCGTGATAAAGCTTCTTCGAAGACAAGAACAGTTTGGCTAACTTGCACAATCGACGACAATAGCCCTAAGAAAAGTAAAACTTGGTTTGATTTGATATTTAAGTCGTAAAAAGCGCAAAAGGTACCTGTTCAAACTGGCCATCAACTTCGAAAAAGGATACATTTCCGTCACGATAGATTTCGTTACCAGGTGGATGATAGACCTCACAGTAATCCTAAAAAATCAACAATGTACTATAGAGAATAACTTCTCAGTCAGTACTCAAAAATCTTACCGCATGTATTCGATAATCTGCAACATCGGCCATGGCCATCAAGCAGTAAATGCACACGTAGATATTCGGCGCCTTTTGAATCTCATCCGAGTAGGCTGTGCTCTGATAGATCACCTGGAATCAGAAAGTAGTTGGCTAATACCTGAATGCATACCTTCATTTTGTCTCGTGTAGCCATGTGAACCCATTGTGTCGTATCATTTCCGGCTTTTTTTGGCAAGGAGATTCTCTTGTAGTTTCGCAAGACCTCGTTATACCTTGAATTTAGAGAGTCAGATGATAGGTTATGTTCAAACAAACGTTTCTATTGTATCCTTTTTCATTGATTTCAGCGGTGAATTGTCTCTTTCCTTCAGTATGGCCTCCAATTGTCGAAGCACTTTGGTAGGGGATTTTGTTTCAATCAAACCCCGGTCTTTTGAAGTCTAAACAAAACTTTTGCTAAGTAGGAAAAGTAACAAAATTTAAATTGAAGCTTTGAAAGATTTATTACCTTGGCATTTTTCTTATTTGAAGGGCCAGGCATTAGGTCTTCATGATTCAACTCTTCCAGCATCGTCGAGAAATGATTTGGCTAAATAAAATATAATCAAGAATCAGAGCGAATTTATAATTTACCGATAAAGCGCGAGTAAGATTGTTTTCCCGTTTCTTTGAGTCTCCCAACTTTTCTTTGTTGACAATACCGGAAGCGGCCAATAAAGACATTCTTGATGTTGGCGTTGATTGAGGAGTGGGTAATGGGCCTCTGTGATAGGTCTTTGCCGAGCTGATCACTCTAAATCTTAACAAGTAAATTTGAGTAGAATGGTAAAAACCTGTGTGATGGTGATGCATGTCCTGCACAAGCTCGACACATCCAATCGCTCGAGTAAGTTGAATCCACAGGGCGACAAGCTCCATGCCAAACTCGTCCACATTTACAGCACTAAAGTAAGTAGGTAAGTGTACTGCGCAACAATATTTATTAAACTTATCAAAGGTACATACCTCCAAATTCCCCGGATCATCAATGTAAGCTGCACATTTGACGCATGTGATGCATTGAGGGCACAACCAGTCATTTCTCTGCATCAATGATTCAGCCACATCACGAGAATAGAGGAGACACTTGATTGGATGATCTTAAACTTTTGTGGCATCTAGAAGTAAATCCGTGCAAAATTTACATTTTAGTTGACAATTCGTGCACTCTAACATCAAATTATTCGGGCGATTGCACAGAGCGCATGCCGATCGGGGAACATCCCTAAAAGTTTAAATAACATGTAGACAAAAAACTTCCATACGCGCTCTTTTGCAATAATCTCGTCTTGATCGGTGAATTTGCGTCTTCCTTGTGAACCGTTCTTCCTCTTTTTCGAGTTGCTAAAATAGGAAAATAATTGCAAAAAGTAAATTTTTGTAAAACCTGCATGCGCCGCTGATATTTCAGCGGTCGAAGTCGAAGTCTCTGGAGCTCTTGAGCGACTCGTAACATTTGATCGTCGGGCTCGCGTTGTAGCCAAGTTTCCTCGAATTCTTTTTGTTTTTGTCTAAAATTTAATGTCTAGAAATTTTCACAGCGAATTTACCTTTGGCGTCAGAAAACTGTTATTCGTGGAGCTGTTTGGTGATGAGAATGTTGGCGTTGTTGATGCTGAATGCAAGCTGAAAAGATCGAGATAAAAAGGTAATTCACAAATCGTTTACTAAATTTTATTTAATTTTTACCTAGTCGGCGAGATCGGCGGCGCTCTTTTGGGTGATGGTGAACGTGGCGAGGATTTCGACGTATTGTTTGAGGCCATTTCGCGAACTATGTATTATAATAAAATCTGTTTTAAAACAAGAGTAGTTATTTAACCCAGAGTTGCGTAAAAAATAAGATGAAAACTTACAAGAACGTCGAAGACGAGCCGCCGGGTTCTCTTTTTCCACAGACCCGCTTGAGTTCAACATGATGACTTGAGGAGAAAAAGTCCTACTTCGGCTCGATGATGGACTCGACACTTCGCTATCTACCTGAAAATAAAAAAAGCAGTGTAATTCCATTCTTATTCAATTTATATTTATTTTTCAAACTAAAACCTTTTGTTTCTGTGTAGATTGCCGACCTCGATCCAAGAACCGTGTCAGCAGTTGTTGGTGAAATCTCGGACTTGACATCTAAAAAAAAGGAGTGTTTATCGTGATATGAAAAGAGACATTTTTAATAAATATTAATGCAAAATCCTTTAGATTGACGTCCAACTTGAAATTTTAAACCAAAGCTCCTACTTTAGGGGATGAGAAGCGCTTTTGTCGTCGATTTGTGGAGGTCTGCTCGGGCAGAGATGCTCGTGTTCGTCTCTGCGATCTCATTGTATCTGAAACGAAAAGATGAAATGACTTCAGTGAATTTCAGTGAAATAAAAACGAAGGGAATAACGAGCGCGAGATAGAATGACACTGGGAAGAAAATGAGCAACAGAACAATTTGATATTTTATAAAATCTTTTTCAAGGTTTAAGACATCCAGTGAAAAGGCTCACTATTCTATTTTTTGTAAAAGCGCCAAAAGGTAAATATATTTTCTCGTTCTTTTTGGCTACCCTCTTGGCTTTCACCGAAGAAAAAATTGAACTCGAACATTTCCCCGCGTTAGGCAACAAAACTACGGTCTTTTTAGCGCACTTTTGCAGTCTCAATTTCTCTTTTGCCCGCGTAATACCTCGAGTAATGGAATTCCTTTGCGATATGCTTAAAAATGGCATCAGAATCGATATTCTTCAGTTTCTTTGATTTTTGACGGGAATATTTTAGTTCTTTTGATTTAGAATGATGCAACTTGATGGGTGGACGATTCCGGAAGTGTGCGAACAACGAATGGTGAGATTTTTCCGGCTATCAATGCCTTTGTATAGTAAATCGCGAGTAAATCACGTAAATAATGTAACTAGATTGATAATTACATGTTGCAAGTAGAGATATAGAGGTACTTTCGTGGTTGGGAGGGGACACTTTTATCCTGGCTTAGTTGAATCTAATATTTTGAGTTGTTGTATTGGTACCTTTTATCTACCTATTCTAGGATAATCAAATATGGTTATACTTTTAGAGCGTTTGCAACATGTTTTAAGTTTCATATTGCCGCTTTTATTTGGTTTTCAAGTGTAAGCAGCTTTGAGGTAGCGTTTGGTGGTTAAAGTACATAAGATTATGTTAGAATTGCCAAAAACTTGCTAAAATAATCACCAATCTATTAAGCATATTTGATTCCCCGAGGATAGATAAAAGCTATCATTACAACCATTCAAAACATTAGATTTAGCTAAGCCACGATAAAAGTGGTCCCTCTCAACCACCAAAGTGCCGATATATATAGCACTTTAATTATTACTCTCTTATGTTGATTGGTTTAGCTAGAATGGGCGAGAGCCTATCGCCAGGCGGTGGAAAAAGTCGAGGCATTTGGATCACCCGTCTTTCGAGAGGAGCCCAAAGAGCAACTACATTACACGGGAGAAGAAGATGAGGTTTATTTCTAGTTTACTTGAAGCTTGTTTGTTTTTAAGTTGGCAAAATTCTTTGTTTGAATCATGCTTGAAAATTCTAGGTTTTGATTGCCTTGATATTTGAATTTCAAGTCGACTAATTTTTGACTAATTTTTAATGAATGTTACATAAATCGCGAAAAAGCCATATCAGTTTAACTGTAGCAAATTTGTTTTTTATAGGTCGAAAGAAGAAAACCGATCTTCAAGCCGCCGCTCCATAAACAACGAATTCAATTCGCCATCAGACAAATACAGACATTCGTCAAAGAAAAGGGACCATTCAAAAAGGTTTGAGCACATTCAGGGTTATGCAATTGAAACTTATAGCTTGTCGTGATTGGATGTGGTGATCTCGTCTTTGAACGAAATTGCATGGACAAATTCCACCTTTGGGGTGTCGACTCGGTGGTTTCGTACGACATCAATCGAGCAAACCTTTTCCGAAATCAAGCATGCTTCAACGTAGGACATTTTTAAGTTAACAAGTAGAATTTTAGTTTTTTAGAGAGAAATCGGCACGGAAAAACACGGCAAGTACGACGGAGTGCCTTGTGTAATGGATGTTTGGAAAGGTTGGTGCGATAGTGAAAACTTAATTATTATTTTTAGGAGACGGCACTCAATACCACAGCTGTCTTGAAGGTGCCGATGTTGTTGTTTGCATCGAAGTTTAAGTTTTAGATAGGCCTTTGTTATTTGGTTCAATTTAGATAACTCATTTGATTTTTAGCATTGAACACATGCCGGTGAAGTCGGCTGAAGAATTGATGCGAGTGATGCTGGATCTCATTCAACCGAAGCTTGCTGTTGTGTCAACACCAAACTATGATTACAATAAGGTTCTTTTCATTTTTATTTAAAATTATTTTTTTTCATGCTCATTTTGTTGTACTTTAGTACATTCCTGATATGAAGACGCAATTCCGCGATCCAGATCATGATTACGAGTTCACGAAAAAGGAGTTTGAAGAATGGTGAGCATTTTTGTTTTCATAGTGTAATAATTTAGTTTACGAGTGATTTTACAAGGATAAATCTTATGTAGGCTTCAAAAAGTCAACCGTCCTCAACATTACACGTATGAAATCGACTTCGTCGGATTTCTGGACAGACAACCCTTTGACTATTACGATGATGATGACGATCCATACGAACTATCCGGAAAGCCAATCAACGAGCCAATTGCTGAGCCCGCGCGCTTTTCTCGGGGAGATGATGTCAAAGATGAGAGCTATATCGATAATCACAGCGTGCTTGTTGCTGGTTGGTTAATTTATGAATGTTTAATTTCTATTAGCTGCATTATAAAAAAGGTTTATCGGACAATACCATAAATGCTAAAATTTTAGGAAACGATAACGGTGGTGCCACCCAAATCGCTATTTTCAAGAGGTTGCCAACTTCTGAACCATTGACTGTAACCGATCGCTCCCATCACTCTTTCGAACGAGTTAGTAGTTTTTTATTTAGTATTTGTTTGTCAATTTTTTAAGCTTAGGCCCTGTTTGATGTTTATTTTTTAGGATCAAGTTATTTGAAGTAAAAATGAAATCGAACTCGGCATAAGCGTAGAAGAAAAACTGGAAATGACAGGGATTATTTGTTACTTAAGCATACGAATTTTGTCAGTATTGTTAAGAAGAATTGTGTTCAGGCATATTCGCTTGTGATTCCCTATGGCTTCCATACAGTGCTTCGTGCTCACGTCCAACAGGCCATGATTGCCTACTTGAAGACCGATCGACTTTTATCTTGCGCAACTAGGGTAAGAATTAAAGCCTAGGCATCCAATTTCTAAGTTTACTTCATTTTAGGAGCTCAACTACATCTATTACTTGGTCCCCTTCAAAGACGTCATGGAGTACGCTTCGAATGAGGAGTATCGATTTGTGATGGAAAGATTTCAGGACCATTCTTGGTTGGTAGCCGTGGCGAGAGTCACTGTTCATTTTTAATTTTAGTTCTATCATCCACCGAGCGAGCCATCAATTCATTCACACCACGACTGAACCGGTAGGAACTTTTTTAAACTTCAGTAATATTCAAATACTGAAGCTATAAAATCCACAGATTATGTGTACTTTTTATTTTAGATGCTGCCAGGATCTCCCCACCACCAAAAAGGCTTCCGCATTCCAAATAACATACCGGTCAAGGAGCTTCTCGACTATTTGGAGGATTTCGATTGGTAGATCTTTGCTGTAACATTCTTTGCCCAGTTTCTTTGCTGTGACTTCGAAGTTTTATGCCTTTTGATTTGATTTCTTCAACTTACCAATAAATGTGATTTTCTCCAAACTGGGTGGTTAAGTAGGGAGAGGGGTTTTTCTGCAATTTCTAATTCAAATTTTGCGCCTAAAAGAGTTGGACTTGTGTTAACCGTGGAAAAAAGGGGCGCTCGAGAATACTCTCCATTGTATCGAGAGGTGAGCGGATCTTGAAGAGCCTATAGACGGGCTCTTTCAGCCAAAGGTCCCCGAAAAGTGCCGCATAAAAAGTCTAGTTAGGGGTGCTTTTGGGGTTTTTGCGACAAAAGGGGGTACTGCTGAGTGCATCACCTTTGCAGCAGAAAAATTGAAAGTGGGTGGATTGATATGAAGAAAGATTGGGATGGTACCAAATGATATTCCGTGTTTATACCTGGTTTCAAAATTGAATATCCTACAAAAGATTTGGGTGAGGTTCTTTATGCCATCCCAATTGTATACTAAAGTGATACAGTGACCCACTGTAGGCAATGAAGTGTTTGAAAAACTTGAAATAACTAGAGCTTCATCGTTTTTGCACTAAATATTCATCGAATTTTCTGAAAGAACCAATTGACAGGTAGTTGGGCTCAGTTTTTTCCCCCACTGTTTTTTAGCCGCAATTCAATCAAAGTGAGACTCCTTGTCCTCAAATACATCTAGTATCGACGAATCTTTAAGCAAAAAAAAAAACGCAGACCAACCCATTCACATGTTTGGAGATTCAATTCGTGTGTTGGGAAAGGAATAGAGAGTGGGGGAAGGTCCCTTGAGGGTCCACATCGACAAGAGGAAACCCACACCCACACCACTTCTCTCATTTTTTTTCTTTTCTCTTTCTACTTTTCTATTTCTATTTCGACTTTGATAGAATTCTTCTGATTTGAGGAATTCATTTTGGCATCTTTTTTTCCTTTCTTCTTCTTCTTCTTCATCTTTTCAAGAATTTATTATTTTTCAAATGAATTTCCCAAAAGATTTGTGTGTGTATTGTTAGGAAAATTTGGAATTAATGAGAAAATGACTGATTTACAAGCCTATTGCTTACAGGAAATGCTCATGAAAAAGACATGAACACGACAAACTACAAACGTGAACTACAAACGCTTCTAATTTTGCTTCAAATCTGTTGCATTGATACGAGCTATAGCTGAAAAAGCTGAAAAACTGTTCGTCCAAATATCAGCTCTTGAAGACTGTCAACTATCAGCTCCTGAAGTTGATTGACTTTTGAGTTCAAGAATGTAGGGCCAAGTCAAGGTTCTGATTTGATTTCTGACTTGTCTAGGTAGTTCTTGACCAAAATCAGATCACGTTAGAAAAGTTGAAAAGTTAGTCGGTGATTTGGGTCACTTTTCTTATCATCAAGAGTTGCTTTGAAGTAGATATAGGCACTATAAACTACAAAAAGGCACTACAAAAGCAACAGGAAAAAGCAACTGTCACACTAAAAACGCTTCGAAGTTCGCTCAAATCTACCGCATTAATAAGATCTATAGCTCAAAAAATCGAGAATCTCAAGAGCTTTCGAATCGAGTAAAGTAGAGGCGAAAATAAGAATTCTAAAGAAAATTATAGTGGCTTGTAGTCGAAACGGATCGTACTCGCGTGTATTGCAACTACAAACAACTGTAATTTTCTTTAGAATTAAGATTTTTGAAGGTTCTTTAAGCCATTCGAAAGCTCTTGAGATTCTCTATTTTTTAAGCTATAGAACATGCGAATTCAAAAGATTTAAACAAAATTACAAGCGTTTACAGTGTAACACTTTCGTCACTTTCGTAGATTTATAGTGCCCAAATCAATTGCGAATCCAATAGGCACACTTGAATTTGTCAATTATTGCTGATAACTTTCGCAAATCGTACTCGCGTGTATTTCAGCTACAAACAACTGTAATTTTCTTTAGAATTCTTATTTTCGCCTCTACTTTACTCGATTCGAAAGCTCTTGAGATTCTCGATTTTTTGAGCTATAGATCTTATTAATGCGGTAGATTTGAACCAAAATTAGAAGCGTTTTTAGTGTGACAGTTAGTTTTTGTAGTTTATAGTGCCTTTTTGTAGTTTATAGTAGACTTCGGCAAACAAAACCAAAACCAAAACAGACCAAAACCAAAACCAAAACCAAAACACCAAAACCAAAACCAAAACCAAAACAAACCAAAACTCAATTTGCATATAAATTAACATGTAAATTTAAAATTGTAAAATGCAAATTTTAATGTAAAATGCAAATTAGCCTTTCACTTTTTCTCACTCCACAAAATCTCGCGGCCGAAAAAAGGACCAAAACACGACCTCGAAATTTCGAAACAAAAATAGCCTATGGGATAGATTTTTGGATGCTGATTTCAAATCTGCAAACCGATTTTCGCTAGCTCCTCCCAGTCGCGAGATATTGGCGAGTTTTGGTTAGTTTTGGTTTTGGTTTTGGTTTTGTTATGGTTTTGGTTTTGGTAGTTTTGGTTTTGGTTTTGTTTTGTTTTCCGAAGTCTAGTTTATAGTGCCTATATCTACTTCAAAGCAACTCTTGATGATAAGAAAAGTGACTCAAATCACTGACTGACTTTTCAACTTTTCTAACGTGATCTGATTTTGGTCAAGAACTACCTAGACAAGTCAGACAAGTCAGCAATCAAATCAGAACCTTGACTTAGCCTTACATTCTTGAACTCAAAAGTCAATCAACTTCAGGAGCTGATAGTTGACAGTCTTCAAGAGCTGATATTTGGGCAAACAGTTCATGGATTCAAAGCTGAATCCAGACCTTTCACTAGATCGATCTTTGACTGCAGCTTGAAAACATTTCCAGCCTTTCCTGCACACCTTTCACCCTCAATTTCCTTCCTAAATTCCCCTCCTTTCTCCCATTTCTAGATGCTAACATATGCGTGGTGGGTACGTGGCCTCTATTTTCCCTTTTCCACTTTTGCGTGTAATGAAAAATTTGTGAATGTGGCGAGAAAATGGTCTCTCTTTTCTTCTACTTTACTCATATGTGAACTTCACAGAAATATGAAATGAATGAATGAAATGAAAGAATGAAATGAAAGAGCTCAATAAATGAACTGAATAAATGAACTCAATGAAACCCACCTATAACTTTTACTTTATAGTATTACGGGTTTTTCGTTTTGTTAGAAAATTAGTGTTGAATGATTTGGATTTGAAGCTAAAGCTGGATTTGAAGCTAGAGCTGGATTTGAGGCTAAAGCTGGAATTGAAGCTAAAGCTGGATTTGAATTCGTTTTATCTGTTTTTCAAGATCAGAACTGCCTAGCCAGACAGGCCTGAGCCTGTCTTTCCAAGCTAGAAATGTTCTTGTCATTATTGGTTGGCATCTATGGCTTGAGCCAGTCAGGTCCATTCTAGAATCAAGCCCTTGAATCAAGAATAGATCTGTCCCTCTGATCTAGCCTGGCATTGACAGCTCTTGTTCAAGCTATTCAACGATCTAAAAGGAACTTTTCTTTTCCCTTTCTTTTCCTTTTCTTTTCCTTTTCTTTTCCTTTTCTTTTCCTTTTCTTTGCGACATTCTCCTACACTACACCTCAACGGTATACTTCTCTTGTTCTTTAACTTTTCCAGGATAAGAGTTCAATGAGTTTGACCTGGTTGTTATGGCTTTTAGCCTAAAATAAACCCCTATTCAAGCTTCAGTGATCTAAAGAAGTCTTGAAAAGTATTAAAGCTATTATCTATAGCTATTGAATATCTCAAATCCAGAACACCAAACGCCTTTTGTCTACAAATTCGTTTTTCTCTTTGTAGCTCTTTTTTTTTCTGGCTTGCTAAAGCATGTTTATATTGACTTTCTTGGTATTGAAGTGAGAAGACGACAAATTGCCCTCAAACAACCCTTCCCAGTTTCTTTCCTTAAACAAAAAAGAAAATAAACGATGTCTAAACGAAAAAAGAGAGCCAGTCGTTTTTTTTTTTGACTTTGTTCAGAGGAGTTTTCTTTTCTGATAAGTTTTCTGATAATTTTATCTCTAGGAGAAAGCTTTGTAGTCAGAAAAAGATCTTGATCAGTTGATCTTTGATCAAAAGATCAGTTGCATTATCTTTCCGCTTCATTTGGCTTTCTTTTTAAATCCTAGAAGTTACGAAATCTTGCTGAGAATGAGTTCAAAAGACTATGGGATTTATTTGCAAGCTTGTGCTCAAGATTGTGCTCAAGATTGTGCTTAAGTTTGTGCTCAAGATTGTGCTCAAGTTTGTGCCCAAGTTTGTGCCCAAGTTTGTGCTTAAGTTTGTGCTCAAGATTGTGCTCAAGTTTGTGCCCAAGTTTGTGCTCAAGTTTGTGCCCAAGTTTGTGCTCAAGTTAGGCTCAAGCTTGTGCTCAAGCTTGTCCTTTCTTCTTCTACTCTTTCTCCTCTTCCATCACTATCTTCTCCACTTCATGTAAATAAAGATGCCAAACAAAAAAAATGACAAGAATCGTACAAGATTACGATAGTTTCATGACAAGTTTCTTTGGTTCTACTGAAGTAAACATGCATATCAGTTGACTGAGTCATAATAATGAATTATCCGGAAGCTGCGTCGAAAAAACTATTCCCCCAGCTTTCAAATCAGAATTCCCCTTGCTCACTGTTTATACTAAACCTCAAAACCACAACATGATGCATGTCTAATTGCTTTGCAGTTCGAAAAGAGCTTCTTTGAAAGATAAGCTTGAAAAGAAAAAGGGGAGACAAATGTTGGATCTTTCTTTCTTTCTTTTCCCTTCACAGACCTATTACACTTATCTCGAGGCCTTATCCCCGCGGGCTATTGCACCACCACTTTGTGAGGCTTTTTTTGCCCAAAAGGTGCCGATTTCCATCTCTCATCGATGTGGGGATTTCTTGAAGATAAAGGGGCTACTGGGAGAATCTTTTAGAGTGGCAGTTGGAAAAGATGGCTGACTCTCTGTGCATGACGGGGATAAGCCTAAAAGAGTCCACCTTTTGGCCTCCTGATTCTCTTGTGCTTAACCCTGATTAATGGTTATTGAGTATTGCGTGTTTTTGTTTTGGAATGCTTTCTAGAGCCCTGGGTACCTGAGTGCCTAGTAGTTTTGATTACTTTTTGATTTGTGTTTTTGAAAGCAGAGTCCTTTTCTAGACCTTGATGGACTTAAGAAAGATCTGGATAAAGATCTGGATTTAGATCTGGATTTGGATCTGGATTTGGATTTGGATCTGGATTTGGATTTGGATCTGGATCTGGATTTAGATCTGGATTTAGATCTGGATTTGGATCTGGATTTGGATTTGGATCTGGATCTGGATCTGGGTCTGGGATCAGGATCTGGGATCAGGATCTGGATAAAGTTCTAGAAGGCCGGTTCATTTACCCAAGGCAAACTTGGATAAATGAACGAAACTAAATGAGCAGAACTAAATGAGCAGAAATTTCGCTTAATTTCCTCAAAATCTTGTCTTGGCTTGGGAATTTGGTTTTTTTTGTCAAATTTGAGTGAAGAAATTGGATGGATAGTACGTCAGTCGATGAGATTTTTGATTGGAAACAAATAGATCTTGTACTAGTGTACCGAGTGATACTTTTTTCAATCAGTTCCGGATCCTAAAGACCTGCAATGTCTAGAGCTACGCTTGAAAACTAGAAGAACTTTAATTCATCATCAATTCATTATCAATTCATTATCAATCCAATTTCAATCCAATCTTAATCCAATCTCAATCCAATCTCAATCCAATCTCAATCCAATCTCAATCAGTTTTACTGACTTTAGCTCTCTTCTTTTGCGGTTATTCTTTCAATTTTTCAAGTCAAATAGATTTTCCTCGAATCTTTTGCCCACACAATTTTAGCAGGCTTAGGCTTAGGCTTAGGCTTAATTCAGAGGTCCTAGTCCTCTTAATTTTTTTCCAAAAAGAGGCACGCGGAGGGTCCTAGTCCTTAAAATCGTCAATTCACACACTTCGCGTGTGAATTGACAACGAAAAGCTATAATGAAGTTAAATTTACGCAAAATATGTGTTTTTACATTTTCTCACCGATCTCTGAACCAAAGCCGACCAAGGAAAAGCCAATTAGCTGTACCCAAAACCGAAAAACAAAAAAGAAAGCACTGAGATCATATGGAAAGGAAAAGCTGGGGCTAGGCTAAGGTGGGTGGAAAGAAGAAAAAGAGGGATAGACAGGGGAAAGAGAAGGGAAAGAGAAGGGATCGATGCTAGGGACCTTTAGAGAGGCCTTTTGGGGCAAAAAGAGGCACGCGGAGGGTCCTAGTCCTTAAAATCTTTTCTCCCCTTCACTCTTCTATTTCTTTATCTTCTAGATCTTGTCTTTTTTTCTTGGTTTCATACATCTTCACGCACTATTCTTTTACTTATCTTTAGACTTTATATTATAAATCAATTGCTTCGTTTAATTGATTTTTAGTTTATTCGTTCTTTAACCGTTATTTATTAGTTCTTTATTAGTTCTTTACCTGTTCTTGATTCGTTCTTTATTCGCTCTTTATCTGTTCTTTATTTGTTCTTTATCCAGCAATCTTACAATATAAATTTTTCAAACTAGACTAAGCCAGGACTTGATTTAGTTTCAGCTCAAGTCAAGCCAGATCTAGACCAAGCCAGACCAAACCAAACCGGACCTAGACCAAGCTAGACCAAACCAAACCAGACCTAGACCAAGCTAGACCAAACCAAACAAGACCTAGACCAAGCTAGACCAAACCAGACCGGACCTAGACCAAGCTAGACCAAACCAAACCAGACCTAGACCAAACCAGGCCAAACCAAACCAGACCTAGACCAAGCCAGGCCAAAGCAAGTTAGACCAGAACCAAACCAAATCGCTTTTCTCTTAGTTCAAGCTCTTTTTAGTGTCATTTTGCTAACAAATCAACTCAAGCCAATGACCAAACTTAGTCAAGGTCTACCAAGCTCGATCTGGCCTAAGTTAAACAAGTTTAGCGCATCGAATTCATCTAATCTTGCCTAAAAGTTTCTCCATTTCACCAAATACCATTTCCAATACATATCTCCATGATTCTAGGCAGCAGGCCGTCCCTAATCACCTCACTTTTTGTGCCTTGGTCCCCTCCAAAGCCTAGTGCCTTCAGTGCCCTCTCCCCAATTCGCTTTCTCTTCCCATCTATGGTCATCTTTTCTGCCTATAGGGCCCCAGCGCCAGTTCTCTCGAAGTATGTGCTGTTTTGGGGCCTTTTCCTGGCTCTTTCCTAGCCCTTTCCCTGCTTCCTCTCAGGTCCATATAGACAAATCACCCTTTCATGTGCACATTGGCCCTCCATTTCTATCTCTTTCCCAAGCCTCTTCCTCTTCCCAAGTCTCTTCCCAAGCCTCTTCCTTCTACCAGTCCATCTAATTCCAGCATAATATTCATTTTACCACTTTCCCACTAGAATCTTTATAGTTTTCTTTAAGCTGTATTGTTTCTGAAGCTTGAAGATAGCTTTAAAGCTCTAAGCTAAGCCTTGCAAAGCCTTGCAAAGCCAACAAAAACTTTTCTTTTATTACCAGCTGCTAGCTGAATCCAACTCACTGAGCAATTTCAGCTTGTTTCATTTTTTCTTTCTAATCCTTCAGCCATAATTTCTTTTCTTGATGCTTTCTAGCTCTGTGAGCTCTTGGTTGCTTTTCTAACAAGGATTTTTACATTGTTTTACTCTTTAGCTAAGTTAAAGCCAAAAGAAAACTTTCAAGCTCAAGATTATCACTTAGAAATGGGAAAATTTCAAGCCGAACCTAATTCCATCTTCGTTTTCTCAGCCGTCTCTTAGCCGATTTGCTCTGAAATTTTGTCTACAAGCAGAGAAACGAAATTTCTATTTGTAGACAAAATTTCAGAGCAAATCGGCTAAGAGATGGCTGAGAAAACGAAGATGGAATTAGGTTTTGGTTGGAATTTCTCATGTCTACCCAGGCTAGGTGAAGCTAAGAACGGATTTTACCTAGTTTTTCAAATTCTAGCTTGACTAGCTAATGGGTTTATTGAAAGATTTCTGGAAATCAAGCCATTTTTAGGTCTAATAAGTCTAGGAAATCTGGGTTCATTCATTTGTTCTCTCCATAATTGAATCTTGTAGTTTTTTTGGCGAAAGCTAATCATTTTATCGTATTGTTTATCGTTTGGTTTAGATATTTATTAACTTTAACACATGTAGATGTTAATTACTTAAAGATTACTTAAAGATTCCTTAAAGATTCCTTAAAGATTACTTAAAGAATACTTAAAGATTACTTAAAGATTACTTTAGATTACTTCAGATTTCTTAAAGATTCCTTAAAGATTGCTTAAAGATTACTTAAGGATTACTTAAAGATTACTTAAAGATTACTTAAAGATTACTTAAAGATTCCTTAAAGATTACTTAAAGATTACTTTAGATTACTTCAGATTTCTTAAAGATTACTTAAAGATTACTTTAGATTACTTCAGATTTCTTAAAGATTACTTAAAGATTACTTAAAGAATACTTCAAGATTCCTTAAAGATTACTTAAAGATTACTTTAGATTACTTCAGATTTCTTAAAGATTTCTTTTAAAAAAATGCTGAAAGGCCATAATTTATAGAGAAAAAGAGAGAAAAGGTGTGAGTTTCCACAAAAAAAAAAAACGAAAAAGAAAAGAGAGAAATCTCTTTTCTGAAATACCTGGCCAATGTGTAAAAGCCAATATTTTTCTCAGTCTTTCTTTTAGTCAAAGAAATTGTTGGACTAAGGGGAAAAGTTCAGAAAAATGAGCATTGGCAATAATTGATCGATCGGTGTTGAGGAGAGAAAGAAAATGCGATTCACAGTGAAAAGCTTTGCGAGAAGCTTTGCGACGTGTGAACGCTCGATCGCTCATCGCTTTCCAAGCTCTCAATCCTTTTCTTTACTACTAAACAAAAAGCATTGATTGCTTGAAAAGTTTTTTGAGGTTTATGCTTTGTAAAAAATATTCTAAAGGGATATTTGTAAATTCATATAAAGCAACATTATCTTAATGCACTAAACCTAGAAGAAAGTCAGGTAAACCTAGAAGAAACTGGACTTAAACCAATTTCTTCTAGGTTTACCTGACTTGATCTTGCAGGAAATGAAGGTAATTCTTCCGCACCACTCCTCACTTACAAATCCTAGAAGCCAGTAGTGTTAGTGGCCAGCAAAATGGTCTTAAAGATGATTTCTTAGACTTAGTCAATTGCTAAAGTTGTTTAAAAGTGATCTTTTTTGATTGACAAGCTTTAATCTACACTACTGGACAATGAAATATGATATTTGAAAAAGATCGTCACTTTCGCGCGTCTGTAACTCCCTTGTCTTTACCGTATTTCTAAATATTAATATTACCATTGTGTAGCCCTTGAAAAGAGCTTTCAGAAAATGTATAACACTAATAGTTTAAACTCAAAGACAAGGGAGTTACAGACGCGCGAAAGTGACGATCGTTTTTCGAATATCATATTTCATTGTCCAGTACTGTATCTACTTATCTTACCGTATTTTCTCTAACAGTAGTGCACCCTGGCGAGCCGAGTTGATCACTATTTTACAGCTCCCAAGCTTTCACAGAAGCTCAACACTCAAATCATTCACTAGATCTCATCGTCTCAAACTACTTGTCAGCTACATTTTCCGACCCCACATCGATAGGTTCTGATAAGCGGTTCTCGAGATTTCGAGGAATTTAGAAAGAGCTCAGGGTGCACTACTATTAGGGAAAATACAGTACTTCTAAAATCATTTTGTTTAACTTTTACCATCCATCACATTTTTACTCAACTCAATCTAAATTTTTTTGATCAATTTCTAATCTAAAGATGCTAATGAATCAATACGGTTAATTTCAAAATAACCATAAATATTTAAATAGCTCAAGGCTACCTTGTTTCTGCGTATTATCTGCTAGCCCAGAAAAAGTGGCTCCCTAGATGGTGTAGAACCTAGATTTTTATTAGACAGATTATATAGACTACCGTATTTTCTCTAATAGTAGTGCACCCTGGCGAGCCGAGTTGGTGACGATTTTACGGTTTCCAAGCTTTTGCAGAAGCTCAACACTCAAATCACTCACTAGATCTCATCGCCAGCTACATTTTCCGACCCCACATCGATAGGTTCTGATAAGCGCTTCTCGAGATTTCGAGAAATTTAGAAAGAGCTCAGGGTGCACTACTATTAGAGAAAATATGGTAGTCAAAAAATGAATGGCAAAGAATTTAGAGAGGAATTGAACCCTTTGCTTCTGCTTCTGCTTCTGCTTGCTCTACCACTGAGCTATTGATGCCTTCTTTCCTTAAAAAGAAATCGGAAAGATAAGGAAGAAAGGAAGGAATGAAGAAAGGAAGAAAGTGATGAAAGCCAAGCTAAGAAAGGAAGATTAGATTTAACTTTTAAACAGTTAGATATAAATCCAGAACCTGAATCTGGTTTCTGATTTGACTCTGGCTTGGCTTTGATCTAATTTATCATAAGATTAGAATTAAGATTAGTATTAGAATTGAACTCAGTCTTGGCAAAGACTGAATCTATTTGGGTTTGGGGTTTTCCGGTGATTTTCATATCTCGGCTATTTGCTTAATTCATTCAAAAAGTTTCTTGTATAGATTGTTTTGAAAATCTTTCCAATTTTAAATTCAAAGCAAAGCCGAACACTTGAGAGTAATCCTCTCTGCCTTTTTCTCTCTTCTCTTTCACTCACTCATTCCACCTCCATTACTCACTTTGAAACTTTGAAACAAACTTTCTTTTCTTAAATCTTTTAAATCTTTTATTATCTATGATATTATCGATGTTTATTATCTATTTATCTATTATTATCTACCGTAAATACTGTAATAGTACCCCCACCGCCCTCGTACAGTCGCGTAGTCGCAGTTTTTAGTATTTCATTTTTTGCAAAGCGCCCGTACTTTCAAAAAATGCGTCTTTGGTATCAAAAAATAGCCCTGAATTTCAGCTATTTTTTGATACCTAAGCGCGCATTTTAGCATAAACCAGTGTCGAGAAAAACTCGTTCAAAGCTAAACTACGCAACGCTCCGCACCGTCATTATGGGGGTGGGGTACTATTACAGTATTTATGGTATGTTTATTATCTATGTATCTATTATCTATTTTATTTTATTATCTATGTATCTTTAAATCTATTTATTATCATTTATTATCTATTTATTATCTTTATTATCTTTATTATCTTTATTATCTTTTTAGGATAGATGTATTAGCGAGATAGATCGATAATAGATTTATAGAAGAAAAGAAGAAAAAAAAGGGGGGAAGGGCCTCGCCCAGAAGAAAGCCAACGATTTGCATCAAGGTTTGTTCAAGATTAGAGGTGTGTTTCTCCATGTAATCGCTTTCTAAAACGCTTTCCAAGGGAAGGCGATAGGCTTAACGAATAGTCGAGTGGTTTGTGTGTTGGTCTCTAAATCGGAAAGCCGTTCGACCAATGGCTGGTTCGATCCCGTGTCAACCCAAATTTTTCCAAATTTTTTTTGTTTCTCTGCTAGATCGATTTAAATAGTTTTACTTAACAGTTATTATTAAATTATTAGCTTTCAAAAGCTTCAAAAGCTTTCTAGTGCACTAGAAAGTGTATGTTTTGAGCTTTGAGCAGAAATAGGCTAATGTTTTGATTGAGTTTTGAGGTGGAAGATAGAAACGAACCCTTTCTTTCATCAATCTTTTCAATTTTTCTCGAATTTCTAGGTCAATGGGCTATCGAGAGTCGCGAAGTGAAGATCGGTGTGTCGGAAGAAGAAAACTCGTCGTGCTCGATCGTTTCTCATTCATCTGTTGCCTCATTGATCCGTTCGACCCACAAAAGCCGAGCACATCAACGGGTGAAACGGGGAAGTCCCGTGGGGACCTCCCCACCAAATATCCCAATACAAGTGCTATACAGCTAAAGATGGGACAAAGGATGGCAAAGGTTTGAACTTGGAAAAGATCAGTGAATAAGTCGAATCGTTTGGATTTGAGATCTGAATCGTCTCTTGCTTATGATGAGCTGATTTTGAAGGGAAACAAGGGAAAGACAACAGTAGAATGAGATAAGCGATAGCTTTTGACGAGCTTTTGACGATCCTATTTGACGGAGAATTTCATGCTGATTTTGAATCGGTTTTCCGTTTTTCTAAAACGGCTTTCTATAAAAAGTTAAGTGTTTTAAGTCAAATTAGATTGAAAATGTGGTCAAATAGAGATTCCGAGATTTATAATGGTCTTTCTCAGCAGACAGCCAACCTGGCCTCGTGGTCTAGTGGATAAGAGGCTCGAATACAAAACGAGGGCTCGATTTTGTGGTCGAGTTCGATTCCGTTTCAAGCCTTGCTTTTGTGTTTTGATGATTATTAATAATATTTGGCCTTAAAACTATTTGTTTTGTTTATAGTAAACTACTTGTTTATAGTAAATGATATTTTATCTAGAATTAAATCATAAAAGAATTTGGTGGAAATAAGGGAATCAATTTGAATTTGATTTAAAATCAAATGAAAATCATTTATCCACATCCTACTGTTTCTTTTCCCTTGTCAAACTTTAAATAGCTAATTTTTGAGTTTACAGTACTACCTTGTAGCCTGCCTTGTAGCCTTGGCTCAGGCTCAGGCTCAGGCTCAGGCTCAGGCTCAGGCTCAGGCTCAGGCTTAGGCTTTGACGATTTGGCTTTATCATTTGAAAGCCTAAAGCCTTGACTCACTTCTGAAACGTCTCATTTTTTTTCCCAATTTCCAGAATCAAATGGAAGCTGGCGTGCGTTTGTATCACTCACGACAGCCGGCTTTGGCTGTCGCCAAGTGGAAGACGGCTTTGACGAGATTGGCGTTAGTTTTTGAGAGCTATTTGAGATTGCAATATTGAGAGCTATTTTGGGATTCTGATTTGAATTTTCAGCGAACATTTTGTCTCATTTAGAAATGCAGAGGAACGCTTCATCACTCTCGGCTATTTAGCCCAAGCCTTTTGCGATTCAGGCGAATACGAGACAATGCTGCACTACGCTTTACAAGTGGGGGTTTTAAAGAAGAAATATTAGTTAACTTCCTCTCGAGCAAGGGAAAACAAGTTCATTGTGGTGTAATGGTTAGCACATTTGCCCGGGAAGCCAAAGGTCGCGTCATGGTCGCGTTCGAGTCCTGGCGGGACCTTCTCTGGGGACCAGCTCCTCCCACATCAAAAACTCCTGCGGGACTCGAACCCGTGACCTTTCGCTTCCCGGCCAACTGTGCTAACCATTACACCACAACGCACTTTGTCTCCCTGCTCTCTGGACGAGTTAAGTCCTTCTAGGGAGATCAAGTGGACTTAACTCGTCCTAGAAGGACTTAACTCGTCCAGAGCGCAGGGAGACAAAGCGTGTTGTGGTGTAATGGTTAACACATTTGAACGGTAAGCGAAAGGTCGCGGGTTCGATTCCCGGCGGCGCACGAGTTTTTGTTCTACCTTCATTTCAACTAAGCTCTTGTAAAGTTTAAGAGATTTTTGGGCTTTTTCTGGGTATTTTTTAAGTTCCAACTTATTTTTCCATATAAAATTGAGATTTTTTTTGATAAATGATTGAGAAAAAGGAACAATGAGAAAAAGAATGTATTTTTAAGTCCGGAAAAGCAATTTCAGTCAAATTTTTGTTGTTGGAAGCAAGCTGCTAGATTTTGCTGTTAGATTTTACTGCTGAAACAAGCAAGTCGCTAGATTTTGCGGCTCTTGCGTAGTTCCCGGGTATTTTGAACGGTTCGTCACCCTTTAAAGACCCATAACTTTACCCAAAGGCAAGATTTTTGTTAACTTTTTGTTAACTCATTGTAAAGAGGAGATTTTAGGCTTTCAAATGATACCAAATACTGGCTTAATTGAATAATCCAGTCCAAGAAAATCAAGACTAACGCAGCAACCGATGCCGATCCAACTCAAGTGCAGTATTACCTGGTTTTCTAGGCAAGACAAACCAATTAGTTTTCATTCTCATGTAAACCAGGCGACACGACACCCGAGTTGGATCGGCATCGGCTGCTGCGTTAGCCTTGATTTTCTTGGACCGGATTATTCAATTAAGCTTTATTTGGTATCATTTGAAAGCCTGAAATCTCCTCTTTACAATGATATAAAAGGTTAAGCATAATATTGTCTCTGGGTAAAGTTATGGGTCTTTAAAGGGTGACGAACCATTCAAAAAAACCGAAAACTAAGTGAGAGTCGATTTTGCTGATGTAAAATGCTAGTTTTTGCTAAGCTTTTCAAAATTAGCAATCAAAAATAGAGCTTTTAATTGTTCAATTGTACAATTACAATTGAAATTACGATTACGACAAAAATTTTAGCAAATCGAGTTAGCGAATGATCGAAACGATGAATTTATGAAGAGTGAAGCGTTTCTGAATCTCGCAAAAGCTTACGAGAGATTAGCTGACTTCACGAAAGCGTTGGCTTATGGAAAAGCAAGTTTGCAACATCCAAGCATGGATCCGCGAACGCCCGGATATGCGCATTTGGGTGAGTTTCTTTTTGAAAACGAGTACGATTACTAATGACGATTGTTACCGAAAAATTACCGTAAATACTGTAAAAGTACCCCCACCGCCCTCGTAAAGTCGCAGTTTTTAGTATTTCATTTTTTTGTGAAGCACCCGTACTTCCAAAAAATGCGTCTTTGGTATCAAAAAATAGCCCGAAATTCAGGGCTATTTTTTGATACCAAAGCGCGCATTGTAGCATAAACCAGTGTCGAGAAAATCACGTCCAAAGCTAGACCACGCAACACTCCGCGCCGTCATTATTACAGTCATTATTACAGTCATTATTACAGTCATTATTACAGTCATTATTACAGCTGGGGTACTATTACAGTATTTACGGTAAGTTAAAAGCTAAAAATTTACATAAAAATCATGTTTTCTACGGTTTCGTTAAACAAAATCTAAAGGATTTATGAAATGAAAGAAAGAAATTCCAAAGAACTTTCGTTTACAGTACAGTACACTTTTTCTGTACTGTACTGTACTTGTACTTGTACTCTGTGCTAAGTGCTCTAAGTCATCAGCAAATTCGATCAACAAGATCTTTTTCAGCGTTGGCAATGGCTCACCTCGGCTTTTCTCAATTTCAACAATCGCTTGAGTCTTTCGAAGAGGTAAAAAGCTTAATTTTTTTAGATTTTTTTAGATAAGATTTTTTAGTTTCTTTATAGTTCCTTTATAGCTCCTTTATAGCTCCTTTATAGCTCCTTTATAGCTCCTTTATAGCTCCTTTATAGCTCCTTTATGGTTCCTTTAAAGTCCTTTTATAGTTCCTTTATAGTTCCTTTATAAGTCTTTTATAGTTTTTAAAATTAACTAGGTGTACTTTGTGCTTAAAAGTGAAAAAAAAACCTTTCTTTCACACTGTGTTCAAAAGAAAGCTTTTAGTGCAGCAGAAGGGTTTCGTTTGCATTGTTAAGCACAAAGTATTGCTGAAGAAAACTGTTTATTTTAATCGATTTCACTTTCAGGCAATGAACGTAGCGAATTCGACATCGGATCGTTTATTAGAGCTGCAGATTTGTGTCGGACTTGGCTCACTTTTTACTCTCTTGAGGCGAGTTTTAAAATGAAATGTTTGAAAGCGTTCAAACAAAACAATGAAGTGAACAGATCGAAAAAAAGCCCTACTCTTGCGGCAGTGAAATATCTATCGCTGTAGCTGATTGGTAAAGTGTTCGCCTGGAAAGCGAGCGAGCGGAGGTGGGAAGTCGGGTTCGAGTCCCGAGTTCGAATTTTGTATTTCGTGTTTTCTGAAAGGGCCAACGCGTTCAACTCGAGATTCTTGAAGATGATTGACAGATCTTGAGCTAATTTCAGTATTAGGCTTGGGTTTAGATACAGTAGTGAACAATGAAATATGAAATTTGAACCTATCGATGTGGGGTCGGAAAATGTGATGAGATCTAGTGAGATCTAAATGTGACGGTGAGATCTAGTGAATGATTTGAGTGTTGAGCTTCTGTGAAAGCTTGGGAGCTGTAAAATAGTGATCAACTCGGCTCGCCAGGGTGCACTACTGTTAAGAAAATACGAAGTAAGGCACGGAAATAAATATGATATTTAAAAGCGTCCTTTCTTGCGCGTCTGTAACTCCCTTGTCTTTAAGTTTAAACTATTAGTGTTATACATTTTCTGAAAGCTCTTTTCAAGGGCTACACAATGTTAATATTAATATTTAGAAATACGGTAAAGACAAGGGAGTTATAGACGCGCGAAAGTGACGATCTTTTTTCAAATATCATATTTCATTGTCCAGTAGTGTAGATTAAAGCTTGTCAATCAAAAAAGATAACTTTTAAACAACTTTAGCAATTGACTAAGCCTAAGAAATCATCTTTAAGACCATTTTGCTGGCCACTAACACTACTGGCTTCTAGGATTTGTAAGTAAGGAGTGGTGTGGAAGAATTGCCTTCATTTCCTGTAAGATCAAGTCAGGTAAACCTAGAAGAAACTGGTTAAATCCAGTTTCTTCTAGGTTTACCTGTACTTGGGAGTTACAGACAAGGGAGTTATAGGCGCGCGAAAGTGACGATCGTTTTTCAAATATCATATTACATTGTCCAGTAGTGTAGATGGAGATCTGAATGATATAAATCTTTTGCAGGGATCTCACTAAAGCATTGATATTTCTGCGAAATGCGATGACGATCGTTGAATCGGTGACGGTGGATGATGTGCACGCAAAATATCGATGCACAATCCTTTACCATTTGGCTGTCGTACTGCGAATACGCGGCAGTTTAGCTGAAGCGAAAGAAGCCTGTGATGTGAGTTGATTAGCTATGAGATTTAAACATTCTAACCGACCAATTCACCTTTAGGAAGCTCTCTCATTGTGCTCGGAGAACGGGAATCGAGCCTTGCACGCGCGGTGTATGGCCTGTTTAGCCGATATCTATCGAGAGCTCGGCGAGAGTGAAGCCAAGGAAACGTTAACGGTTTGGGAATTCAAATGATAACAATGACTTTAAAATAAAATGATTCACACGAATAATGTAAAAACAATGCAAAAGCATAGTCCCTAAATGTAGGGAAGAAAAGAAAAAGCCATAGAGATGGAAAAAATGACCAAGAATCTAGTCGCTGGAATTGAACCCTTGAACTTCAGACTAGGAGACTAGACGCTTAGCCAGTCGGCCACAGCGCCCTCTTCGTTCCCGGAAGTTTTTTGCACCTTTAAATAAAACTCAACGTCTTTTGAAGGGACAGAAACTTAAAAAAAGTCTCATTGGGAAGAAAGGGTATAGAAAAGGGACCCCAGCTGGTCGCCTGATGGTCAACTACCAGAGCGTGGGACTCTCGCCTGGAGGTCTCGGGTTCGATTCCGCCTAGAGCATAGGTTTTTGCAAAAATGGTTTCTGTTCTGTTAATTAGATATCTGTTCAGGAAACTAATGCTCTGAATAGATCTTTGAGTGATTTAGTTAAATCATTTTCTGTAAAAAGTCATTCTTGAAAGGCTATGACCGTTCTTAACATTAACATTAACATTCTTAACATTTCTTAACGTTGTTAACGTTCTTAACATTTCTTAACGTTCTTAACATTTTCTAGAAATCTTGGGCTCGCTATGAGGAGGCTTTTCGAGTGATGCGACAGACAAATGACAGAATGGGAGAGGTTAGTGCAATTGTTTTACAAGAAAGAAGGATAAAGCATTTGTAAATCAGAATAGTCAGGTTTTGGTTTGGGTTTGGATGAGTTAAGGGCTTTCTTTCTATATTAAACCTAGGCTAGAGCCAAGTTCTGATCTGATTTCGGTTTATTCGTCTAAATCTTTCACTTAAATTCATTTTCTAATTGAAATAATTGAAAGCGGCCAAATGAAAAACTGTTTAGCCAGGTGATGACCGTTCTTAGCATTTTCTAGAAATCTTGGGCTCGTTATGAGCCAGGTGATGACCGTTCTTAGCATTTTCTAGAAGTCTTGGGCTCGTTATGAGCCAGGTTATGACCGTTCTTAGCATTTTCTAGAAGTCTTGGGCTCGTTATGAGCCAGGTTATGACCGTTCTTAGCATTTTCTAGAAGTCTTGGGCTCGCTACGAGGAGGTTTTTCAGCCATTTCACTTGCAAATGTAAATTTAAACTTTTTAAAAAGCTTTGTTTTAAAGTTTTTTATTTTTAATGCGAATTTTAATGAGTTTTTAGAGAAATTTCTGAAGTTTCTATCATTAATGAAAGGTTTTTTAGTTTGAAAAAAAAAAGATTATTTAAAGATATTCAGTCAAAAGTTCAAGAAGAATGAAAAACGCCATTTTTCTCTCATTTTTGCTTAGATTGACTTTGAGCAGCTAATTTTTGGTCAATTTTGTCAGTGTTCATTATGTGATCTAATGAATGAGAGCTAATGATTCTAAGAGCTAATGATCTAATGATAGATCTAATGATTGAGAGATCTAATGATTGTGAGAGCTCATGATCTAGTGATAGATCTAATGATTGAGAGATCTAATGATCTATGACTAATCCCAAACGATCACTCTACTTCTGACCATTTCCTTGTACTAACAGCGTAATCCTAAATCTAGGACTCCCTTTGGAATAACGCTGGAAAGCCCTTCGGAACAACTCTAAAAGTCTCCAGTAAACAAACGCTTATCTAGGTGATTGTTCTCGGTTCGATGGCTAAATCGGCGTCCGAAAGTCGCTCTCATTACACAGGACAATGCGAGTGTCAAGCGATTCAACTCAACAAGAAATGCCTGGAGATTGCGCGAATTATCGGCTGTCGGGTAAAACTTGAAAAAACTAAGGAAACTAGTAAACTAAGGAAACTAGAGCAAACTAAGGAAACTATTGGGTTGGGGACTATGACTCGGCGCCAAACTTTAAAGGGACTTTTTGCACACATAAAGCCTTCTTTAAATATACCTTTGGTTTCATCAAAAGGATCCACTATTTCTCTACAAAATGACTTTTGAGAGATTCCACAAAGCTTTTCTTTCGTGGAGTTTATGGACTCCCAAACACAGCTAGTCAAAATGGCAAAGAGCCCGACTCATCATTTGAACAGTTTCTTTCACATAAACCTTCTTTGGTGTTTATATAAAAAAGATAGAGCACATTCAATTACATAAGTTGCCAAATTTACAGGAAGATCCCACCAATGGTTTTTTCTAGATGACAGTTTGTAGTTTTTGTGAAAAAATGGCTTTTTCTTGAGCGGAGGCGCTGTTTGAATTTTCTTTTAAATGTCATTTTGTAGAGAATTAGTTAACCATTCTACTGATATCAAACGCATATTATTTGACGAAGTCGAATAGAAGTTTTAGACATTTTTTTGATTTTCGGCGCCGAGTCATAGTCCCCAACCCAATAGTTTAGCATGTGATGTTGAAATGTCACCTTCGATTAGCCGAGCTTTACTCTCAATTGAGCGATGAGGATTCGGAAGAAGTGGCGAGGAGAGCGGCTAGTGCATTGACACAGGTGGACTATTTTACTTTCAGTATTCAGTCAACTTATGACTGAATACTGTAGATTAAGGTCTTGTCTTTTGTTCTGTCTTTTCTTTTATCTTTTACGCCGAAATGGAAATGGAAATGGAAATTCTAGGAAATGGAACTCTTCTGCAATTTCTGCGGACAACGATTTGGGTTGAAAGACGAGAGCCTTCAAGCACTTCGATGTTCGCATATCTTTCATGAGAAGTGAGTTATTAGAGTTATTTTAAATCAGGTTCACGTTTTTCACACAATCTAAGCCCCGCCCCTTTTTGCCAATGGTTGCGCATCGACAAACGAACTAATAGACGTCTCTTCTAGTAGATATTAATTCGATTTAATTGAGCCAATAAAGTGTACAGAAAGCCCCTCATTGGGAATAAAGGGGGCGAAAAAGGCGGCCGTCCAAGTCGTCTCATAGTTCATTGCCAGAGCGTGGGTCTGTCGCCCTGGGGGTCCCTGGTTCGATCCCCCTTGACGAGCGATTTGAGAAACTTTTGCCAAAATCCTTCATTCTTTCTTTCTTTCTTTCTTTCTTTCTTTCTTTCTTTCATTCTTCCTCCTTCGTCTTCTTCTTCTTCTTTCGAAAATTCTTCAGTTCAAGGCAAAGAGGGGATGGAGAGCGGAGAAAATAGTCTAAATTAAAGCCAAACTTGCATAACTTTAAAAATTTCGTAGTAATTTTGTGATTTGTCAAAATTTTCTAATTCCCCAATAAAGTATGCTTCTTTTCAGATGTCTTCACACATTCCTTTTGGAGCGAGCCGATCAAACTTGTCCAAAATGTCGATGTCGAGCGATTCTCTCGGATAACATTTCCATGAGAACACCGTCGATTTGTAGTACGGCTGAGTTGCAGAGTCCAAGTAGTGAGTTCATGAGTTGGATTTGATTTTAAAGTACTTTGTAAACCTATGAACGCTTAGGAGATTTGAAATGCATTAAAATAAACATTTTCTTGGTGTTTGGCTAAAGGAAGCACTATGAAGAAAGATTTGAAGATTTGAACAAAGCCCACAAAAAAGGCTGTTGATCGATCTCTCTCATAGCTAACTGCCAGAGCGTGCTTCTCTCACTCAGAGATCGCGGGTTCGATTCCGCTTGGAGGAAAAGTCTTTGCAAAAAATGGTTTTTTTTCAGTTCAAAAGGTAAAGTAGTAGAATTTGAGGAGAAACTTTGAAAGCTTTGACTGCTTTAAAGCTTTGACTGCTTGAAAGCTTTGACTCCTTTAAAGCTTTGACTCCTTTAAAGCTTTGACTCCTTTAAAGCTTTGACTGAATACTGAATGATCAGCTTCTGTTCAGCTTATTTTCTAAAGCATCAACTTTAGGCGCCTTTTTCCCACCGATTGGCGCCATTCGAACGCCGTTAGTCGACGCGGGCACACTGAAAAGGCGACAGTCTGAAGACGATGGCGAGAAGACGCCGACTTTGGTAAATGAATTTAAAAGAGTTAAAGTTGATTTTGAAGCTTTTAAAGGATGAAAACCACGTGATCCCATCGCAAAAGGAGCTAGACTATTTGGATAAAACGCTTCAAAAGTTGAGTGAAAAACAGTCGACCAGTGGGAAGAGTGAGCGACAAACGGGAAGGTGAATCACTTTGAAAAGTTAGATAAGTTAGAAAACGTTTAGACTTAGACAAAATTTAAAAAACACAACATCAAGGTTGTCTCTTTTTTACAAGAATTCAGAGAATTCCTAAAAAATAAGAGATTTTCAGAAAAGATGGCACAATTTTGCTGAAAAAAAAGCCGCCTCCACCGCCGCGGAAGCCTTGCTGTAGTCGGGTTGGTTTTCTGTTTGTTAGCAAGAAAAGGAAAGCAATTGTTGGTTCAAGTCTAGATTCAAGTCTTGATCCAAGTCTAGATTCAAGTCTAGATTCAAGTCTAGATTCAAGTCTTGATTCAATTCTTCATTCAACTCTGGATTCATTCAATCCATCGAGATCAATAATCAGAAACAAAATCAAATACAATTTATACGAGTCCTTCCAATGAGAAGCTTTCAAGGCTGGAAGTCTTGCCCTTGCCCGGCCTGGCTCAGCTGCTAGACAGCTGCTTGGCAAAGCCAAGCTCCGGTCTGCCTAACTAGCAGAAAATCCTGTTCATGACAAAATCCTATCACTCTAGGACTCCCTCCCACCATCTACCGTCGTGACTCTTCCACCGCCAATGGCTCTCAACGAAAACGGGCCACTCGTCATGCAACGAGCCCCCACAATAACCGATGTCTAAGAAATAGAATTCTAATAATATTGCTTTTCCCCTCGTCTTTCTCAATTTTCTAGCTGATCTTTGACCTTTATAGGGAGTTAGATTAAGAATTTCGATTGGGGTAGTTCAACAATTAAAGCCTGTAAGCCTGAGCTTGAGTCTGACAAACCTGAATAGACTTAGTGCAAGTTAGCTATCCAAGTTAGCTAGCCGGCTCAGCTGCTAGACAGCTGCTTGACAAAGCCAAGCTCCGGTCTGCCTAACTAGCAGAAAATCCTGTTGACGAGCTCGAGCCTGGAGTCAATAATTCAATGCAAATGTGTAAGAAAAGAGTTTTTTTTAAAAAGTGAAAAAAGCTTGGCGACAGGGGGACTAGAACTTGGCAAGACGTTGATTCGGCAGCCTAGCGACTTATCCACTAGACCACAGAGGCAGTTGCTAGGGCAGCGTGTGGCGGGGTTATAAGGAGCTCGAAATCCATTTATCCAGTGATTTTCAATGCCAAATATCTCGCGTTTGCGAAGCGTTAAGGAAAAACTAAAAACAGATTCGAGATCCCGATGGCCAATCTATAAGATGGGCTTGGTTTCGAGTCAAAAGGCAAGCTTTTTCCTTGTGAAAACAGAGGCAGACTAGAATTCAAGTTCAGGACTTCATTAAAGCTTTATTAAAGCATTAACAAAGCTTTAATAAAGCCTTATTAAAGCTTTATTAAAGCCAAAACCCGTTAGAAAACCCGTTTCTCCATATAACAATCGAATATCTAATATCTAAACTAGCCAAAAGTGACGCTTGATTTTACATTTCCCATTTTAAACCGCTCGTTTATCATTTCCTTTCATCAAACTGCCCGCGTTGTCGATTTTTCGAAATTTTCAAGCAAAAACTACTCACATTCCATACTAGACTTCGGAAAACAAAACAAAACGTAACCAAAACCAAAACCAAACCAAAACCAAAACCAAAACCAAACCAAAACCAAAACCAAACCAAAACCAAAACTAACCAAAACTCGCCAATATCTCGCGATTGGGAGGAGCTAGCGAAAATCTGTTTGCAGATTTGAAATCAGCATCCAAAAATCTATCCCATAGGCTATTTTTTGTTTCGAAATTTCGAGGTCGTGTTTTGGTGCTTTTTTCGGCCGCGAGATTTTGTGGAGTGAGAAAAAGTGAAAGGCTAATTTGCATTTTACAATAAAATTTGCATTTTACAATTTTAAATTTACATGTTAACTTATATGCAAATTGAGTTTTGGTTTTTTTTGGTGTTTTGGCTTTTGGTTTTGGTCTGTTTTGGTCTGTTTTGGTCTGTTTTGGTTTTGGTTTTGTTTGCCGAACTCTATTCCATACTAATATTTGCTCGAATTTTCGAAATCTTATCTAAATTTATGATTTTTCAATATTTTCTACCCTTTTTCTGCTCATTTATCGAAAAAAAATTGGCCTCGATTGCTTTCAAAGTTAAATTTTTCTCATTTTTCTCATTTTTTTCATTTTCTCTCATTTTTACTTAATTTTCATCAAATTTCCATCTAAAAATATAAAAATTCATTTAAAATTGTATTTTCTAAACTTATTAGCTTTAAATTTTGCTTCTTTTTCGCCTTTTTTGATCGTTTTTTTGATAGGATATCGATGCGATCTCAGTGAATTTTTTCATTTTCAAATTTTTGAATTTTACGATGAAGGCCAAATTTTTGGTCAAGTCGCAACCCGATTTTAGAGAAATTTAGATTAATAACTTTTGATGAAACAAATAGTTTCTGAAAGCTGACATTTTAAGCTATCTAAATCTTTGAAAAACTTTCCGATCCGACGAGTTTATGGGGTTTAAAAGTGAGCTGAAAGTTGGCCAAATTTTTGATCAACTTGCAACCCGATTTTACAGCAATTTAGATTAATAACTTTTGATAAGACAAATAGTTTCTGAAAGCTGACGTTTTAAGCTATTTAAATCTTTTAAAAACTTTGCGATCTGACAAGTTTATGGGGTTTAAAAGTGAGCTGAAAGTTGGCCAGTGCCTTAGGCTTGGAAGTGCACCGATTTAAAGAAGGTTGGGGTTAAAAAATATGTGGGGAGGGGTTTTGCTTTTAAATCTTTTAAGGCCTTCCGGCCGGCGGGTTTATGGGGTTTAAAAGTGAGCTGAAAGTTGGCCAAAATTTGCCTATATCGTAAACCGTAAAAATTCGAGATTTTAAAGAGAATTTGGTTATAAAATAGAGATCTTTCTTGAATTTAAATTCAAATTTTCAAAATTTTAAATGTAAATGTCAATTAAAACTCGTTTAAATGCAATTAAAATTAGTTTAAATCCAAATTTTCTCAAAAAAAATCTCTTCAAAACCTCGCTTGTTTGTGCTTTGGAATTTGTAGTTTTTATTGTTTTTTCTTTTGAATAATCTTGATAAAGACTTTATATACAAGATAAAAATATATATACGATTAAATAAATCGATTATTATGCACTTTTATGTACTTTGTACGGGGTTATTCGTCGCTTTTTGTAGCTCGATCGCTTCCACGAGATTGGCGCTTGTTGTTGGTGCTCCGTGAGGGAAAAGGTGATCGTACATTGGTGGATTTTCACCGGTTTCCACTGAAAATCGCTCGTCACCAGTTTCCGAGTGTTTTAAATGCGTTTAAAGCACTTCAAATTTAGCTAGAGATTAGATTATCCCTTAATTTACCCAGAGATTTCCTTTTTCTTCACTTTTTATACAGTTTTCACAAGAAACAGAAGCTTTCAAATGATAACAACCTTGATTGCGTGATTACGTTCGGAAAATGAAAGCCAACTCAGCAAATGAGGCTGATCTAACAGCAGTATCGCTTGGCTTTTATGGAAGCCAAGCGATACTGCTAGCAGCTTGTATGGAAGCCAGCTGTCCCGGCCGTCGCGGCTGCACGGATATTCTGCCTACAGGTACTAAGCGCACTTAGTAAATCTGATTCCAGATTTGGATTCCTCACCCCAGAAAACCATGGGTACAAATTTTCAGCTTTCTAGCGAACTTCGTTGTAATTTTATGTCAACGTAATTTGTATTATCGCGTAGGCGTGATGGACGGACGGACAGATGGACGGACCGACAGACGGACGGACCGACAGACGGACGGACCGACAGACGGACGGACGGACAGACGGACGGACGGACAGACGGACGGACGGACAGACGGACGGACGGACAGACGGACGGACGGACAGACGGACGGACTGGACGGACGGACAGACGGACGGACAGACGGACGGACGGACAGACGGACGGACGGACAGACGGACGGACGGACAGACGGACGGACGGACAGACGGACGGACGGACAGACGGACGGACGGACAGATGGACGGACGGACAGATGGACGGACGGACAGACGGACGGACGGACAGATGGACGGACGGACAGATGGACGGACGGACAGACGGATGATTAATGATCGTTTCTCTATTGAAATTCATTTTTTGGACCGTTGCAATTATCCAAATCGATCCGACTAGTCTTTATGGACGAACGATTAGAAAATCGTGCAAGCAACAAGCACAGAGCCAAGCTAGACAAGAGTCAAGCCAAGATTTGAGCTGACTTATGTTAAAGTTGATTCGTAAAGCATAAAGCTCTAATCTTGCGGCAATGGGATATCCCTGTAGCTTATTGTTAGAGGTCCAGTAAGCGAGAAGTCGCGGGTTCGAGCCCCGGGGCCCAGCCAGGCTTGAATTGGCTTATGCTCAGGCTCAGGCTTAGCCTAAGCCTAGGCCTAAGCCTCGGCTGTCTAAACGTGTACAAAGCACTTTTGTTTCAACTTTTCATAGGCTTTGCATGATTTTGAAGCCATTTGAGAGTCATTCTTGCTGATTGACAGAAAAAAAATCATTGAATAAGTGTATAAAAGTGATTTTTAAACTACTTGGAACTACAGTATTTGGTCATTTGGTTGAATTTATTAATTGAAACTAATAGCTTACCAGCAATTATGTAAATTGGCGGTGAATCGACAGGCACGGGCCCCACCTCGGAGCTCTCTCGTTGGCGACGATTCTGTAAGTTCTCAAGTCTAAAAGATCCAGAACTTTTCCTGAAAACCTGTCTTGATCTATTGGGAGAATTTGGTGGATTGTTGAATTCTCTAAAATTCGAAAATCATCGAATGCCAGCGAATTACGAGCCAATTACGAGCCAACTTTTGTTACAATAATCCCTCTAGAATGAGAGCTACCGTATTTCCTCTAATAAACGCCGCGCCCCCCCCCTGACCAACTTTGGACGCTTCGTTCTCAGCCCCATTTGGAGATATTTTTATGTTTAATATATCAAAAGATAGAAGACATTAAGGGCTATCTTTTGATATATTAAACATAAAGATATCTCAAAATGGGGCTGAGAACGAAGCGTCCAAAGTTGGTTAGGGGGCGTTTATTAGAGGAAATACGGTAATCGTTTATTTGATGCTTTACTTGAAGAATCATTGAAAAGATCATTGAAAAAGATGATTATTAGGTTGACCGGAAAGTTCTTTCCGTTTTTTTGACGCTAGATCTAACATCCTGCCACTTATCCGGCAACAAATAGATTGAATGGTATTCAGTTATGGCGGTAAAACTCACGTGGCTTCGAATCGAAGAACTGAGTGAGTGAGAAGCGCATTTCCTCGACGTTTTGAAAGATCTTTCCACGTGAAAAACTACGGCTACACCGGAAAGAACTTTCCGGCCAACTTTGCGTGGTCTGGAGGCTGATCTAACAGCAGTATCGCTTGGCTTTTATGGAAACCAGCTTTCCTCTCTCTCCACCAGCTTTCCTTTCTCTCCTCTCTCAATCTTTCCACGTGAAAAACTACGGCTACACTGGAAAGAACTTTCAAAGACCACGCAAGGTTGGCCGGAAAGCATGATAGTCCGATGGCGCGCTTGTCACTCACGCTTGTCACTCACGCTTGTCACACCATCGGACTATTATCTGTTCAGGCATTTTGTCCAGAATCGTCCGATTATCATTTTTTCAGGTCTCTAGAACATCATTTGAGTGGAAAGATCTTTCAAAATGTCGAGGAAATGCGCTTCTCACTCACTCAGTTTTTCGATTCGAAGCCACGTGAGTTTTACCGCCATAACTGAATACCATTCAATCTATTTGTTGCCGGATAAGTGGCAGGATGTTATTCTGTTAGATAAATTCTGTTTTTTTTATTTGCCGTTTTTGATGCGTAAAATAAAAAAGTTAGATCTAGCGTCAAAAAAACGGAAAGAGCTTTCCGGTGAACCTAATATTTTTTGCAAACTTACGGATATCCACCGAGTGAAGGCACAATTTTCATTCGTCTCAGCGCGACGATCGTCTTTTTCGTGAGGTAAAGTGTGAGAATGAAAAACGCGAAACAAAAAGCGGCTAGCCACAAAAGAGTGCTCGTATCTGGAAAGTTCGACAAATTCTTTGTCTAAGCTTTTATTGTACAGTCTTGAGTCGAGTCTACGCCTCTCGCCTCTTAGTCCTCTTTTCCAACGACAGTTGTGGTGTAGTGGCTAGTGTGCTTGTCTACGAGTTCGAATCTTTTCGAATCTACTCGTCAGTTCGATTCCGCACAAATTTTTGCTTTCATTTTTCATTGATATTTTTTGATTTTCACAGATTCTTATACATGTTTTCTTATCTAATTATGATTAGAGTAATTTCCTTTCGTAAACAAGCACACTAACCGCTACAGCACCGTTGAAAGAGAAGCTCAAGAATGTCTAACATGAAACAGGAATGAATGAAATGAATTGGACAGCTTAAGAATGTCTAACAAAAACTTTGACGCCAGGAATCTCTTTCTAAGCTATTCAGCAGATTTTGATCACAAATTCTCGATTCGATTTTCTATCAAATGGGCTAGGTTTCTTTTAAAGAGCCCACCTTGACCGAGTACTCTTTCCTAGGTAGAAAATTTTGTGATTCATTTCGCAGAGAAGCTCTCGATAACTTTGTGAGATTCAAGAGGAGATTCAGAGCTATCAAATGACTATGATCGCTTCGTTTGTCTTTGAATTTCCACAAAGTTATTAGTAAATCAGTAACGACTACGGGACTCTACGAGCAAATAGCGTCGTCACGAATCTGTTAAAGACTTCAAGAGGTTGGCAGACTTGCCAGCTTCAGCCTTACTGTACTTGGCTTGCTGTACTTGGCTACTGTACTTGGCTTACTCTACTTGGCTTACTCTACTTGGCTACTGTATTTGGCTTACTCTACTTGCCTTACTCTACTTGGCTACTGTACTTGGCTACTGTACTTGGCTTACTCTACTTGCCTTACTCTACTTGGCTACTCTACTTGCCTTACTCTACTTGGCTACTGTACTTGGCTTACTCTACTTGCCTTACTCTACTTGGCTTACTCTACTTGGCTTACTCTACTTGGCTTACTGTACTAGGCATAGAATTTTTGTTTTAAAAACGAACATGTGCCCGGTGGTTTCATCCCTAACGCAACGAGCAACATAAAAGTGAATGAGGTGAGGAAAAGGATGAAAACGGAGATCACCTGGAATGAGAATCTTTCTCTAAAAGGCATCTATTTTAGATAAACTACCGTAATCAAGAGATACAAAAAGCCTACGTAATCCGATCAGCCTAATTTTGGCCTAATTTTGACCTAATTTTGGCTCAATCCGCCTAATTTTGGCATTTTGGCATTCGATGAATGACAAGACACAGTCAATGACATCAAAATCTTCTGGTTACGGTAGTTTTAAGAAAATTGATGCCTTTTTAGAAGACTTACCATGTAAACAACATACCAAAGGAGCACGATTCCCCAGCGAAATTTAATTGACAAAATGCAGAGGAAATAAATCGCCCAAATGATTGCGTCTAGGATGATCGTGTACTTTTCCTGTAAAAGAAAAGCATAACTTTTAAATGAGCTAGCTTTTTCTTTCAAATTTCACCCACATCAATGCGAAGATTGCCAAAAACGATCACCGAAACGAGCAATTGAACGGCGACAATGCACGAGGCGCTGAAAGCCGCCGCGATCTACAAGGATTGTTTTTTGTTTGTTTTTCCCAATTTTTCATAGCCTAATGGCAATATTGTTAGCTATTTTGTTAGCTGTAGCTTTATAGAGGAGAAGTTAGCTCAAGCTTTCGAATGAAACCAAATAGAGGGTTGATTGGTGGATTCAACTCCATGAAATCATCCTCAAATCATGATCGCAACATTCTCTGAGTTTTGCCGCTGTTTGGCAGCTGTTAGCAGCTTGCAGCAAGTAAAGGAATGGGTTAAAAGGGTGCAGAACTTGTCTAAAAATATAGCCATGCGAAAAATCGCAAATCGATCCGAAAAGCTGGCAGGTTATGAGGATAAAATAGTGAAAAACGGCCTTGGCATCTTTCTTTATCGAGACCGAGGCTGTTAGCAGCTATCTATTGTGGCCGTGTGCCAGATGAAAAGCGATTGTGAGCGGGCACAAAGAACATGCCAGTCACTTATTCAGTGATTCTTCTTTTTCTTTGTAAAATTGTTGTTTTGTAAAGAAATTCAGTACCCTAGGGTTTTCGGGGTCAAAGAATCGATTGCTTGGTAGCTTGGATTTGTTTTAACACTTGATCACTAAAAAGAGTCACTCTAATGCTTAATTTTATGTAAAAGAAACTCACCGATGGCGGGAAATCACGTTTCGGACAGAAAACTCTCGGGTACTCGGCTCTTGACGGCATTTTGAAGGGAAAATTTAGAAAATACAGATGAAAACGAGTCAAATTCAGTTATGAAATCGGTTAAATGATTGCTTTGAATACGAATTTTTCTATTTTCCCATTTTTCGCCATTTACTAGCCTTCAGCTTCGCATTGATAAGGATTTTTGGGGAAAAGAAAAAAAATCATATGTTTTCTTGCCAATTTCTCAGCGAAATTTCCTTGATTTTTGTAGTTTGTCAAAGAAAAAACCAAAGTCAAACGAAGAATTCTCTAGTTTTTCGAGTCTTTTTATGATCTTTATGAAGAAAAGCGCCAAATTTGAGCGAAACATGTCATGCTAGAGAGTTTGAAGCCAATATTCTTTATTAACGTTTATTCACACGAATAATATAATAAAAACAATAGGCAAACCACAAGCTTTAAATGTAGGAAAGAAAAAATTCATGGATTTTGAAAAAAAAACCGATAATCTTGCCGGCGGGATTGAACCCTTGACCTTCGGACTAGGAGACAAGGCCCTTAGCCAGTCGGCCATGCCATGCTAGAAACTCACGTTCAGAAGACCGGGTTTTTAGCTCTCTTTCTTTCTTGTGTTTGTTTTTGTTCTTGTTTTTCCTCTCGATCAACAAGGCACCATAGCTCAGTGGTAGAGCGTCTGGCTGGTAAGCGGAGGGCTCAGAGAGAAGCTCGAGGGTTCAATTCCCCTCGCTTCCAAATCCTTTTTCATTAATTTCTTTACTTTATTTTCTCTTTCTTGTATGAAAATATTGACTCTTTTTAATTGAATTCCAAAGAAAAAAGATATGATTTGACTAAAGTACAACAAAGACAACGGTAGCAAAAAAAAATACAGCAAATACAACGGCAAAAAGACCGCAATCAAATCAGTGACGTTGAGTGTGGTAGATGCTATGCGTTTACCATTTTCGAGGGTAAAGTCCATCCTAGACAGTTCGTCAGAGGGTTTGCTAATATCAAAATTGAAAGGATCAAAAGATTGAGGAGAAAGAGAGAGAGAGGGAGGGAGAGAGAAATTTTGATGAGTCAAGAGAGAACTTATTTTAAATCAAAAAAACAGAAAAGAAAACAGTCATCACTTTCAACAAAAGAAGAGAAAAAGAAGAGAAAAAGAAGAGAAAAAGAAAGAGAAAATGAAAGAGAAAATGAAAAAAATATCTCTTTTCCCACAACAATGGGATAATAAAATGAAGGGGGGAAATTTAAGGAAAATCGGAGGGAAATTTCACTTGGGAATCTTTAGACATCAACCCCAACAACAAGACGATTATTTGAGTGAAATTTTGCTTGAAAAATTTCACTCAAATAATCGTTTTGTTGTTGGGGTTGATGTCTAAAGATTTTCTAGGAATTTGTTAAACTTTCACACATTTAGACGAGATTTTTCGTGTTAAATCAAGTCTTTATCTTTAAATTCTCTATTATCAATAAATCAGTTAACGACTACGCGACTGTACGCAAAAAATGACTCAACGACTACGCCAATGTACGCTAAAAATACTGTCGTTACTAGCTAGCTATGCAAATTGATCTTTAACGTCTTCCTTTATCATTTCATTGTCTTATTTCCGATCGGTCCCCATGGCGGCTGTGGCGCAGTGGTGAGGGGAAATTTCTACAGCCCACACAGTCCGGGTTCGATCCCCCGCACTGCCATTCAATGTTTTTTTATTTTCAATTCCATAGCTATATTGAATTTTTAGCTTTTTTTTGATTCGAAAATGGTTGCGAAAAGTCGGACAGACACTACTATACTAAATTTGTCAATTTCAGTGAAATGCTCTTGATTCTCTCATATTTTCTTCTATTCTTTGTCCGATTTTCGAATTGTTGCTTTGCTTGTGGAGTGTGCCAACCGGGCCTCTGCGGGCCGCCACAACCACCACCAACGCCGGTGAGTTTTCTAGAATTTTACAAGATTGACTTTTCCAATGGAATCAATGATAGTTTGGCATCTTTAAAAGTGATGTGAATTAAAAATCAGTTTTGAAACAGTTTTGAGTTAAGCCGGGTATTTCCTTTTCTTTCTTTCTCTTCCTTTCTCCTTCCTTCTTCCTTTCTTTCTCTTCCTTTCTCCTTCCTTCTTCCTTTCTTTCTCTTCCTCCTTGCATCCTCTTTCTTCTTCGGTCACTAGATACCAAATAGCTCAGTGGTTAGAGCATCTGCTTGAGCAAGTCAAAAGATCGAAGTTCGAAGTCGAAGTTCAATCCCCTCTCCGAAAATTTTCGGAAGAGCTAAGCTTTTTGTTTTGTCAGATGTGCGGCGGTTGTTCTCGGGGTTACGCGTGTGGATCGTACGGTTGTTATCGGATGAGGGCAAGAGCCAGATCATCGAAGACTCTCAACCTTCAAGAGGAGGAGGAAAAGGTGAGAGAAAAGTAGCAAGCAGTCAGCTGAATGCTAAATTAGTATAGGAATTTGCACAGTACAGTATCTTTGATTCGCTTAAAGGATTTGAGCCTTCAGTTGTTTAGACCTAGGTACTGTAGCTTCTAGATTACTGTAGCTTCTAGCTAGCTTCTAGATTACTGTAGCTTCTAGCTAGCTTCTAGACTATTGTAGCTTCTAGCTAGCTTCTAGATTACTGTAGCTTCTAACTAGCTTCTAGATTACTGTAGCTTCTAGATTACTGTAGCTTCTAGCTAGCTTCTAGATTATTGTAGCTTCTAGCTAGCTTCTAGATTACTGTAGCTTCTAACTAGCTTCTAGATTACTGTAGCTTCTAGCTAGCTTCTAGATTATTGTAGCTTCTAGCTAGCTTCTAGATTACTGTAGCTTCTAACTAGCTTCTAGATTACTGTAGCTTCTAGCTAGCTTCTAGATTATTGTAGATTACCCAATATCCTTATTCACAAATTTCCAGCGTGCCGCTTTGATCCGCTTGAGTCCCGACGAGAAATTCGAGCGTTGTTGTGTCGAGCGAAATCTGCCCGACTCGTGCATGTCGAAGTGCTCGTATCAAAGTTATACGAGAATGGCTTTACAGGTAAAGGCTTTACAGGCGTTACAGGCTTTACAATATATTGTTGTTATATTGTTACAAGTTACCGTAACTTTACAGAACATGTACTTCAAGTTAGATGCGTGTCCGATGCAAGCTGCAGCTGATATTCACTTCTGTGCAGCCCAGGTGCCACTTAGCCCATAAATAGTTGTAAACATGCCCAATCTGGCACACTAAACGCTTGATTCTTTTACGGAAATGCACTAGAAAGGGTGTGTTTGCATAAAGTGAATACAAAGTACAGCATTTTCAAAGACTTTTTTTTTCAGGGTAAAGACCACAGCACTTGTTGCTTTCAAAATGGAGTGACAACGACATTAGCTGGGCCTAAATGTATGACATTCTGTGATCAGGTGAGGAAATGAATTCTAAATTATATCAATAAAACTCTATGCAAATTGCAGCGTCCCGGTCACATCACTCAACTTGACATCACCTATTTGGCATGCTATGATCGATTCGAGAGTATGAAGAGTTGCTTCTACTATGAAATGAGCAATGGTTTGTGATTTGAATCTATTAATTGCCGTATTTTCTGTAATAGTAGTGGAGTCTGGAATAGTAGTGGAGTCTGGAATAGTAGTGGAGTCTGGAATGGTAGTGGAGTCTGGAATAATAGTGGAGTCTGGAATAGTAGTGGAGTCTGGAATAGTAGTGGAGTCTGGAATAATAGTGGAGTCTGGAATAGTAGTGGAGTCTGTAATGGTAGTGGAGTCTGGAATAATAGTGCTGTCTATAATAGTAGTGCAGACTGGAGGGGGATTGAAAAAGTAGTAGTGCGCACTACTATTACAGAAAATACGGTACTTGATTTCTAATTAAGTGATGCTTGACAATGTTTTGTCAAGCATCACTTAAATTTTGAGCATTACGGTAATCAGAAAAGAATTCAAAGTCCTTTACAATAGTCCTTGCCAAAAAATCTTTGCGTCCGAAAGCCTGGCTTCTGATTTATAATCTGTGAGCAATTCGAGTCTTGGCCTCGTTTCTGAAATGGTTTAAAGTCATGTAATCTTTTTTTTCTTGTAAAATAATCTGCAAGCTTTAAATTGAACCTGAAAAAGGAGGTAGCTTGCTCTAATTGAACAAAATCGGCTTCTTTTAGTTTACAAGGGAAGATCAACTCGATCTGTTGACCAAATGACAATGCCCAAATACTATTTAACACAGAATTTCACGCTGATTCCGAATCTGCTTTCCGTTTTTGCAACGCAGCACTCTATCAAAAGATATGAGCGTCCAAAGTTTTGTATGGAATCGCAGAGAATTATAAATTGACAATTTATGTTTGTCAAAGCGGAGAGGTTTAGTGGTAGCCGAGTGGTATTAGGCTTGAATACGAAGGAAGATCTCTAGGGTTCGAGTGCTAATTGTAAGCCATATTTGTACTATTAACACTATTTGTAAGCCAAACCCTGCTTAGAGCATGGCCTGGCCTAGCCTCCAGATCCAGGCCAGGTCTAGCCTCCAGATCCAGGCCTGGCCTAGCTTCCAGATCCAGGCCAGGTCTAGCCTCCAGATCCAGGCCTGGCCTAGCCTCCAGATCCAGGCCAGGTCTAGCCTCCAGATCCAGGCCTGGCCTAGCCTCCAGATCCAGGCCAGGCACAGCCTCCAGATCCAGTTTTTGGGCCAGGCTTTGACTTTGCTTAAAGCCTTTATATTTCCTCTTTCTTCTCTGGCAAGAAGATATCGAATAGCTCAGTGGTTAGAGCATCTACCCGGAAAGGAAAAACGTCCAGGGTTCAATTCCCTCCCCGGAAATCTCTTTATCATTTCTTTTCCATTTTCCATTCATATTCTCATTCCATTCTCATTCTATTTCTTCTCAAAACATGAAACTTTCAGGTAATGGTGCCAACGAGCCACCAGCGTCGATCCCAGCCGATCCGCTTCTCGCCGAGAACAGCCAAAATGTTTTTCAACCAAAAGAACAAAGTGCAAGACCTCGTTTGGAAAATCTTTTGATGAATAGAGATCCGTCAATTGGTGGAGAATTGGAAATTGAGGATTATGACAATGACAATGTTTCGGTGAGTGCTATGCGATCCTCTTCACTTCTTTAGCTCGTAGAAATCTTGACTTGATCAAGATCTTTAACTAAACTAAGCCTGAACTAACTTCTGAGTAGGCTAGGCTCGAAAAAACCGCTTTTCACACATCACTGAATTAAAAACCGAAAAGATTGGTGGAGAATCAGAAATTGAGGATTATGACAATGTTCTGGTGAGTGCTATGTTGCTGACAATGTTGCTAAGTGATCCTCTCCACTTCTTTCGCTCGTAGAAATCTCTGTCGAAAGTTTAGATAAGAAAATTTGACAATAAAATGCATTTGAAAAGAGTTTAGATAAGAAAATTCGATTGTTTTTTCTAAAAAGATAGTGTAAAGTTTGAAAAGTGATTTAATAAGGACTTGAAAAGACAGAGTTTGTATTTTCAGAGATTGTACAGAGACAAACAGACTTGAAAAGACAGAGTTTGTATTTTCAGAGATTGTACAGAGACAGACAGACTGAAAAGACAGAGTTTGTATTTTCATTTTTTGATCAAGATCTTTAACTAAACTAGATTGTATTTTCATTTTTTTTCAGGCAGCTCCACGAGCTCGTGCAGTTCGACGAAATCCTGGAATAGCTCGCACATTCATTCAATAAAGATAGAAAATTAAAGAAAAAAAAATTGTGATTGGGATTTGTATTTATCAAAGGAAATTTACTTATTCACATTTACAAAGAATAAATCTTTTTTCTAAAAAACATTTTTAACTTATTTAAATCCAATGAAAACAAAAATCTATTTAGTTTTCTTTTCTTTTCTTTTCTTTTCTTTAGCTTTCTTAAGCTTTCTTTACTTCTATACTTCTATTCTTTTGTGATTGAGCTAATGGACTTCTTTTTGGATGAGTGGATTGAAAGAGAGGAAGAAGAGAAAGAAGATAAAGAAGAGAAAGAAGAGAAAGAAGAGAAGGAAGAGAAAGAAGAGAAGGAAGAGAAGGAAGAGAAAGAAGAAAAGGAGTAGTGAAGAGAAGGTGGAGAGAAATGGGTATTGGACGATTGGAAATGGGTTTTGGACGAGTGGGCAATAGCTTGAGGTGCTATGGATGAGGGTCTAGAGTCTAAGAAAGATTTCTTTAGGCTTTTAGCTTTCAACGAGGCTCAGGGTTGTTTTAAAGGCGATATGTGCATTATGGTGTAATGGTTAGCACACTTGTCCGGAAAGCGGAAGGTCCCCGGTTCGAGCCCCAACACGGCTCTTTTTGATCTCCCCTATTTCTTTTCTTTTTCTCTTTTCATCCAAGAAATCATCTTTTCGTTATTAAAAGACTTTTATTTTATTTTATTTTATTTTTCAAATCTCAGAGCCAATTTGTTATGTCTTTCTTATCTAAAACATCAAGAAATCATTTTTTTTCGTTTTTTAGAGTGGAAAGAGGTAGAAAATGGGAAAAAAAGAAAGAAAAGAGCGAAAACAAATGTTTCTCGTTGTTGGGCCCTTTGTTTATAGACTTTTTCAAATTCAAACCGCGATCAGGGCCCAGAAGTGGCTCATTCCTTTTGCAAATTCCCTTTGCTTCCAATGCCTCTTTATCAAATTCATTTCCCGTTAGAGCCGCTAGATTATGGAACTTGCTCCCAAACGACATACGAGAAATTCAGTCGCTTTTCATATTCAAGAAACGTATCGATGCTTTAGATCTAGTGGCTCTTTGCCGTAAGTAATTGGCTTATTGATTTCAGTATGTATTGTATGATTAAGTATCACTGTGCATTTCTCTATGATTTCTTTCACTTTATCGTTTGAATAAAGTATTATTATTATTTTAATTAATATTATTTTAAAAAAGGTTGTCTTTTTGAAGAATCGTATTTCAATTGGTGCATTTGTTGGTTTTAAATGGAGGAAAAGAATGAAGAAAGGCTTTTGGGAGGCCTATAGATTTGTTGTGTCTTTCTTATCTAAAACATCAAGAAATCATTTTTTTTCGTTTTTAGAGTGGAAAGAGGTAGAAAATGGGAAAAAAAAAGAAAGAAAAGAGCGAAAACAAATGTTTCTCGTTGTTGGGGTGGCAAAAATTTGTTATTTTTCTCTCTTTTTAAGATCTCAAATAAAGAATTTCCTTCTCTAAACTCTTTTCAAATTTTTTTCTATGTCTTTTCGTCTATTTTTTGTCAATCTCTATGCATTTTATTGTCAAAATGTGAAAATTTTTCCTTTTCTCTACCATTTCCCATTGATCTGCTGAAAAAAAAAACCGGTTTTCACATGGTTTTTGAGCAATTTATTGACAATTTTTGGCAATTTTTGGCAATTTTTGCAAATTTTCCCTTTTATCGATCATTTTGTGCATAAAAGATTTGATTTTTGACTTAATTGACGCAAAAGTTTAGTCAAAAAGAGTCAAAAAAAAGAGTTTCAAGGTCAAATGCCAAACAAAAAACCGAAAAAAAGCGAAAGAACCGAAAAACCCGAAATTTCTTCGTCTAACAAGGCTACTAAGCAATTTTTAGCCGTAATCGATTCGTTTTTAAGCGTACTTTTCGTGCTTTTTCTTATCCTTTTCATTTGATTTCCCTATTCTCTACAATTGACTCTTTTTATAACATTTTAAACGTTTTTAGCCTTTTTTTTCTTTCGATTTCTTTCGGTAGACTTTTTTCTCAAAAAACTCGCAAACCCACCCAATCTGGCCCACTGAATTCTTTGATTTACTTGCAGAAATGATTTGCTAAAAGAAACCCGTACACTGGGAGATTTGTGTTTACAAGTTCTAATCACAAAGTACAGAGCATGCTCTCCATGATGCTCACCGTCCTTTTGCTCACAACTTTGTATAGAATTATCCAAGCAAAATGTTTTTTATATCAATCAATGCAGGAGATCATTGGCTATCGAATGACAACAAAAGAATACCAATCGGGTAATTCAATAAAAAGTTATGAAAGATCAAAGATCCTCCACTCTACATAGGGCTGCTCTAAAGCTGGTTCTCGTTGTACAGCCTGTCTAACTTTTTCGACTTATCCAATTCAAAAAGTTTTTATATCATTCGACGCGGGAGATCATTGGCTATCGAATGACACAAAAATTAGATTGATTGGGTAATTCTTTGATAGCTTCCGTCTGTATATAAAAGATTTATGCGTTTTTGTTAATATTTATTGAAAATTGTTGTATTTAACACTTTTTATTGAGAAAAAAAACCAACAACCTTTCAAAAACAACTAAAAAAAGAGTGAAAAAGTCTAAGAAAATCAATTTAGAACAGCCTTTTATAGAAAAAAACGACCGTAAACTAATTGGGACATAATTTCGAAAGGATCAATCAAAAATTTAGTGCATTTTGCGTTCTTTTGACTTTCATTTTGCTTACTTATCGGTCTTTTATTGATAATAATCGCTATTAATAACGAATTTATTCATTTAAAAGGTGAAAATTCCCATTTAATCGCTATTGAACACAGTTATTGATCGAAAAGCGGAAAGGTGTTAAGTTGTTGTAGTTTTTGACGTGTAGCCCAGATTTGACGTGTCAGTGAGGTCTGATTTGTCGAAATTCGGAATCTACGCATGCGATTCCCTTATATGAAAACATTTTTGAAGCCCTACGGCTTTTGCTAAGGCGTTTTCCAGCGAAAAAGGTGTTCAAAGGTTCAGGTGCGCAAATGTCCAGGTGCGCAAATGTCCAGGTGCCCAGGTGTCCAGGTGCACAAATGTACAGGTGCGCAAATGCCCGGTGCGCAAATGTACAGGTGCACAAATGTACGGTGCGCAAAGGTTCAGGCGCGTGAATGTCTAGATGCGCAAATGTTCAGGTGCCCAGGTGTCCAGGTGCGCAAATGTACAGGTGCCCAGGTGCCCAGAAAAAGGTAGCATTTCTCCTACCCACAGAAAATAGATTCTTTTCGCTTATCGCTACTTTGGGATGGACCCGAATATCTTTACATTTCGTCACCAAATCACTTAAAAAACCGAGTATCTTTAAAAGGAGTCGTATATAAGGCGGCGCTCGTGATTTTTTTCGCGCCAATCTTTTGCAATAATTTTCGCTAAAAGTACGGTAATTTTTCTCAAAGTTTACGTTTTAAAAAACGCATTCTAGTCAAAACAGTGTGACTGCTCAGAAAGCGAATCTCTAGCCCAAAACGAGACCTTTTTGCGATCCCAATTTGTCCAAGTAGTCTAAATTTCAGAAAAAACAACGTTTCAGAAAGATCTCCTTTGACAAAGATCTCTTTCTATTCAAAAACAAAGTCCCATTGTGGTAGAGAGATCATTTTCAATGAGCTCATCTTTTCTTTTTTCAATTCCCTGGACTCAACCTTGTCGTTTTCTTCTTTTCATCTTCTTTCTTCTTTCTTCTTTCTTTCTTCTTCCTTTCTTCTTCCTTTCTTCTTCCTTTCTTCTTTCTTCTTTCTTCTTTCTTCTTTCTTCTTTCTTCTTCTTTTTTGAATAGATGGACCTGATCGAAAAAGAGAAAAAGGCTTCAATGGAGAACTTCAAAGGAAAACCCTTGAGTAAAAATGAAGAAAAAGATGAGCTCTTTTTTGAACTGAATTTAGCTCTTTCTTTAGCTGAAAACGAGCAAATATTTGAGTAAATAAATTCGATTTTTTAATTTTCTTAATTCCTTTTCTGTACTTTATACTTTCTTTACATAAGTACAGAGCATGCTCTCCATGATGCTCACCGTCCTTTTGCTCACAACTTTGCATAGACTTATCCAATCGAAATGTTTTTATATCAATCAATGCAGGAGATCATTGGCTATCGAATGACAACAAAAGAATACCAATCGGATAATTCAATAAAAAGTTATGAAAGATCAAAGATCCTCCACTCTACATAGGGCTGCTCTAAAGCTGGTTCTCGTTGTACAGCCTGTCTAACTTTTTCGACTTATCCAATTCAAAAAGTTTTTATATCATTCGACGCGGGAGATCATTGGCTATCGAATGACACAAAAATTAGATTGATTGGGTAATTCTTTGATAGCTTTCGTCTTTGTGCTTTCTTTACATAAGTACAGAGCATGCTCTCCATGATGCTCACCGTGCTTTTGCTCACAACTTTGTATAGAATTATCCAAGCAAAATGTTTTTATATCAATCAATGCAGGAGATCATTGGCTATCGAATGACAACAAAAGAATACCAATCGGGTAATTCAATAAAAAGTTATGAAAGATCAAAGATCCTCCACTCTACATGCACTCATTTCTAGTGTGCAAAGGTACCTTTTCTGGTGAGGATTTCAAAGATAAAGCGGTGTTTCATTAGAAATAAATAATTCAGTGCATCAGAAGATGTTTCTAGCGAGCACAAAGTACACTGTTTTAAAATAGGATTTTAGAAAAGAGAGAAAAGATTGTTTAAATGGAATTTCAGAATTCCCCGTTCATCGTTTCCTTTTTCATTTCTTTTTTTCCTACTCTTCTCCGATCTCTTTTCATCTTTCATCCTCTTTTCCAAATCGAGAATCCATCGAAACCTAATGAGGCCCACCTTTTTTTTGTTTTTTTTTTTTGCTCTCTTTGAATTTGAATTTGACTCCTAGCTTTCGGTTTTTTTGACAAAATTGCTGTGCTCATTATTGGAATTGCGAACGGGGTTCTGGTTTTTAAAGCTTTTCTGTTTTTAAAGCTTTTCTGTTTTTAAAGCTTTTCTGATTTAAAAAAATGTTTATCTAAAAACTTTTTGATCGTGGAAACCAATTCTAATGCTTTTTTTCCAATTTCAACCAATTTCAACCAATTTCAACCAATTTCAACCAATTTTAACCAATTTCAACCAATTTCGAAACCTTTTAGAACCTATTTTAAATGCATTTTTTTTCTCTTACTTTTTTCTTACCTTTTTCTTACTTTTTCTATAGCTAGTTTAGCCAAATCGACCCTGATTTTGAGCTTATCTTCATCCCAAAAAATTTAACTAGTCTAACTATTTGTAAATTCAAGTCTGACTTTCGGCAAGCTAGAAAGCAAAGCAAGCCTGCCTAATTGTCAGCCTTTCCTTTGAACCGAATATATGCTAATTGCGTAAATAATATAAGATCGAAGAAATTAAAAAAAAAAATTATAATCCAATTAGTTACAAAATTGGTAGAAGTTGCGCTAAAGGAAAAACTAAAAAAAATTAGCTGCATTAGGGATCGAACATCGATCCTGCGACTCCGAGCCTATTATGTTAACCACTAGGCCATCACGTACTTTTTTCTCGGCGAGGCAGGAGCCTTTTAAAGCAACGTCTTGCCAAATTTTTGATTCCTCACGAAGAAAGTCAGAGTTTATAACCATAACTGAGGCTATTCCCGTCTGACCGTGGCTTAGTCTAGCTAATTATTGACTTTGTAAAATCATTGACAAATTTCGGTTTTCAACTGATTTCCTCGAAATTTTCTTGCTTTAAATCCTATCTTTCAAGCTGTAGCTGTTTAGCTGTGCCATAGCCATAGCGTGCCATAGCCATAGCTGTGCCATAGCCATAGCTGCCATAGCCATAGCTGTGCCATAGCCATAGCTGTGCCATAGCCATAGCTGTGCCATAGCCATAGCTGTGCCATAGCCATAGCTGTGCCATAGCCATAGCTGTGCCATAGCCATAGCTGTGCCATAGCCATAGCTGTGCCATAGCCATAGCTGTGCCATAGCCATAGCTGTGCCATAGCCATAGCTGTGCCATAGCCATAGCTGTACCATAGCCATAGCTGTGCCATAGCCATAGCGGTCTGGGTGAAAGCTGAAAGCTGAAATGATCAATTTTTCAATTTTTGATGATTTCTCACGAATTTCTTCAAAAAACTGGCATTTTTAAGGGTTTTTTTTTGAGTGAAACCATCGTAAAACCATCGTTTTCTTCAAAAAATTTCTCATTTTCACACATTTTTCTTACAAAATTTGAATAAATGCGCAAATTTTCATGCAAATTTTGCTTATTTTCGCTCAAAAAAAACCTAGTCAAAAGATCAGATCGATGAAAAAAAAGGGAAAATTTCGACAAAAAAAAAAAAAAGAAAAGCCCGTCAACTTGAAACCGGATATCCATGAGGGGAAAAAAATGATTCAAAAGCCAAAAAAAGAAAAACGAAAGTAACCATTTTATATTCGAATCTCTTGTCCTCGATATTTTTACCCAAAAAAACCCCCTCTTAAACACACCTTCTCTGGTGGACTGAATTCTTCGTTTTTTTCTTCTCACAAATGCTTCGTTTAGGCGAGAAATGAAGAGCTCAATGCGCCAGAAAGGGTGTGTTCACGAGAGCATTAGCACAAAGGACACTGAAAAAGAAAAAACTATTGGAAAACGGGGTTCCCAAGTTGAATCTGTGGGCTTAATTTTAAGAAATCAGCTAAAAAAAACCGGCTAACGGGTGGCCGATCGACTTGTGGGCGTGGCGCAGTTGGGAGTACGCTTTTCTACAACCTGCACGATCCGGGTTCGACTCCCGGCTCCGACATGACTTTTGCTTTTTAAAAAAACGAAATAGCAGATGCACAAGTACATAGAATTCTAAGTCTAATAAATGAAAAATTATTTAAATCTGATTCCGGGGGACGAACAAACGGACGAACGGACAGAGACTTTTATATAGAAAATCGAAATTCTAAAAGGTACTCTTGATTTATGCGTAGCTGCCGAGTTAAAGCAATCGTTGGGAAACTACGCAAGAAAGATAGGGCAAAATCGAACACTTCAAATGGTCCCTAGGGGATTTAAAGAAGGAAATGGGATCCTTTTTGGGATTTTCTTTCCTTTATATCCATCAACATTTCTCATCATCATTTCAACGCTTTTTCTTTCAATTTTCTTGTAAAATATTCAAGTTTTTTTCTTAAAAACGAGTAATTAAGTGCACTAGATGGGTTGCGTTTCATGGGTTTTTCAGCACAAAGTACATCCGAGTCGGACTCGAGTGTACTTTGAGCTCAAATCGGTAAACACACTCTTTCTGGAGCACTGAAATAGCTGAAATTCTTCCTTTTCTTCTCAGCAACGATTTTTTTATTGCTTGTTTTCAATAAAAGTGTCGGAATATTGAGGTTTCTCTTTTCAAATTCCTCTTTGAAATGTTTCCTTTCCCTTTTTTTCTTTTCCTATTTTATATTCAATCTCTGCGTCGATTTGCCTATTGAATAGCGATTTCGAATGCTCTTTTTTATTTCGATGTTCTTTTTTTTTGATTTTTCAATTTTCTTTTCAATTCAATCGCTTTTTAAAGTGAGCTGAAAGTTTCCAGGGATTTCTCATCTTCATCCCTCTCATTTCCCTTCAAATCTCATTTCCCTTCATTTCTTTTCCCCGAATGCTCTCCACCGGATGCGCTTCGGTGTCCGTCTTGGATTCATCCTCGTTTTCGCACTTCTCTCCGTTCTCCTCATCGGCTTGCTCGCGCACGAATCTGCAAAAAAAAGCTATTCGAAAAACCCGGGCATTTCGAGAAACGACGAAGAGAATGAGGGGAATATTGATGGTAGGATTCAGAGAACGAAAAAGAAATTTGTTGCCAGTCGTTTAGACTTGCTTAAACGATAAATAGATAAGTTAAAGATAAGCTTTGCTACTAGACTTAGGAGTGATTTAAGCCAAAATTAACAAAATTGATAAAATTGCCGAAATTCTAGACGACCAAGCCGCTCAACTCTTGCTCGCCTCGGATCCACAAAATGGGGGTTCGTTTTCGATCAAAGATATTGAAAACTTGTAATAAAATATTTAAAGATATTGCAATATTCTTTTTTTCAATAATTTTATGAGGAAAGTAACGAGATTTCAGAAATCCAACGAGCCAAGCTCACCGTTTCGGTAGCGATCGTGATGGTGGTTTCTCTGCTCGCCGTCGCTCTCCTCATAACGGGTGAGAAGAAATGAAGAATTCGAGATTCAAGGCTACTATAGTTTTGAAAAAAAAAACGAATCATTAGCTTACTTATAAAGGCAATCGACTGTAATTGTAGGTATAATTGTCGTTGCGGTGACGATCGATCCACGCGTGCCATCAAACGAGAACAGCGATGTCGAAGAGGAAGAGGAGGAGGACGGTTACGGAGAACAAAGTCACTTGGTGAGCTGATATGAAGAAATCATTCTTAACTCCACATTTAGATCCAATATTCAATGTTCTGAGGTAAAAGATTAGCAATAACTCGTATAATTCTCTTATTTTTGCTTCTAACAGCTTCTTCGAGATTTAGTTGAACGTCTAATGTTTAATCTATTGGAAAACAGCTTTAAATGCAAATTTGCAGACTCTTCCCCAAATCCCACCGGCTTTCTTCTCAACTTCCGAATTCGACAACCTTTTCTTGCCAGACAATTCGACAATCCATTGAGATTTCTTGATATATTTCTCGGTTTTGGTTCCTCTGTGCTCAATCTTCACTTCTGTCATTTGATGACAAGGCTAAAATGTTATTTTCCTTCTATCTGTGATCACTTTTGATGCATAAATTTGGCACTTATTGCAAAAAGTATCGAAAAAGTTAAATCACGAAGATTTTATAACCATAATCCTTTTTAAAACGAACTGTACACTTACAAAAACTTGTCGAAGAGAGGAGCACTAAACGAATCACAATTACAAAAGAAAATAAGACTATCAAAAAAGGTACTTGTGACTTTTCCAGTCTCTTTTTGTATACTAAAAACAGCAAATCTGCTGATGTTAAATGCAAACTCATATCTAAAGTATCCGGAAAAAGTAGCAAGTACCACAAAAATCTAATTGAACTTATGTGCTAAGATGTTGAATCTTCAAATCTTCTCCCTTGGTGACATGGGAATTGAAGAAGCGATTCCCGCAATAACCACACGCGTGAACGCCCGGTTTGTCGAGATTGATAAAAACGCGTGGATGACCGAGTGCCGGATGACCACCATCACAAATCGTCGTGTGCGAGTGCCCGCAATCTTTTGGCGCTTTCTCGGCGACCAGCGTTTGTGCCACATTCGGGTTCACCTGCAAAATGGAAATGGAACATTTTCGAATAATAATGAGCAACATTTTCTAAAACAGACTGGAAGCACCACTCATTCTTGGTCTCATAATTTTTAAAAAAATAAGATTCCCAAATTAAAAAACGCCATACCATTTTTGGAGCGATGTCGAAGCGTTGAAGTCGATAATCGGACTGATCCCAAGCCTAAAATAAAAACTCGAATTTTACCCTTAAAAGCGTCCACTTTCTCAACTTTCAAAATTCGCTATGAAAATCAATTAATTCATGTCAATTTCCAACCTGTCCAGTATGTGTAACCTCATCGAATTTCGCGTTTTTCTTGGTCACTTCATTGGGTGATGGTTTGGTGACACTGGTTGAGGATGCTCCGCGGAGTGACGAAGTGATCCGTTGCGAGATCCTCAATGAGCACGACAACGAGCGGTTCATCGCCTAAAATAATACATTTTTCTACGTAACCCACTTTTTCATACAAAAATTGTTACCTATAAGCGAAACATAGTAATGGTTTTCAAAAACCGTAAAAAAACACTAGATAAAGTAGATAAAACTTTTTATTTCGAGATATACAAACGTAACAATGAGATCTAAACCCGAATAGCGTAACAATATTACAAAATACAAATTATCAAAAATCAACAAAATGATAAAATCAAGCTTATTCTTTAGGTAATTGATCGTCAAATTTTTCCGCTGCTGGTCGTTTCTTCTTTCGTAGCAGTTCAATCGAGAAAAATGCTCCTAAAAGAAACATTTTGAATTCCAATTTTGAAAGAGTATGGGTACGAAAACTATGAAAAGCTACCAACCATATGTTCCCCAGAAACGACAGCATTAACACTTTTTCGAATCACCAGCGGAAATTGTTTTCCGCTCAATGGTAGCTGCGAAGTCCATTTGGGATTACACCTAAATAAAAATTGATATTTTGAAATTCAATTTAAAATAATTTGCTTAAATCAATCAATACTTTAATGAAAATCAATAACAAATGTCAACAAACTTTTGATATCTGAGAAGGTGCATCCGATTTTGAAAAAGCGCCGCGAAGCCGGTCATAAACGCGTCAACACCAGCACGATGTGATCCTAAAGTCGAAAAATACTTTTTTAGTCAAATAACATTGTCCAGTCGCTCATCGCGTTAAACCACCAAAAACTAACCATGTACAGCAATTCTCGGCTTGCTTTTTGTGATCTCGGCGACGGTGACAGTCGATGTGGCAGTAAAAGTTGACGAGCATGAAGATTCTCCATCGCTTTCTTTGGCTCCATTTTGTTCCTTCAATTTTGCCGGAATGATGTGATCGTAACTGAATAGGCTTTCATAGAACAAGTATAACCAAAAAAAGCAAACCGTCTTTTTCTTCTGGTTCTATTCTTCTGAGCCGCTAAAATCTCCAAATCCAAGGCAAAATCGACATCGTGTAGCTTGGCACAGCCCCGATCACGAGATCCACAAAAGCCGTGATTCTAAACAAATTAATTTTTGGATAAAACTAAATACATTGATTTGACCGTTACTTTACCACAAAAAAAACCACGTACTGTATATCGCTCACATAAATGCTCCTTCAGATTGCCTGGAATCGGATGATTCGGGAAATCGAGCGGCAATTCACAATTCGTCCTTTCTAGGCTTCAATTGAACAGGTTAACAGATGAAAATTATTTTACCTATTGATGTAGCCAATTCGTTCATCAGATCCGTTCGATAAGCAGAGAAACTTATGGAAATGTAGGCTCGAGATTGACACTTATCGGAAACATTATCGCGCTGACTGAAAGCAAAAAGAAATGGATTAAGATTCAAATGTTTAAAAAGTTAAAACTTACCATTTGCGAAAAACATATTCCAGATACGATCCGTGCATTCTCGTAACATATTCGGCCAAATATTTAGAGTCAATCAGCGACGATTCTTCGGGAAAAAGATCTGCTATCGAAGCGAGAAAGTCTTCTAATCTGAATGTTAAAAATAAACAAGAAACCGCTAGCCTTTGTTACACATAAAACAACAAAACTAACTTCTCCGGAAGATCGGCAAAAAGTTGATGATACAAGAAGCAGAGATCGAGGAAACCGTTGTGTAGAGCGACAGGTTTCGACTCGGAGAGGATAGCGTCGAAAATTTTACGCAATGGGCAATCCTAAAGCAGTTTATTAGTAGTAAAACATTTTTAGATTAGCCAAGTACCAACAACAAAACCACACCTTATCAACTCTCCCTGGATAGTACAAAACTCCATCTTTTGTCAACTTGTTGAAGTCAAAGCCGTGGTTGAGAAGAAATTTCATCGCATCTGGTTCCATCGTGAACGGGCGACTTGGATACGTCAAAATGTTGAACACCTAAACAAAATTTTTTAAAGAAAACCATTTCAAAACTACCTGGCAATTATATTTCACTCGTTTCTTCTCGTCGCTCGTCGATTTGAGCTTAAAAGTGGCAATACCAAGTGATAGAATCCCTCTAGTTGACGCCGAGTCGCGAAAAGCCGTGTATCTAAAGAAGCTCTTGAGTAAATAGTTTAAAAAATAGATATTTAACAAAGCTTCAATAACAATAATATCAGCTTATAGGTTCAAGCTTATAAAGCTTATAAAGCTTAAGGCTTAAAGCTTATAGCTTATGAAGCTTATAGCTTATAAACGAGCCTTACCTAGTCTCCGTATCTTTCGCTCGCAGACCATATGTGGGACCCAAACCGCTCATTTCCTAAATAAAAATATTAACAACATAACTAATGCTACGTCCGCTTGCTTACTCAAGAGTTTGTAAAAGTAGAAATGATTGGCTCAATACTTAAACCTGCTATGCTCAAAAGAAACTTGATTAAACAATCTTAACACTTTTCTTGTGTCAATGTTTAACTTAAACTTTTCAAAAGTAAAAACGAACCAAATCCAACGCAATCAAATCGGCCTCTTTGATGCTGACGAGCAAGTAGGGGAGGCACTTCTCAAAATTGCTTTTCGTTAGCTCGAATACCTAAAAAAAGAGTATTTGTGATTATTTTGTTCATCATAATAAGCTTTTCTATATAGCCAACTTGGTTTTAGGTAAAATTTAAAAGAAACAGCAATCATTTTGCCGTCAGAAAAGTGATTTTATACAAAGACCGGCTGGTTTTTTAAGTAAAATCCACAAAAGTTTACCGGAATCTCGGGAAGATCGGCTCGGCTCGTCGCGTTTCGCGTATCCGCCTCCATTCTAAACAAAAATTTACATTTTTTATATAAATAGTAAAAAAATACAATGAAAATAGAAAATAGAAAATCATTAAAGCTAAGAAAATGGCTAAAAATGTGAAGTTTTTTAAAAAAGTCCCGTAATTTCCCTAAAAGCATCCCGTAATTTTTCCTCTTTTCCGATTTTTACTATAAAATTGTGTAGTATTTCATGTTTTCAACAAATTAAACGCTTTTTTTTACGGTTATCAAAATAAACTTTATTCTATATCAAAGGAAAACGAATTTATGGGCAAAAATGAGACAAAGAAGGCACCAAAATGATTGGATTTTGAAGAATTGTAAGTAGGATTTTGGAAAAGCAATGAATCGATAGGTTTTAAACTTTAAACAATCGATATTTAGTTATCAATATAGTAAATATATTGTATTCTAACTATTCTAAAGTTAGCTTTTATTTAAATTTTTAAAGCCAGGGGTTTTTTTTGATCAGAGATTTCGGGATAAAAGACAAGAGATTCATAGAATACTTTCAAAACATAGTATAACAAAAAACTTTTCGAAAATTTCTTTTGATATCTTTTCGTAGTTGACGAGTCCGTGGGAATCCTATCCACATTCGTCTACTGATCCTTTTTCGACTCGGCAGCGATTGTCCCATTTTGCTCTTTTTGTGCGGCTCGGCGCTCTTTCGCTGCGGCGAGCGCTCTAGAGATTTTTTTATGAGAATTGAAGTAAATAAAAAAACCTAAAACATAGCTTTTTATAAAGTTTAAATGATTTTTGAATAGAAATTCAAGCTCTTAAGATTTAAAACTTTGTAGAGACGTTCAAGAATTATCCCAAACCTTACAAAGACCAAAAATTACTGCATATTTGATTCAGAACTCAACTTTAAGTGAACTTACGGAACGATAAAGTAAGCCAAGCCTATTCACAGTTTACTCTAGTACTCTAGTAACTTACTACTAGGTTTTCGTCTGCTTGCTGTAGATAAACTAGCTACTTGCTGTCTACTGTAGATAAGCTATACAGTGTACACTGACTTTATAGGATCTGAGGATGAAATAAATAAAAAACCTAAAACATAGCTTTTTATAAAGTTTAAATGATTTTTGAATAGAAATTCAGGCACTTAAGAAAATTCAAGCACTTAAAACGTTGTAGAGACGTTCAAGAATTATCCAAACCTTGCAAAGACCAAAAATTACTGCATATTTGATTCAGAAATCAACTTTAAGTGAGCTTACAGCGAAGCCAAGCCTATTCACAGTAAGCCAAGCTTATTCACAGTAAGCCAAGCCTATTCACAGTTTACTCTAGTAGCTTACTACTAGGTTTTTGTCTACTTACAGTATACTGTAGATAAACTATACAGTGTACACTGACTTTATAGGATCTGATTTGATCAGATCCTATAAAGATCTGATTTGATCAGATCAAATCTTAGTTCAATCTCATCGATTGTAAGACATTTAATACTCGCTCCGCCCCTTTTCCCATTGACAATCCAACTTTAGGCTCGAATATCTTTGTGTTGAGCTATCCAATTTAAATAGTTTTTGCACCAATCGACAGAGAAAGACTTTGCGCATCCAATGATACAAAGAATATTTAGATTGAAAAGCCCAACACCAAGATATTTGAGTTAAAAGTTCGATTGTCAATGGGAAAAGGAGGGCGTATCAAATGTTCGATAAATCTATCTCACCTGCTCAACGCATCCCAAATACCACCCATGAAAATCGCGCAGAAAAGATTCTCAAACGGGGCGAACGGATCGTTTACATGCAAGATCACCGACGACAATTTGAAGTAAATAAAGAAACCGACAATGCACTAAAGGTACAGTAGTTTTGAGACAATTTTTTGAGACAATTTTCCCTCTCACTCACCAAATAAACGAGATCGTGTGGAGCGGAGATATAAACGCTGTTCTTTTCTAGAGAGAAAATCACTGATGCCACAAGGGAGGCCTAAAATTTTCTTTTTAATATTTTAAAGTTAAGCTTACTTTAAGCTTGGATATTCTAAAGGCTTTTCAACGATGGATACGGTAGAATTAGCAGATTTTACAGTACTCTTTGAAGTCAATCGTAAGTCAAACGGTGAATTCGCGGATTTTAAACAGAAAAATGGCAAATTGCGACTTTTCCATACTTACAGATACCCAATAGTCCTACCGTAAGGCCTACAACTTTAGATATGAATACGGTAGGACGGAACAACCTTTAGAGTCCTGTAAAGTACTGTAAAGCCTGGATATTGTAGCATTTGAATTCAATTATGAATACGGTAAAATCGGGCAATTTTTAGAATGCCTGAATACTGCCTTTTCAATTGCGAATACGGTACGAACGTTTTAGAGTTCTGGATCCTGAATACTGTAACTTTAATACTCTAAATCCCATTGAGCTTTGATTACGGTAGCACAGGAAAAGTTTTCGAATCGAATAGCTCTAGACTAGAGATCGAAGCTCACCTTTGTGACGAAAGCCGGCCGGAGCACTTCGTTGTGATTGGGCAACCAGACGCCTCTTATCAACTGAAAACAAGAACAAACCTACTAGGTAAAATCTACTATACATAGAACGAGCTACTAAAAGCGAAGTGTCTCTCCGACTAACGGAAATGTCTGTCTGTTTGTCTGTACGGGCTTTTTCTCAGCCATCTTTAGGCCCAAAAAAAACTGAAATTCTTTTTAAATTCTTAAAATTTAATGTAATTGTTATACTTTCAGAGTACGGCCGCCCAGTGTCCCCCTTTCCATTGGCAATCTAAAATAGTTTTCCCATTTTCTCGCTATCTACTAGATGAATTTTTATGATTTTTGTGCCATTCGATGCATAATTTAATTCTCCATCGAATGGTATTAAAATCATAAAAAATGATCCGGTAGATAGCAGAGAAAATGGTAAAATACCGCAGATTGCCGATGGAAAGGGGGACACTGAGGGCGGTACTCTAAAAATCTAATAATTGTGTCATTCAAAATACGAAATTAAAAAACCGGCAGTGCGGGGAATCGAACCCGGGTCGTGGGGGGCCCCGTGCGGGCCACAAACAAGCACGTTCCCGACTGCACCACGGCGACAGGGGAAGCCGGCCGGAAAAAGCGAGCTTTAGCCGAGTTTGGTGATAGGATATTTGTCAAACCTGTTCAAGTGTCCTCAGAACTCCACTACCGGCTCCTTTTGCTGTACCGACCATCACCTAAAGTTATTTTCTTTAAAAAAAATAGATCTTTCTTTTGCTCAACCTGTACAAGCCACGAGTTCGGGTAGAGTTTTGCAGCGTGCGAAACTCCGTGTGATACCTAAAACATTCCGAGATAGGATTTAAATGGTACAAGGATTTGTATAAATGTCGACTCTGCATAACATAGAGCTCGTTCTTCTTCTTCGATTTGAAATTTCAATCACCTTGTGTGCCCGTTTGACTTCTTTCAGCACGGCTAGCACGCATTTAATTGGAAGTACCTGAAACGTACTTTGTGGGTACTTTGCTGGTACTTTGTGAGTACTTTGTGGGTACTTTGCTGGTACTTTGTGCGTACTTTGGGTGTACTTCTTGCATACTTTTTGCGTACTTTGTGGGTACTTTTTGCGTACTTTATGTGTACTTTTTGCGTACTTTGGGTGTACTTTTTGCGTGCTTTGTGCGTACTTTGTGCGTACTTTGGGTGTACTTCTTGCATACTTTTTGCGTACTTTGTGGGTACTTTGCTGGTACTTTGTGCGTACTTTGGGTGTACTTTTTGCGTGCTTTGTGGGTACTTTTTGCATACTTTGTGAGTACTTTGTGGGTACTTTGTGGGTACTTTGTGGGTACTTTATGTGTACTTTTTGCGTGCTTTGTACGTACTTTTTGCGTACTTTGGGTGTACTTCTTGCATACTTTTTGCGTACTTTGTGGGTACTTTGCTGGTACTTTGTGCGTACTTTGGGTGTACTTTTTGCGTGCTTTGTGGGTACCTTTTGCGTGCTTTGTGCGTACTTTGTGCTCAAATTTAAACACACTTGTGTTTCTGCAAGAAGATCAGAATCTCTGTGTACTAGAAAGAGTGTGTTTACAATCACAAGCACACCAAAAAAAAAATGAATTACCTTCGACAACTTGTAGACGGCATCAAATGGCGCGTAGAAGACGAAATACCAAACAATTGAGGCCTTAAAAGATTATTGATTGTTTACGGTAGGTTTTTCAATTGATCATCTTTTAGAAAACGTCTTACACTAGCTTTAGATTTGTTTTTTTGAAAACTCACAAGAATGATATCGTCGTGTCGCTTGAAAGGAGCAACAACCGGTTCACCGAGAAGGAAATTCGCCAGAAATTGATCAGCAAAACACATCAACATACTGAAATAGGTAAAAAAAAATGTAAAAAAGTATAAATATATACTTATAGTATCAGAAGTATTGTAGAATTTTGAATTGGGACCTCAATAAAATCAAATTATCGTCAACTGGGTGCAGTTAAATAAATTTTTAATGGTTTTATGTAGAAATGATTGAAGTAAATCCGATTTATCAAACATTTCTCTGGTGTTAAAATGATAAAATCAGCTTTTTAAGCCAAAACTAAACTAAACCGTAAATGCTTTGAATTGAAGGTACCGTAAATACTGTAATAGTACCCCACCCCCCCAGAATGACGGTGCGGAGTGTTGCGTAGTCTAACTTTGAACGAGTTTTTCTCGACACTGGTTTATGCTGCAACGCTTGCTTTGGTATCAAAAAATAGCCGTGAATTTGAGCTATTTTTTGATACCAAAGACGCATTTTTTGAAAGTACGGGCGCTTTGAAAAAAATGAAATACTAAAAACTGCGGCTACGCGACTGTACGAGGGGGTGCACATCCGCGCGAAAATGCGATCGCCGTTAAATTTGCTCAAGATAAGTGCTATTCGATGCGAAAAATGTCCTGAATCCAAATTTGAAAGAATTTTTCGAATCCGTCTGACAGATTTTTTTAAATCGAAAAAAATCGAAAAAATCACTATTTTTCTATATAAACGACAAAATTGCCTCTCTTTTACAGGCTGGTTCTCGGCAAAAAGGAAATTTTGGTGAGCTTCATATACCAAACTTTATGCTCAAGGGTCTTGTGCACATTTTGACACCAAAACGAGATCAATTGGGTGAATCTGTGAAAAGTTGATGCCTTTTGAACGCAAAAGTAGCGTTTTTCAACTTTCTGCGCGCCATGCGTGGGTAAACTACCGGAACTATTACAAAAAAAAACAAAATTATAAAACAAACAAATGTGTTTTTATGAATTTTTTCAATTCTTTTTGTTTTTCTTCACTTCAATCAAAATTTTGGCTCATTTTTAATTGTTTACATAATTTTGTTTCCAACTGATGACCCTGTAAAACCTGTAACCTGTAATACACAAATCATTCGTTGAAATCAAAATTATGTAAACAATAAAAAAAGAGCCAAAATTTTGATTGAAGTGAAGAAAAACAAAAAGAATTGAAAAAATTCATAAAAACACATTTGTTTGTTTTATAATTTTGTTTTTTTTTGTAATAGTTCCGGTAGTTTACCCACGCATGGCGCGCAGAAAGTTGAAAAACGCTACTTTTGCGTTCAAAAGGCATCAACTTTTCACAGATTCACCCAATTGATCTCGTTTTGGTGTCAAAATGTGCACAAGACCCTTGAGCATAAAGTTTGGTATATGAAGCTCACCAAAATTTCCTTTTTGCCGAGAACCAGCCTGTAAAAGAGAGGCAATTTTGTCGTTTATATAGAAAAATAGTGATTTTTTCGATTTTTTTCGATTTAAAAAAAATCTGTCAGACGGATTCGAAAAATTCTTTCAAATTTGGATTCAGGACATTTTTTCGCATCGAATAGCACTTATCTTGAGCAAATTTAACGGCGATCGCATTTTTCGCCTTATTTCGCGCGGACGTGGGGTGGGGTACTATTAGGTTGGTGCAGATGAAACAAATAATAAAATACCGTATTTACTCTATTAGTGGGGTCCTCTCTAATAGTGGGGTCGTCTGGAGGGGGGTTGAAAAAATAGTGGGGTCCTCTCTAATATTGGTAACGAAAGTGATACATCAATTGTTGATCTCTTGGATTAGTTCTTTTACTGTTTGTTAATGTTTTGTTACGGTTAAAGCTAAATAAAATATGAAGCCAAACTTGTTTTGTCAAGAATTTCGGAGAAAAATTGATATCTTTTCAATTTGAAACTTTGGTTTTATGTTCTTTTAAATTTCTCTAATAGTGGGGTCCTCTCTAATAGTGGCGTCGTCTGGAAGGGGATTGAAAAAAATAGTGGGGGACCCCACTAATAGAGTAAATACGGTAGATAATAGATACAGAGATAATAAACATACCGTAAATACTGTAATAGTACCCCATCCCCATAAAGACGGTGCGAAGTGTTGCGTAGTCTAGCTTTGAACGAGTTTTTCTCGACACTGGTTTATGCTACAACGCTCGCTTTGGTATCAAAAAATAGTTGCCGTAAATGCTTTGAATTGAAGGTAGCTAAAATTCTCAAGATTGCAACATCTTCTCGATTTAAATTACTTTTTGGTTTGGGAAGATCTAGAATTTCTAGCGAAAATACTACAGAAATTAATCTCAAAAATTTGGGCATAGTAACGCCGTAAGATCTCTATCGCCTGCCCTTTTCCTTTACGCGATCCAAAAGGAACACGTATCTATCGAGGGGATGTGCTAGATGGCGAGCGATTGTTGACGCGCACAAAAAACCCCCAACTAGTCATTTACACAGAGATTTTATTGTTCTTTAAATGTCTTCCAGATAAGATTTAGAGCTAAAAAGCTGTACCCAGGGGTTTTCAAGGTCGGGGAATCGATTGGCTGAGTTTGCTTTTAACCGTTTGTCCCAAGAAAACTTTCAAAACCCTTTTTCATCGGGATTTTGAGAATCGGCCAAAATCTTTAAGCCAAAGTTTGCTAGATTTTCAAATTTTTTCGGCCAAACCTTGACAACCAGCACGATAGCGGATGTTTTCTCGAGAAAATGCTCGCCGAGCCACCCAAATCGTCGCGTACCTCGATGATCATCTGAAAATTTCGCAAATGTACAGGTAGAATTGTACTTAGAAAGTAGACTGTAACGTTTTCTGTATTCTTACCTTCTAAAACCTCCTTACCTTCTTCCCTTCTACCTTCTTGCCTTCTACCTTCTTGCCTTCTACCTTCTTGCCTTCTACCTTCTTGCCTTCTACCTTCTTGCCTTCTACCTTCTTACCTTCTTACCTTCTTACCTTCTTACCTTCTTACCTTCTTACCTTCTTACCTTCTAAAAGTTCTACTGTATTCTTACCAAGATATAGTGCGCAATATCGAAATAGGGAAACATTTTGAGGCGATGGAGTTGAGCGCCGGCCTCCAAGAGGATTTCCTTGAAATTTATGTGATAATTCTATTCAAAATATATGAAATTTATAGAAATATATTCTGGATTTGTAAAGTTTTCTTTACCTGATCGAACTGAATGTAGTCCAACATCGTGAAAGGAAAGGTTATTACCTGAAAAAAACGGTAGTAAAAAGATATTCAGCTAACAAAGATCAAGATATTTAAGAGATAAAGATATTTAGCTAAAAAGGATAAAGATATTTAACAGATGAAGAAAGAATAAAGATATTCAACTAATACATAAATGCAAATCTTAAGTTAAAAATGAAATTATGGAAACATTGGAAACAGTTAAATTTCTTAAAAATTCTTAAAAACGATGTAGAATCGAATCCTTAAAAACTTTGGATAATGCTTTAGGTTTACTATAGATATAGAATACTTTAAAAGATTAGAATCGGATTCTTCAAAACTTTAGACAATGCTTTAGGTTTACTATAGACATAGAATACTTTAAAAGGTTAGAATTGAGATCTTAAAGGCTTTAGACAATAATTTAGGTTTACCATAGACATAGAATACTTTAAAAGATCAATTTTTACACTAATCATTTCGATATTTCAGCATTTCATTAATAAAACAAATTCAAAAGTTGTGATCTGTTTGATATATGAAAAGGCGGGATGGGGATTAGATTTACTCAGAAAAGCAAACATCACTGTTCCAGAAAAGAATCGATATACGAAGAAACTTTGAGGGGGGGGGGAGGATATAGAAATAAACATATCTAAAGTCGATTTTACAATCTAGAAAGGATTATCGAAAGGACTATATGTAAAAATGTAAATACTTTAGAGCTCTAGTCGATAGTACATAGTACTCTAATCGATAGCACATAGTACTTTAGTACTCTAGTCGATAGTACATAGTACTTTAGCACTCTAGTCGATAGTACATACTACTTTAGTACTCTAGTCGATAGTACATAGTACATTAGTACTCTAGTCGATAGTACTTTAGTACTTTAGTACTCTAGTCGATAGTAGATAGTACTTTAGTGCTCTAGTCGATAGTACATAGTACTTTAGCACTCTAGTCGATAGTACATACTACTTTAGTACTCTAGACGATAGTACATAGTATTTTAGTACTCTAATCGATAGTACATAGTACTTTAGTACTCTAGTCAATCGTACATAATACTTTAGTACTCTAGTCGATAGTACATACTACTTTAGTACTCTAGTTAATCGTACATAATACTTTAGTACTCTAGTCGATAGTACATACCACTTTAGTACTCTAGTTAATCGTACATAATACTTTAGTACTCTAGTCGATAGTACATACTACTTTAGTACTATAGTACTTTATATACTTTGTATTCATGATCAAAAACCTAAACGCATCCTTCTTTGTCCAATTTTGTCTTCTTCTTTGTTCAATTGAGGCTTTTCTTAAAGTAACTACAGAAAAATAAATGAATTAAGTGTGCTAGGAGATTTGTATTTGCAAATTCAAACACAAAGTACAGCCAGAAAGGGTTTGAATGGCTGGCTGGCTGGGTCTGGCTTGGCTTTGGCTTTGCCTTGACTTGATTTGACTCTAGGAATCAACCTGGATCGAATTCTAAATCGAATCCTGGATTTCATAAGTTTAAAAGTTATCTAAACAGATTAGATAATCGATAAGATAAAGATAAAGATATTAGGATAAAGATAAAAGGATAAGAAAGTTCAAGAAGAAGAAAAACTTATCTTGAAAACGATGGAACACTCGGTGAAGTAAAAGACAAAAGGACAAGAAATGGAAAAGAAAAAGGTGGGACATGAAAAAGAAATCCATAAGCTTTTGGGGTACAAGAAAAGGCTGAGAGCTGAGGCTGTGAGCTGCCTTCTTTCCAAAAGAGATCACAGGGAATTACAACAGCTCAATTCTTTTCCTTTTTCTTTTCCTTTTCCACTTTCCTCTTTCTTTCATCAATTCTCTTGCTCCAGTTTTTGTTGGGTAAAGTTAGTATTAGATAAAAAGTTATCTAGCGATTGCTAAAAGAAAAAAAATTTGATTTAAGTTGGAAGTAGTTGTTGTAGTTGAAAGAGCCCAAGAGTTGGAGTCCAGTTATAGTAGTTGGAAGAGTCCAAGAGCTGGATTCCAGTTGTTGTAGTTGGAAGAGTCCAAGAGTTGGAGTCCAGTTGTTGTAGTTGGAAGAGTCCAAGAGTAGTCAATGATAGGATCAGCTATCAGGTTAGAATCAGGCCAAGATTGTCTACAAGAATTTCCTTTCTTCTTTTCTTCTCTTCCCTTGTCTTTCTTTCTTTCTTTCTTCCTTTCTTCTTCTCCTTGTCTTCTTCTCTTTCTCTTGACAAGTTCAGGCACTGAATAGCTTTGTGGTTAGAGTAATAAGGAAAAGTTTTCAATCTCCTCTTCAAAATCTACAATTTGGATCAGCTTGGCAGCATAGATCAGCTTGGCAAGATAAGTCCATGAGTTTCATTGGTTCAAAGTTCAATGCCATCAAGTAGGCCTCATCAAGTAGATCAAGTAGGCCAGAGTCAGCCATCAAGGCTATCCTGGTTCTAACCCAAAGTCCAAGGGTCTGCCTGGAAAAGAACAAGACCAAAGTACCAGAATTCAAGCTATAGTAGCCTAGATACCAGGAAAATATCAAGTCCAAAGTCTGATCTCTTGACAGACCAAGCGATCACGATAAATCTAACTTTACACTTACCGCTTACATCGCTAAATCTGTTGTCATTGTTGTGATTGGCTGTCATTGTTGCTTAAGAAACTTTATTCCACACCACAAAAGCGAAAACAAAGGCTATTGACTAGAGTCTTGTTTCAAATTGCAAAAAAAAGCCAACAAAGAAATTTTAAAGCTATATGGATTTCTAAATTGTAAAGCCGACAAAAATCACAGTTTGAGATCACAAATTCTGGGGTGAAAAGGGTGAAAAGTCAAGAATGGGATAGCCTAGAAGCAAAGAAAGCAAAGAAAAACTTATAGTATCTAATGGTAAATCGAAATTTCTAAACTATTTCGCTTTTTTCGTTTCTTTCTTTGTGCCATTCTTTTGCTTGTTGGAAACAGTCAAGAAGTTATCGTCGTTTTTGTGTTTTTGCGAGGAGTTTACCTGGAAATCAATGTAATTTGAATGATTTGAATAAAGTTTGAATGAAATTTGAATGAAATTTGAATGATTTGAACGATTTGAATGATTTGAATGTAATTTGAATGTAATTTGAATGAAATTTGAATGATTTGAATGAAATTTGAATGATTTGAATAAAGTTTGAATGAAATTTGAATGATTTGAATGATTTGAATGTAATTTGAATGTAATTTGAATGAAATTTGAATGATTTGAATGAAATTTGAAGGATTTGAATGAAATTTGAAGGATTTGAATGAAATTTGAATGATTTGAATGAAATTTGAAGGATTTGAATGAAATTTGAATGATTTGAATGAAATTTGAATGATTTGAATGAAATTTGAATGATTTGAATGAAATTTGAATGATTTGAATGAAATTTGAATGATTTGAATGAAATTTGAATGATTTGAATGAAATTTGAATGATTTGAATGAAATTTGAATGATTTGAATGAAATTTGAAGGATTTGAATGAAATTTGAATGATTTGAATGTAATTTGAATGAAATTTGAATGATTTGAATGATTTGAATGTAATTTGAATGTAATTTGAATGTAATTTGAATGAAATTTGAATGATTTGAATGAAATTTGAATGAAATTTGAATAAATTTGAATGATTTGTATCATTGAAAGGGTAATGATACAAATCAACCAATTTGCGAATTCCAAATTCAGCTCCCTTCGAGTGGGTTCGGATACTGGGTCTGTTTATGTTTGTTCGGATACTGGGTCTGTTCAACTGTTGGCGGCAGTTGAATACAACGAACATTGCCAGCAGATCATAGTTTACGAAATTCTCATACGAAATTTCTAGACGCTCACCTCTTCTTTCGTCGTTTCAACAGCTCTCGAGAAAGCCTCCCAGATTCCACCCATAAAAATTGAGCAGAAAATGTTTTCCAATGGAGCTAACGGATCTTTCACATGCAAGACCAAGGCCGAGAGTTTAAAGTAGACAAAGAAGCCGACTACCGCCTGGAAATTTGAATTTTATTGATAAGAATCAATATTAGGCTTAGAGGCTCAATATTAGGCTTTGTGGGAGCTCTAAGCCTATCCTGTTAGCAAGGAATGGTCAATCAGATCCAACTCAATAAATGAAATGAAATTATTTATAAAAATAAATAACCATAAGACGCAGAATTTTACGCTGATTTCAAATATTTGATTCTGAATGAATTCTGAATCGCGTGCAATTTGGCAAACAAGTTTTTCGCTTTATAAGGCGCGCGCAGTATTTGAAGATGGCTGCGCGGTGTGGTGAATAAATGATTAGGATACGGAGTAGCTTACTCGAGGGTTCAAATCCGTACACATTCTTCTTTTGATTTTTTTTTGCAAACACTTATGACTTACAGTTGGTGGCAGTTGAATACAACGAACATTGCCAGCATACGATAGTTTATTCTATGACAGATGGCGCGCATTTTTATGTGCACACAGAAAACACATAGAATAGATTTTTCAAAAGAGAAAAAAGTGAGTGATAGAGTAAAGGGCAAACGACGTCATTTTTGTATCTCTCGACTCGACCTTTGCTTTATATCTCCACTTTCAGGCCTTGGATCAACTTACAGTCGGTTTCAAAAGAATCCTCATAAAATTTGGCTAGAGAAAAGTGCAGTTTGTTTGGGATACTCACTTGTAAGAACATAGAGAAAAACGGCGTCAAAGTTGATCGGCTTCTGCGGTTTTTTCCAAGTCGATCAACTTTGACTGCTTATATCTCGACTTCCAGGCCTCAGATTCGAATCCTCGAGTGGCGTTTCGATTGTCGACTCTATCCTAACCCACTATCCACTACATCACGCAATCATTTGCGCAAGCTTTATAAAGAGATCTCAAAAATTTGTTTGCCAAATTCCCTTGTGAGTTAGATTTTTTAAAAATTACCAAATAAATGAGATCATGAGGGGCGGTGATTAGATTCGAGTTTCGCTCGACGGTGAACACTGTAGCGGCGATGACACAAGCCTGGAAATGGGTTTAGATAATTTCTAGATGTTTTAGATGTTTTAGATGTTTTAGATAAGTTTTAGATAAGTTCTAGATAAGTTCTAGATGTTTTAGATAAGTTTTAGATAAGCTTTAGATAAGTTCTAGATAAGTCTTAGATAAGTTTTGGATAATCTCATTATGAGGTTACAAGTTCTAGCTCAGCTCAGCTTTACCAGTTCTTTAATAACTTTGAAGCAAACCTTTGTGGTGAATGATGGATGAAGGATCTCGTGTTTATGCGGGATCCAAACGCCACGGACTAGCTGAAATAAATGACTGTTTTCTTTTGATAAGGATTTAATAGAATTTGATAAGGATTTCATCGAATTATACTTATTTTCCTATAGAGTTTTGGTCATAAATTACGATATCTTTAGCTAATTGGAAAGATTTTATTGAGTTTTGATCATAGATTATTTTTTAGCTGTGGTAAAGCTGTTTTAGCTGTTCTTTCTTTCTAGTGCTTGATGATATGAGCAAAACAAGAGCAAAAGAAAGATCGACAGTGCGCTAGAAAGAGTGTGTTTACAACATTCAACACAAAGTACAGGAGGACACAAAGTACAAAGTAAAGTATAGTAAAGTAAAGTCTAGTTTCACAAGCCGTAAACAAGAGTTTGTAGGAAAGAGAGATCAGTTTGTAAACGCGCGTCACTTGGTGTACTTGAAATGGGTTTAGGCTTGGTTTAATTACGCAATGATCATTAAAAAAAGGCATTATTAGGTAAGAAAAGTTCTCATTTTCGTTTATTACTTGTTCAACGGTTTTCACGATCCCTCCACCAGCTCCTTTCGATATTCCAACCATTGCTTGAACGAGATACGACTCTGGATACACCCGGCAAGCATGTGCGACACCGTGAGACACCTAAAAACGTTTAGGATTTAATAAATTCACCCTAAATCGTGCTAATGACGTGCTAATGACGATTTTTAAGGATTTTAGTATTTATTTCGGAGGAAGTTCTCAATAAATTTATGCTAGATTTCAAGAAGAGATTCAGGGCTATCGAATGAGTATATTATCTTAGTTTATCATCGAATTTACACAAAGTTATCAGCAAAACCAATTAACGACTACATGACTGTGCGCCCAGTACGCGTTAAAATAGATTGGCTTGAAGTTCATATGCAAATTGACTTTGAATTGGATTTGAATCAGGTTTGGTGGCCTTTATGGGCCGACTTTTTTCACCGTCGGGCAGCTTCCTCGGTAGTATAGTGGTTAGTATCAGCGTTCAATTCCCGGCCGGGGAGAATCGTTTTCATTTTTGCTTTAAACGACTTTGGAAGTGGTTCAAATTGATCAAAAAGTTGTTCAAATTAATCTAATTTCATTAAGTTGAGCTCTAAAGCTCCTACTTTTGCTTCTTTATACGCCAACAAAGCAAGATAGATGTACATCTCTCCCAGTATACCGTATTCTCTCTATTAGTATTGCACTCTCTAATAGTATTGCACTCTCTAATAGTATTGCACTCTCTAATAGTATTGCACTCTCTAATAGTATTGCACTCTCTAATAGTATTGCGGTCCGAGAGGAGGTTGAAAAAATAGTAGTGCACCCTCAAAAATTTGCATTTATTGTGCCCCTTTTTCATCTCAACCTTTTTAACTGAATATCTTTATGTTTATGTTGCATTCTAAAGCTATTCAAGCAAGCAAAAGCGAGGCTTTTTTATTCATTTTTTTAACTATTCTTCACATGAAAAAGTTAGCAAAAAAACTAAAATTGTTGTGCAAAGTGCCAAAACACCTTTTTGTTGTTTCTACACGTTGTTTTAGTGGTACATTAACTCAAATTTTCTTACGAATTCCGCGCAAAGCTATAGTCATTTTTTGCTCTTATATACCTGTATAAAGTTTGAGATTGACTTACCTTTTGTGGCGCTTAACTTTATTGTTATCAAAGCTCAATCCTAGAAAATAATCCATCATGTTCGATTTTAATATTATATAATTTTTGTTGGTCACCTTTACTATTGTCCAAATAATCTTTTTCTTTAGGCATGGATCTCGATGGGAACTCGGTTGATGGATTCGAGAATTTTCGAGCTCGTCGTGAACACGAGGAACATGTGCAATTCTTCAAGAGGATCCACAATCAAGTGACCGAGCAAGACGCTAGCTACAACATGGCCAATGATGTTGCCGAGGAGTCTTCGTGTGAATCGGATGCACCATCCGCGAAAAAGCGACGATGTTTCGACGTTCAAACAAAGCTGAAAGCGATCGATTTTGCTGAAAAAATAAAGAATAAGTCGGCCGCAGCGCGAAAATTTGGAGTCAGTCGTCAAAACATCCAAAAATGGTGTCAGCAAAAGGAAGAACTCGAGAAACAAAACAGAGATAACGGAAAAGGAAAAAAAACGAATCAAAGGCGGTGGACGAAAGCTCAAGGATTTCGATTTTGACAAGGATCTTGTTACTTGGATTCAAGAAATGCGGGCAAAGAAGATGCGAGTGAAAAATGATTCAATTCCGAGCCAAGTTAATGTGGAAAGGTGATGAGGAATTGGTCTCATTCATTGCTTCAAAAAAGAAGGACCGATTCCTGAAGGCGCAACACTTCTCGCCAATGCTCGTCTCGAACAATCGATCAACGGAGTAAAGGATCAACGCAAAAATATTGAACTGGATAAGGATGATGATTCTGTTGTAGATTTTTTTGTTTAGTTAACTTTTTGTTATCAGAAGCCAATAAATTTTTAGAAAGTTACTTTTTTTGCAAGAATTTTTGGAACAAATCTTATATTGGAACAAAGAAACAAGTCTTACTTTGGTAAATGATAAAACTCTTTAATAGTAGTGCACTCTCTAATAGTATTGCGGTCCAGGAGGGGGTTCAAAAAATAGTAGTGCGCACTACTATTCGAGAGAATACGGTATCTCTAGTTGTGGAAAGATATGGGAAAATAGTTTAAATAGCTTTATTAGTTTTATATTCACTCATTCTAGTTGAAATCTATTGAAAAACAAGACAAAAACTGAAGTAAAACATGCTAGAATTCATGATGAAGTAAAGATGCAATAATGAAATAATAATAGTAAGCAATAATGCAGTAGAAGTCAGAATGCAAAAACGATTCTCCCCGGCCGGGAATTGAACCCGGGTCTCGCATGTGACAGACGCGGATACTAACCACTATACTACCGAGGAAGCTGAGGGGCGGTGATAAAAGTCGACTCATGAAGGTTCAAATGAAACTCAGTTCAAAGGAAAGTCGGCTAGATTATATTCACTCATTCTAGCTTTATTTCTATTGAAAAACAAGATAAAAACTGGAGTGAATTGTAGAAGAGATAAAACATTCAATTAAAGATATTCAGTTGAAAGATAAAGCATTCCATTCAAGATATTCACTTAAAAGCTCAAAATATTCCGTTAAAAGATATTCAGTTAAAAGAGATCCAATCAAAAGCTCAAATTGAGCTCTTTCCAATCAAAATCCAATCAAAAGCTCTTTACTTTCATTTACTTTACTTTACAGTTTTTTACGATATCCAGAATGATAGAAATTGTTGAAATTGGATCCAAAAATTCAAAAATTTGAACAAAAAGCATTGAATTTAAATGAGCTTTGGTGGCCTTTATCACTCGACTTTTATCACCACCCCCCCAGCTTCCTCGGTAGTATAGTGGTTAGTATCCGCGTCTGTCACATGCGAGACCCGGGTTCAATTCCCAACGGGGTGAGAATCGTTTTGTATTTTTACTTTTAACACGTTTTTCTTTTCAAATCATAAGAAAGGAAGGCTGATCAAAAGTAACGCACCGGGAGTCGAACCCGGGACCGTGCTGACCATTACACCGCGACGCACCTGGTCACCTCAAAGATTAACTAGGGAGTAATTTGGGAAATCTAGCCGACTTTCCTTTGAACTGAGTTTCATTTGAACCTTCATGAGTCGACTTTTATCACCACCCCCCCAGCTTCCTCGGTAGTATAGTGGTTAGTATCCGCGTCTGTCACATGCGAGACCCGGGTTCAATTCCCGGCCGGGGAGAATCATTTTTACTTTTCACAAATTTCAAGCTTTTATTGATGCGAATGTGTTTAAAACTTGATTGACTTAAAAATGACTTTTTAAAACCGCCTCTCAAAAGATCGCTTTTATGATAAACGGATAAAAGGAACCGAGCCCACTTTATATTATCCTTTCCGTCTATTCTTTTCCTTATTCCCTTTCGTATTGCCTTTTCGTATTGCTATGAAACACTGAACCAACGATTGATTCTATTCTTTTGTATTTTCTCGCTAGATTAGTATTGTGCTATTAGGTTGATGCATAAGTGTTTTCGTTTTTTTCGTACTTCTGTTAAAAAGTAACAAATTCACGAATTAATCTATAGTTTGCTCTATAAAAAAAAGTGTTTTTTTGTTCAATTTGCATCTTTTTAAATGAATTTCGGTTCACTTTCAAGCAAATTCGAGAGTGAAAAACGCCTTTTTCGTAAAAATCTATAAAAAACTCTACGGAAAAATTGGCTGAATGAATTTCTCTGAAATTTTGGCGAAATATCAAACGTTTTTTTTCTCTATCTTTTATCTATTGACACGAAGATAGGTTTTCTTTAGCTAAGGTGTCTAAACCGCATCATCGAGTTAGCCCTTTTTGACTACCCGACTTCATACTCTCAAGAAAATCCAGGCATTAAATATTTTTAAACCCGTTTTAATGTTATTTTGCAGAAAAATAATTGGTTTTTCTAATGAAATCAACCGTAGTTTAATTCGTGCATTTGTTGGCTTGAAACGGCAGACGAAAAGGAACAAAAACACTTATGCATCAACCTATTAGTTTCTAGTTTTATCAAAAGTGATCAAACTTGCTGTGTAAAGTTGAATCTTTACCCTAATCCTGACACTGATCTTAATCCTGATCTTGATTTTAACCTTTATCATGCTCTTGAGCATATCTTGAGCTTATAGTGGGCTTCTAGTGAGCTTGGAGCTTATAGTGGGCTTCTAGTGAGCTTATAGTGAGCTTATAGTGAGCTAACTTGACTCTATTCAACGTCTATCATAATCTTTCGTTATTTTTTCGATTTTAAAGTGCATGAAGTTTCTTAATTATCTTATTCGAATAGATTTGGTCGTTAGTTTCTTGTTTTCTAGTTTTCTAGTTTTCTAGTTTTTTAATTAACCTATTAGATTAAATATCTAATAATCAGAATAAATATCTAATAATCATCGTCCCTATCGGTATTCTCTCACACACTGCACAGAGTTTTTTTTTTGCTCACCTCAACTTAAAAAACATATTTACAAATGTTTCCTTAGCAATAAACCTTTTCTAAAGGATGCCATTTACTCCATTTATTCTAATAAATAATAATTCTTCTTCTAATAATTCTTTTCTTATCTCAATTTTCATTCAATCGATCTACTTTTTGTATTTTTCACTGTCTTTTGTAAATCTAGACGAAAAATAAAAAGGATTGAATAAAAATCGAACAAGATTACGGTAAAAAAGGACAAGTTTTAGGAAATGGAGAAAGATGGATCGTTTAAAAGAGTGTTTTTTTTTTTGCTCACCTTGTACGCTCGTTGTGCTTCCTTTAGCACGGAAAGCACCAATTTGATGGGGAAAAACGTGGAAACTCGATAGAAAATGTCAAACGGTGAATAGAAAACAAGATACCAAATAGCTGTGGCCTGAAATTGCACAAGCTTTTTATAAATTTACAAGAAAAGCTTTACCGCTAAAACGTCGAAATGATTGCGGAAAGGCTCAATCGGTGCCTCGCCGAGCAAAAAATTTGCCAACAGGGTTCCTGGGTTTTTTTTTTGTTTCAATTCAAATTTGACAAATTCAAAAGAACAAATTCGGCTTTGCTCTTTTATTTCGTCTCTAGTTTTGTCTCTAGTTTTGTCTTTAGTTTTGTTTCATTTTTTCAAAAAAGAAACACAATCACCTGCAAAAGAAATCATCATCGTTGAAAGCCAACACGAGAATGGATGCTGACGGGCGAATTGCAAAGCGGATGGGCCGAGATCGTCACGAACGGCGATCGCTGACTAAAGAAATTTCAAGATCATCGTTGACTAAAGAAAATTCAAGATCATATCAAGATTCAAGATTGTTTTTAAAAAGATTTGTGTCTTTAGTTTAAATTGTTGAAACTATTCCATTTAAAAAAGATTTCTGCAATTTTTTTTTTTGCGCAACTCGCCATAACTTTCTTCTGAGTCGACCAATCTTTATGATTTTGCTTTCATTTTGTTGCACTTATTGAGATCTACAAAATGACACCAAAACCATAAAGATTGGTCGACTTAGAAGAAAGTTATGGCGAGTTGCGCAAAAAAAATTGCAGAAATTAGCCTACCCCAGACTTTTAAAAAGAAGTTACACTACGTGACTGTACGGAAAGATAGCGTTCTATTAGAGTATTTATAGTACTTTCTTTACTGATAATATTGCCAAGCTAAGCCAGCTTTCCCGGTACTCTAATTACTAAAGATTACTGTATCTTTAGCTTTAACATTATATAAAATACTAGCCGAAAAACCCGCCGAAAAACCAGCTAGAAAAGCTGGAGCTAAAAACCTTATTTGCTAGTTGAGCCTTACCAAAAAAGAAAAATTGAATATTCAAGTTTGAGAGGCACTTCGGGGGGCCGAACCTGGAACGTCTGGTGCCGTAGACAAGCGCGCTGCCGACTGCACCATAGCGACCATCCGTCACCCCCAAAAGATTCAGCTAGAAAAGTCCGCCGTTAGGCGCAGTGTCACTCAATCTTAACTTTTCAATTTTTCTAGCTGGATCTTTTAGGGCTGACCGTCAGGCCCTGGCGAATGGTCTCCATGGCGCATTCGGTAGAGCGTTGGTCTTTCACCCATACGGTCCTGGTTCGACCCCGCGCAGTGTTTCCCTATCTCGAGTTTTTTGTTTTAAATTAGAGACTTTAAAATAATAATATAATGAATATTTCACAGCCTTAAGTGATTTTGTTTGGAAACATTATTTGGTCGATTGCTGGACCTAGCTGCGGATTAATTAGACTTTCTTTTTCCTTTACTCAATCCTCAAAATACATAAAACAAAAAGACTTTTAACTTTAAGTGATTTTAAGCCAATTCTAAAGATAAAAATCGTTTAAAACTCACAAAAATATAGTGCGGTACATCGAAATACGGCCACATTTCGACTTTTTGCAAGCGACGACTGTAGTGAACGAGGAGTTTCTAGAAAGATGAAGAAATCATTCGGATCAGAATAGGAACCTTATTGGAACCGTATTGGAGCCGTACTGGAACCTTATTGGAACCTTATTGGAATCGTATTGGATCAGAATAGGAACCTTATTGGAACCTTATTGGAACCTTATTGGAACCTTATTGGAATCGTATTGGATCAGAATAGGAACCTTATTGGAGCCGTATTGGAACCTTATTGGAATCGTATTGGATCAGAATAGGAACCTTCTTGGAACCTTATTGGAACCTTGTTGGAACCGTATTGGAGCCGTATTAAAACCTTCTTGGAACCTTCTTGGAACCTTATTGGAACCTTATTGGAATCGTATTGGATCAGAAATCAGATCAGAAATCTATTCTGATCTGATGAAAAAAAGAGAGCGAAAGGAAAGCTCGCATCTTTTTTTCATTAGAAAATCAGTCATTAAAGCGAATTTTTTTGATATTATTTATCATTTTCAATTATACCTGATCGAGTTTCCATTCATTTGGATAGAAATCACTCCATTCGTACGCCGTCGCGTCGTCATCCATCTAAATTTACATTTAAAAGCAAAAACTTAAATGTTAAATGCAATTCTTTTATGAAAATTTGGCTAAGCTTACATTTAAGCTCGAAATTCAAACGCTAAAAACAAATACTAACTAAAATTTGCTTGAAATTACGCAGTAGAAACATAAAGAAACTTTTCTAAAAGCTAAAAATTGCCTAAAAACAATCAAAGTAATCAATCTTATAGAAGAAAAACAAAAAAAAAACAAAAACAGAACACTTTTAAACAGCTTTAAATCGAAAACAAAGCTTTAAATCTAAAACAAATCTCTTAAAAATACCAATCAATAGAATTCTAAACATTTTTTTTGAATCAAATTTCACTTGAATTCGGCCAAAAAGCTTTCTTATCATTAAAAAATGTTTCGGGGGAAATGATAAATCATTCTGAGAGTTCAAAAAGATTAGAAATTGAAGAAAGAACCGAAAAAAAAAGAGTTGAACACTAACGAGAAGCGATTCTTTTTTCTCTTATCGCTTTTCAGTAGTCAGGGTTTAGACATTGACTACAAATGACAATCTTTACATCTTTCATCGGGCATCTCTTTCCCTCATTTTTCGGGCCAACTGCCATTGAAGTTTGTGCTGTTTCATTGAATGTAAATCATTTCATTGAATGTAAATGTAATTAAAACTTCTCTGAGCTAGAAAACAAGAAAAACTAGAAAACAAGCAACTAAAAAACAAGAAAAACTAGAAAACAATGAACTAACAAAGCAAGAAACTTCTCTGAGCTTCTCTGAGCTAGAAAACAATGAACTAACAAAACAATAAAAACTAGAAAACTTGAAAACAAGCAACTAAAAACAATAAAAACAATAACAACTAGAAAACAAGAAACTAAAAAACTAGAAAAACTAGAAAACAAGAAACTAACGACCAAATCTATTCGAATAAGATAATTAAGAAACTTCATGCACTTTAAAATCGAAAAAATAACGAAAGATTATGATAGACGTTGAATAGAGTCAAGTTAGCTCACTATAAGCTCACTATAAGCTCACTAGAAGCCCACTATAAGCTCCAAGCTCACTATAAGCCCACTATAAGCTCAAGATAAGCTCAAGAGCATGATAAAGGTTAAAATCAAGATCAGGATTAAGATCAGTGTCAGGATTAGGGTAAAGATTCAACTTTACACAGCAAGTTTGATCACTTTTGATAAAACTAGAAACGAGTAGAAAGTAGTAGAAAGTAGTAGAAAGTAGTAGAAAGTAGTAGAGAGTAGTAGAAAGTAGTAGAGAGTAGTGGAGTAGTAGGGAGTAGTGGGAGTAGTGGGAGTAGTGGGAGTGGTGGGGAGTAGTGAGAGTAGTGGGGAGTGGTGGAGAGTAGTAGAGAGTAGTAGAGAGTAGTAGAGAGTAGTAGAGAGTAGTAGAGAGTAGTAGAGAGTAGTAGAGAGTAGTAGAGAGTAGTAGAGAGTAGTAGAGAGTAGTAGAGAGTAGTAAAAACTAACTAGTAAAAATGATGATTGATGCTATAAAAGCCTTTCATTCTATCCAATAAAAAGAAATAAAAACTGAAAAATTATTATCAACAATTTGATTAGAATCGGTTTTGGTGACCTTTATGAGTCGACTTTTCTCACCGCTAAACAAGTTTCTCGGGAGTATTAATTGCTAGAATTGTTATGTAATTGTTGGCACTACCTCATTTTATCGATCAATATCAGTCCAAGTCGGTAAGGGATAATATTGCTTCTTGTTGTCTTACTGGCTTGTGGCTATTCAGCGATATGAGGAAGATTTTCTGGTTTCTAAAACTCTAGTTTTCGATGATTTCTTGATATTACAGATCGAAATTGAGAAATTAAAAATTATTGGGTTGGTGGAAAGTCTTACTGTAACCAATCAGCTATTTTCTAATGACTTTATAAGCCTGACTTTCAGTAAAATGATAGTAAGAAGCTAGCTCCAGTAAGAGGATTAATATTGCTCAATTTGATCCGTTTCAGTCCGTTTTGGACGTTTCAATCAGTCCGTTTTATTGGGTCGGTGGAAAAGTGCTTTCGGATTTTTTGGGAGATTACCTTAAATTTGTCGAATTTTGACGTTTTATAGCTCCTTCCTAAAGCTGAATTCAAGACGGATCGATTGGTAAAAACCGTTTTGAGATATCTCTTTTCTAAAAGTTTTTACAGCTATTTTAGTAAAGGGCGGCAGGGCCAAAAAAATGGCTGTTTTCACGTTTCGTTAGTTTATAAATATAATTCTATTTTTAAATTTCCTACAAAATATTGGGTTGATGGAAAAGTCCTTCCCGATTTTTTCGGAGAGTACCTTAAATTTGTCCAATTTTGACGTTTTATTTCTCACTTCTCGATAGTGCAAGAACAGGAAGACCATCGGAAATCGACGAAGACAAACTTGCTGATTTGGTTGAAGAAGATCCTCAACTTGACACGACATTCCTGCAAAAAAGCCTTCTAACAACATCAAAAAAAAAATGATAAAACAAGAAAAACGAAGGAAGAAAGAAAGAAAAACGAAAGAAAAACGAAAGGCTATTGATCTGAGGGTCGCTGGTTCGACTTCCACCGGTGACAATATTTTTCAAAAATTTTTTGCTAATATTCTGAAAATGTGTGTCTAGGGGTTATTTTTGACGCTGATCACGAAACACATGTTTTTAGCCTAGGTTTCTGCACGGAAAACTAACGAAACGTGAAAACAGCCATTTTTTTTTTGGCTCTGCCGCCCTTTACTAAAATAGCTGTAAAAACATTTAGAAAAGAGATATCTCAAAACGGTTTTTACCAATCGATCCGTCTTGAATTCAGCTTTAGGATGAGCTATAAAACGTCAAAATTCGACAAATTTAAGGTAATCTCCCAAAAAATCCGAAAGCACTTTTCCACCGACCCAATAAAACGGACTGATTGAAACGTCCAAAACGGACTGAAACGGATCAAATTGAGCAATATTAATCCTCTTACTGGAGCTAGCTTCTTACTATCATTTTACTGAAAGTCAGGCTTATAAAGTCATTAGAAAATAGCTGATTGGTTACAGTAAGACTACAGTAAGTCTAAGGCTACAGTAAGACTACAATAAATCTACAGTAAGTCTACAGTAAGTCTACAGTAAGTCTACAATAAGTCTACAGTAAGGCCACAGTAAGTCTAAGGCTACAGTAAGTCTACAGTAAGTCTACAATAAGTCTACAGTGAGTCTACAGTAAGTCTACAGTAAGTCTAAGTCTACAGTAAGTCTACAATAAGTCTACAATAAGACCACAGTAAGTCTAAGGCTACAGTAAGTCTACAGTAAGTCTAAGTCTACAGTAAGTCTACAATAAGTCTACAGTGAGTCTATTAAGTCAACGTTCAACTCTTCATTTTGCATTCATTTCCGAAACTAATTGTATAAAACTTGAGTTTCCGTAATTTTTTGAATTGTTTAGAGTAGATCAAGAAAGCAGCTCTTTTCACAAAGCTTGTTAACACTACAGAAAAAAAAAGCCCCACAGTGCACGACCTCAGCAAACAGAATATCGAATGACTAAAAAGGAAAGATGTTGATGGGTACTTCAATAGAGATACACTTTAGGAACTTGCAAAGAACTTGCAAAGAAAAAGGAAAAGTTCTTACAGTAATTTCTTTCAAATCGACTATTCTTTACACGATTTGTATTTACAATTTCTAACTTTATGCACTTTTTGAACAACTAACTTTAGTCAACTAATTTTGATCAATTAACTTAGATCAATTAACTTGAGGTAACTAATTTGAGCTAACTAACTTGGGCCAACATTTGAGCCTTGAGCCTTGAGTCAACATTTGAGCTTTGAGCCAACATTTGAGACTTGAGCCTTGAGCCAACATTTGAGACTTGGACCTTGAGCCTTGAGTCAACATTTGAGACTTGAGCCTTGAGTCTTGAGCCTTGAGTCTTGAGCCTTGAGTCTTGAGCCTTGAGTCTTGAGCCTTGAGTCTTGAGCCTTGAGTCTTGAGCCTTGAGTCTTGAGCCTTGAGTCTTGAGCCTTGAGTCTTGAGCCTTGAGTCTTGAGCCTTGAGTCTTGAGCCTTAAGCCTTGAGCCTTAAGCCTTGAGCCTTAAGCCTTGAGCCTTAAGCCTTGAGCCTTAAGCCTTGAGCCTTAAGCCTTGAGCCTTAAGCCTTGAGCCTTAAGCCTTGAGCCTTAAGCCTTGAGCCTTAAGCCTTGAGCCAACATTTGAGACTTGAGCCTTGAGCCAACTTGAGCCAGGTCAACACTGTATTGTCACTATCTAGTAGTATCGTAATACTCACTGTAGAGTTGATTCGTAATATCGAGCTTGAGCTTTTGTAGTATAATACCGAATCTACTGTCATCTTGGCCTTGTCTTAGTCTTGTAATCTTGGCCTTGTATCAATCTACAATCAATCAATAAAGTATCATTTGTAAAACTTTCCTAAACCTCAAATCTTTCTCTCAGAAAGCGTTTCACAATTTTTGCTAGCACCCTTAAAACTCGAAAGCTAATGGTTAAAAGAATTCCGAGGACAATAATCGCATCAGAAAGAGATGTTCGCCTAGGATTTTCTTTTAAACCTTTTCTTTAAGAAAAGAAAAGTGAAAAGAAAGAGTTTAAGCTCTAATCACTTTGCTAAAACCATTATCGGGGCGACTCAGGGGTGGACACAGAGTCCAGAGAGGCCACAGCGTCCACAGAGTCCACAGAGTTCACAGAGTCCACAACGCTACCCCTCCCACCTCTTTTTCATGAATATTTGCATATCAGCTGGCCACCTTTCTCATTTCCTTGAAATTTTCTAAAGATTAGAAAGCAGTGATGAATTTTTAAAGCTTTCAAAACCTCTTTTCTCTTTGCTGAATTTCATTTTTTTTTCCATTCTATTAGGTGTGTGAAAAAGTAATCCACGTTTTAAAGTGGACATAAAGAGAGTCAGCTAGACTGGTTCTTCATGCGCCTTATTTCCTTCTTCTTCCCTTCTTCTTCCCTTCTTCTTCCCTTCTTCTTCCCTTCTTCTTCCCTTCTTCTTCTCTTCTTCTTCTCTTCTTCTTCCCTTCTTCTTCCCTTCTTCTTCCCTTCTTCCCTTCTTCTTCTCTTCTTCTTCTCTTCTTCTTCTCTTCTTCTTCCCTTCTTCTTCCCTTCTTCCCTTCTTCTTCCCTTCTTCCCTTCTTCTTCCCTTCTTCTCTTCTTCTTCCCTTCTTCTTCCCTTCTTCCCTTCTTCTTCCTTCTTCCCTTCTTCTTCTCTTCTTCCCTCCCTTCTTCTTCCCTTCTATTAGGTGTGTGAAAAAGTAATTCACGTTTTTTATTTTTATCTGATGACCAAATAAGACGCTGTCTTCTCGAAAACCCTCGTTCAACCTCTTCAGAAATAGGCCTTACATTAAATTGTGATGGGTCAACCGTAAGGAAACGCTTGAATGCCATGAATTTTATCAAGAAGTTAGACAAATGGATACCGCATGAACGAAAACGCGCGACCACATGTCTCTTTACAGACTCGACAAAAAATCCAGAGTGTTGGATGGGAGGTTTTACCACATCCACCTTATAGTCCAGACCTTTCTCCATCTGATTATTATTTATTT